GGGTTATCCATCCCCTAATATCAGCTCTAGCTATGGTTACGCTCCCTATGACCCCACCGGTGACTACCCATGAAGCTCCTAGTAGGGATAACCCCAAACCCTAAACTATACTGAACTTAGAACCCCCCATTATAATTTTAGCTGTTTCTTAGGGAGTATAATAACCAAAAATTTAAGAATTATTTCTAAGTACCCCTAAGTAAACCCTCAACGTGCCATTCCTGCCTTCTCCCATGGTCTAAGCTGGTGCCAGGCAGCCGCGAGGGCGAATGCAAGGCACAAGATCCCGGAGAGTTTCGGTGTGAGCTTGGAGATAGAGGTTTTAAGGGTTTAAGGTATAGGGCGTTATGGGTTTAGGGTTTAAGGATTCAGGATATAGGGTTTATTTAGAGCTGTGAGATTCAGAGTTTTAGGCTTAGTCATTCAGTGTTTAGGGATTGGAGGTAGGAACTTTCGGGTACTTACACGTGAGAACAGTTAAATAGAAAATTGAGTCTGGAGGTAGCCTGGAACAGTTGTTGTTCAGCCATCCTAGTGCCAGGCTCGGGTAGGGTCTTTATGGTAGACGATGCCAGAGGGCTGGCCGAGATATACAGATTGTAGGATGGCCGGCAGGGAGACATGGCTTCTTTTAAAGTGTTCCAGTATAGGCTACCAACGAAACACCATTCTAATTATTCAGGCTCCTTTATACAGATCCATGCTTAAGTTTGAGGATCTTACATTACACCCGCTTCCATCCACAGCTGCGAGCCTTGACCAAACGATTGCGATTGACAGCATAGTTTGGTTTTCGGGTGCTTTGTGGTAATCTACGGGCCTTAATAATTAGAATAGGGCTTTGAGGCCCATCAGACTGAAATTGTAAGGAACACCCAACATAGTACAGTATAGGTAATTATCAAGGCCCCTATATTCCTATATTACGGCTGAAGCTTGCAAGGGGGGCAGAAAAGGTGTTGGGTCCGGGGTCTGGTCTTTTTGAGAACACAATATGGGGCTTGGGATGTACGGCTCGGGATCTTGTTTTTTGGTGGTGCTGCAAGAAGGATACGAGAGCTGTGCAGTACAGTAGAGGTCTTGGCCTAAATTCAAAGTTCTGGATCTCGAAGCATGTGGAAGTGTGGGCCGAAAAAGACTCAGAGTTCAATCTCACATCGAACATGAATGGGAAAATAAGCTGTGAAGGCTTGGGGTTACTGAAATTGTTTCACACGGCCATGGAGGAGGTTTAGGGTTTAGGGTTTAGGAGGATATCTGTATTTGCAAGTGTCGAATCCAAAAATGTCCGACATGTAAGGCGAACAAACTTGAAAACCTTGTGGGACAAAGGATAAGATGTACAAGCTGAAGGTCCTGGAATTCCGGGGCTTGTGCGCAGAACAGGCATGCTCCACATAGGCCAAACAGCACAGAAACTTCCGTATTGCCACCACCAGCAGCACCATCAACAAAAACAACAATATCGTGTCCATGACTATCGTCATCACAGTCCCCAACAACGCCGGCCGGCACCATTGTCTTCAACACATCATGACCTGCATCCCCACCATCGAAGTAATCATACTCATCGTCATATCCAAAGACATCTTGCACAAGCATAGCTCATAGGTCCACACGCACGGATCTCGGTGATCTGCTTCGGCATAGCTGGACCTCCAGACTGGAAATCCGAAGCCCCCTAACGAAACATCAAAGTTCCAAGCTCATTGACTTACAAGATAGGGGACTTTAAAACTTAGATCAGGCTTTGCGAGTCTATTTGTAGTTGTATGGGGACACTCGGAGGCCATAATTACGAAATACTCCGTCCCCCGTAGATTCGAAATAACCAATGAGGAAACCTCAACCCTAAACCCTTGTACGGTTCGATTAGGAGGAGTATTGGTACACATAAACTAGAAACCTGAACCATAAACCCTGCGAGAATTCGACGATGCTTAGTACGAATACAGCTAACTGCACATAAACTTGATACCCTAAGCCCTAAACCTTGCCAAAGTTCAATGAAGCTCAGCCTAAACCCTAAACCGTGGATCCGAAACAAACCGTGGATCCGAAACAGTAGTTCAATTCTCTCTGATGCCTAATGATTCGGCTCGCAGTCATCGAAGCAAAGCAGCACTCACAAGCAATGTAACGCACGACTGCCGGCCAACATAGAAGGGTCCTTTGATATGTGTGTAGGCATGTATATACGTATATATATATATATATATATATATATACATATACATATGTATATATACACACATAATACATGTATATATATATATATATACACATAATGTATCTTCTTATGTGTGCTTGTGTACATGTGTATGTAAATGAATACGTATGTGAGCATGTATGTATGTATGTATGTATGTATGTATGTATGTATGCATGTATTTGTGTGTATGTATGCATGTACGCATGTATGTATGTAACTCTGTACCTATGTAACTATGTTATGTAATGTAATGTAATGTATGTATGTATGTATGTATGTATGTACAATATGCATGCATACATACATACATACATACATGCAATCGTACATGCATACGTACATACATGCATAGCTGTGTATGTATTTTGTCTATGCTTGTGTTCACAACTGCCTATAAGCAGGCATATGTAAACATCGAAACATTTCAACTCCTATTGTCAGTCTCTCTCTCTCTCTCTCTCCCTCTCGCTCTCTCCCTCTTTCTCTCTCTCTCTCTCTCTCTCTCTCTCTCTCTCTCTCTCTCTCTTTCTCTCTCTCGTGTACGTACACATACACATATATGTATATGTACGTGTATATATATATATATATATACATATATATATATATAGAGAGAGAGAGAGAGAGAGAGAGAGAGAGAGAGAGAGAGAGAGAGAGAGAGAGAGAGAGAGAAATAGGTGTATATATTTGTGTGTATATATACATATTACATAGGTCTTAAAGGCTTCGCTGGCGTCCGTGCGCAGCAGCAATAGGCCTTAAAGCTAAAGCCCAAGCAATTTATACTGCACCTGCCCCACCCAAGTTTTCAACTTTCAACCAAGCATTGATCATACAGTCCAGCAGGAAGACTAAACACAAAAACCTCAAGACAAAACCAGATGAAGTCTAACCCCTGAACACGGAAACTCTGCACCCAAAACGCAGAACACCATAGCCTTATTCAAGCAAAACGTTGTGCAATCCTCAGAAGCCCGTACAAGTATCAAGCCCTTGTAGAAACCGGGTAGAATCCTTTAAGACACCCAAATGAAACGACTCCATACACTCTGTTGCACTCTTGACGAAATCTGCGAGGAGGCCTCTGCTGGATGCTTCGCTAGACCCTTTGATGGCTGCTTTCAGAGCCGCAACACCGCTGTCGCACGAAGAAGTGGGGCTATTCGTGTAGAGGGGGGTTTGGGGATCTTAGGGTCCTTTAAAGGGTGCGATAAAGGCTCCTTCGAGGGATCTACAGGGCCCTTAGGGTTTTGGGTATGGAGCTACATAGGGCTATTAGGGATTAGGGGTGGGGGTTTAGAGTTTGGGCTGTAGGGGTTGGGGTTGGTGTTTAGGTTTCCTGTACAGGTTTGTGTTTTGGGTACTGCAACTGCACTTGGAGGGTCGTGGGATTTAGTAAGGTTATAAGTACCTTAATTGGGGTTATAAGTACAGTTACCCTAATTATAACCCGAGTTACTAAGTCCCATGATCCTTTAAGCAAGGTTCCTACGAAGGTTGTGTATCGGGGTTCAGGGTTTGACAAAGAAGATCCGGGGCTGCTTGCCTGTTAGTCCGGTACCGTGCTGCAAAGAATCGCCGACACAAGTCGCAACAAAAGTAACCGCGAGAGCTCGAGCCCCCAAAACATGCATCCCAAGCCCTTCACGACATCCTAAACCCTACACCTTAAACCCTCACCCTTAAACCCTAAACCTTAAACCCTAAACCGCCCCTCGGACGCATTTTCCTTTCGGACGGTGACCCGGCGCTTTCAGCGTACCAACCAGGGAGGTCCTGCGGCTAAGGGTGTTCAGGGCTGTAGGGGTTTTAGGCTCCTCTGTAGGGATACTATATATGGGTGGTTGTCAAAAATTAGGGTCCCCTAAATAAAAGGTGCCGTAGTAGAATAGGAACCCAACAAGGGACCCTAATTTTGACAACCACCCCTGTAGGGATACGATTATATACAGGGACTATACGGGTATGATAACAAGGGTTCAGGGCTTCGGGATCAATGTGGACTTTGGGTTAGTTTCGGCGTTGGAAAACGTTAATGCTCACGGCTTCCAAGGATTAGGGTTCTGGGCTGTAGCCTCATGGCAGCTACATCCCTCAACCCCGAAACTTCTTGGGATATCCCTAATCTCTGCGGTCGCAGCCAACAAGCACTAAGCTGGAGCTTTAGGCTTCGGGATTTACAGTGCAAGGCTTTGGGTTCATAGACTTCAAGGCTCAGGAGTCAAAGGGTTTACAGGGTTTAGGGGTTAGGCGGCTAGGGCTTAGGGAGGACTTCTAGGGCTTATGGGGTTTATAGAGTTTAGGGTGAGTTCGATCGCTTCAGCTGCCAAAGAAACCCTGATTGATCCGATGAGGGCCGTCCTCTTGCTCACCTTCGTAGCCGTAATCGCAGCAGATCTCCTGCCAATGCGCAACATTCTCGTAATGACACTGCATGTGTAAGCTACCCTAAAGCTCTCAAAATCCTTCAGGGCAGAGTCCCTGTAACCCTACGCGCTGTGGCATGTATTTGTGGCATGTTATTCTCTCTAGACTCCATGGCCACTCCCACACCCTGACCCCTCAACTGCAAGCCCTCGACCCCTAGCCCTGAAACCTTAAGCCCTGAGCTCAACGCCCCGAACCAAATCCTGCAATTCCTACAAGGGCCTTAATAGTTAGAATATACAAGGCTTTGGGGTATATCATACTACTGTATAATTAATAATTACAATAGGGCCGGGAAGCCCCAAAAATAGTATAGGTAATTATCTAGGCCCCTACCTAACAGGCCCGGATGTCCTCGCCCTCAGCGATGTCTCTCACAGCGCGTATGGCCTTTGGGCCAGGACCCGAGCCGCTTGGGGCTCTTGGTTGCTGAGGGTATGGATGTGGGTAGTTCTCTACATTAAAATTAGGGATAATGAGGGTCCCTCTTTAAGTCCCCAATATGGTATGGCACCCCTAAACCCTAAACCCCCTTTATAGGCCTAGAAAATTGCTGATTCAATCTACCACTTCCGCAAACCTCCCAGAGACTCCAAGACCCCTGAACTAAGGAATATTCCTTAAATCATATTAGGGATCCTACCATAATTTAGAGTATATTCTGTAAACCAGGGATATTGGAGTCTCTGGGCTCTTCTGCAACTTCAGCCCGGAGTCCAAGGCCGGGAAGGCTCTAGTTGTACTCAGTTCAAACCCGAGCCACACATCAGAAGAGGTCGAAAAGGCAACGGTTTTGGGTTTTGGGTTCAGGGTTTAGGGCCGGAATCACCCACTTCCAAAGCTCAGCCGCACTCATGATGGAACTAAGTACACGTCCACGTGGGCGTCAAAGCTGCAGCCCAAAGCATTGGAATCGGAAGCTCCAGATCATGTCGTCGGCAGACTCTGCTCTGTGCACCAAAGCAACAAAATCAAGCATGAATGCATGATGATCTTCTGTTGTGTCGGGATTTGAAACCTGTGGGTTAAGGGTGTGGGCTGGAAAGCGCTAAACTTTAAGGCTGTTAGTCTTTAGGGTTAGGATTTAGGCGTGTTTATAGGGTTTAAGGGTTCTCGTATGGCTTCGGTCTAAGGGTTTATGGTTTAGGGGGGAGTGTTATGATTTCAGGCTTCAGGCCTACGAAGGAGTCACTCCCTCCGACAAGTCAGAGCACTCGAACACTGTTCACACAAGCCAGTACTCTCGGATTTCAGATTTGCTGCGTGGGGATCAGGCGTTTGGGGGAATTCAGGGTTGCGGCGGCTTGGTGATTTTTGTGTCGGAACCTGATTAAGAAACCTTGGGCTGTTGCTAGGGTTCCTTGTTATGAATCCTACTATATTGGGGATTATAGGACCAGGGTTTCTCAATCAGGTTGATACATTACAAGGCCTCAGGCAACAGTCGCCGCCCGAAATCGGGATCAAATCAAACCGGAAGTTTCAGGAAGCACTCTAAGTAGCCCTCTTATGGATGCTATATAGGTTAGTATTGAGTTGTTCTGCAGATTAGGGTCCCTTGTTGGGGGTTTCCCTCTCAAAAGAGGAGAGAGTGAAGGGGACCTTAATTAATTTAGAGAACTATCCGCTAGCATTGCAAGGACCAACGAAAGAGCCAGACTTTCTGACAACCTACACCCTGAATAAACCCAAAACCCTTACCCCTAAAACCCTGAAGCCCTAAACCCCGAGCCCTTTAGACCCTAAACCCGTCTGAAACCCTGCATTCGCAGCCCACCCGCCCTGCACTTGAGGTGCCTTGATGAGACCAAACCGGGGGTGGTCGAAGACGTCGTACCTGGAACTTTGACTTCGCGGGTTTAGTGCTTGGGGCTTCTCAGTACCTCTTGGTGCAAGTAAGATACCGGTCATGAGTTACTACAAAAGCCTTGGTGCTTCGAGGCTTGCCGCTAGAAGTCAGGTTAAGGCTTTTGGGAGTTACCTTTCAAGAGAGCCAGAAATGATGTTAAGAAGGGTCCCCTTTGAGGGGTCTCCCAAGGAGTTTAATTAGGCTCTGTAGTGTGGGGTTCATGGGACCAAGCTGCACTCCTTGGAAGACTCGATAGGGGGTACGGGGTACTTCCTAGGATTTTGGAGGGGCTTGTGAGGTATTCTGGCGCATGACCTTGTTGCGGCGCTTAGGGTCGGGGGGGGGGGGGGGGGGGGGGTGGTTCGGCGCTTAGCGTTTGGGAAGTTCCAGAACTACAAAACCATAAGGGTCCATGTACCCAAATAGTATAAACTCTGGGCCCAATGTACCTATATGCATAAGGAGTAGTTCAAGGACAAAGTATATACTATTTGGTTAAACCCTAAACCCTAAACACTAAACGGTTACATGGACCCTTGGGGAAACCTCTAAACCCTAAATTGCGGTACCTTCGCTCTGTGAAGCCCTGCACCTGCACAAGCCTTTAGCTTAAAGGATCATGGGACTTAGTAACTAGGGTTATAGGTAGGGTAACTATACTTATATAACCCCAATTAAGGTGCTTATAAACTTACTTACTTAGTCCCATGATCCTCCGTAGCCCCCCACGACCTACGACCTAGAAAGTCGTTAGGGCTTTGGGCACTTCTCGGGTCATCCTGCAACGCTGAGATGCGCGCTTGGCGTTGTTGGGCTTCCGGTGATTGGCCTTGTGGCCCAAGCCTTTGTCTTTTGACAATCGGGTTCAGGGCTCCGCACGTTTGGGGTGTATGTGGGGTTTAGGATTTACGGTTTAGTTTAGGGCGTTTCAGCTCTCCTGTCATGTGCAATGACGAGTGTATTGGCCCGAGTCACTTGCCGTGAGCGCGGCGCCCTGTACCTCAGAGCCTGAGCTCTGTAACGTAGGGCCGTAGTTATGATTAGAACAACGTTTAAGTGGATGTTAAACGATAACTTTGTAACCAAGCAATGGTAGATCACTTATTGATCTTCTCTTGATCTTCTCCAATTAGCCTAAACCTTCCTGCCTCCACCCTGTAGTTACTTGCCCGCCATGTAGATCTTGAACCATTCAGTTCATTGCCTCGAATCAGAAACACCCAGATTTCAAGCTCAGGTCGTGGCAGGCCCGGAAAACATCCGTTGATGCAAACTTCGCGGGCCTCGCTGTACAAATTTAGGCGGCGACACGTGTAGTGTCTTCAACATGCATGAAGCCTCATGTTCGCTCCGCCCTTGATTGTGTGTCGGAAGCTTCTGGATTCAGGGAATTGTGTTGTTGGCTTTAGGTTGCCAGGGTTTAGGTTGGCAAAAGGGTTTTGGGGGAGAGAGTTCTGGGTTCAGGAATGAAGCTGCCGGCTTTCGAACGGCTTGGAGGAAGGAGCTCAGGCTCCAAGCTCGGGACACATCCAGGACAGTGTCGTTGTCGAGTGTGATCGTCATGCCATTCCTGAAGTGATAGGAAAGGGCTTGCTGCCCCGACAACGGGTAATCGCTGCTGCGTCTAGCAAATCACACGATGCGGTTGTTTCGTAAATACCCACATTGAGTCATCGTCTCATGGCCACGACAGTGATCTCAACCGCCGCCGCCACCACCACCACCACCATCTTCTTCTTCTTCTTTTGCACAATCTCCGTCGGATCCAAATCACGCGCATAATCGTCATCACCACCATCATCATCATGCCATGAGTTGGAAGTTCCTCTTCATCTTCAACAGCAGCACCATCCTCACTGTAACTGGGAAATCCTGAAGCCTCAACCTAACCCTAAACCCCCAAACTCCAAACCCTAAATCTTGCAAAACTTACAACCCTCTACCGCCCGCAAATTCCCTCCGACTACGGCTAAAAGCGTTACTGCATTGCAACCCGGTGTCAGGCACCAGTCCCGCTCGTTGACTTCCTCCGGGTTGCAGTTCGTATCAGTGCAGGCACACAGGGGCCTAAACAATTATTTGCTAAGTCCTGGACATTCATACTACAACTAATTAAAACAGTGGAACCTGAGAAATAGCATTCCCGACAAATGGTTCGGTTGCGTACAGTACTTCTGTCTCGTCTAGTTGCTGTAAAGGGTCAATGTCGTTGCTTACATGGACGGCCAGGGGAATTGAGGATTGTAGGATTATGTAAAGCCACAGTTGCTGATGTCGTTGTGACCCAAGCTAAAGTACTTGTGACCCGCATTGTACTCTCACGATAACCTTTGCACACCCAGACCCCAACAAACATGGCACCAGAACCGCTGGTAAACATGAGCATGTCCTACATAGAACCTGCAGAAACAGAAACCGGAACAGCCTGCAATACTAGAAGTGCTCAAACCGTAGCCTCGTGGCTGCAGCGCAGGCCGTTGTACCTCGGAAAGTGCTAATGCTGATGCTGTCCGGCTGAAACAGATGATGATCAAGATGATGATTCAGGCCGCTATATGAATTGCATCCAACCTTTTCGGGATTGGGTTCCGTGAAAACCCAGCCTTCAGGCTTCGTATGTGTGCTCTGGCTTGAGAAAGCTAGCCTAACTTCGCAACCAGAAGCCCCTCAACCTTTAAAACCTCGTCCTGGGATGTCTGGGTCCATTCAAGCCAGCATGCCAGCTACACAGCTCGCCCGCACGCAAAGGCCGCTTCGCGAAAAGGCCCTCCATGTCCTGCTTCCACAGAGTAAATAATTGCCTTGTACTATACACCATTATGAGCACATGATGTCAGAACCAGTTTTTCTACTATATATACACAGACATCTTGTATTGTACAGCGCTGTGAGCAAGTCATGTTGGCGCCAGATATTTTTACATTATTGTTTATATATATATATATATATATATGTATATATATATATATATATATATGTACAAACATACTCCCACGTGCATCTATCGGGCTTGTCAGCATTCTTGGCGACCTGAATCGAACTGCCCTGGGTTGAGGAGTGCGGGTTTAGGGTTTAGGAGTTTCGGTGCAGGGTTTTATGCTCGAGGCTGTCAATAGCGCCAAAAAACATGCGATTCCCACCCAGGACTGGCGTCGGGAACCCCAATACTACACCCGGCACCAGACAAAACAAACACCCGGAAACCCCTCCTACTCCCTATAACCCCTAGACCAATGCCCTTGCTCATGACATGCTGGGGTCTATGTGAGATTATAGTTTGCACAATCAGTGGGACTGTAGGAGATGAGCTGTAGAGTGCTTTATAGTTTTACTCGAGCATTAATGCTACGGTGCTTGATTTGGCGATTTGGCTTGATTTCTGAGAACCTCAGGGCTATATGGGTGGTTGTCAATATTAGGGTCCCAATTGGGTCCTTATTATAGTACGGCACCTATTATTTAGGGTGCCCAAAAAGGGACCCGAATTTTGACAACCACCCATATGGGGCTCGGACCGTAGAGTTTAGGAGGTTACGGAGGCTGAGGCTGTAGGCTGTTTAGGAACCACGCAAATGTGTCGTTCTCTCTGTTTCATAGTGTCTTGGTCTCTGCTACTTCATTTGGGAGTTTCTGAAAATAGGGGAGCCTGTTATAGTACCCTACATAGCGTAAGATCCTGATTATAAGGACCCCAAAACAACGTACCCCTAATTTTCGGAAACTCCCATTTCAAGTCAGGTTAATATTGGGGCCTAACTTACTTTTTCTGGGGCTCCACAAAATGGGCCCAAAAACCCTATTCTAATTATTAAGGCCCCTATCTTATATGTATCTAAATAGGGAGGCGGACATACATGTCTGCAGTAGTTCCTCATTAGAGTCCTGCATATGTCGCCTACGAACGGCCCATGAATGTTCAAGTAGTTGCTACCTTAACCCCCAACAACCTAATGTAGGAACCTGGTTAAGAAACCTTGGGCCTTTAATAGCGTTCCTTACATGAATCCAGCTATTTGGGGGGTACTGGCCCAGGGTTTCTTAATCAAGTTCCTACAATACCTTCCTTGAGGACTGATTCAGGAAATCATATTCTAGGCTGTTCAGTAACCCGCTGGGGAAAAGTATATATTTGTTTAGGCTTCTTGTTTTATAATAGGAGCCAGAAACCTGAAAGTAAAAAAGTGTGCCACTGAACAGCCTGGTATGAGGAAACCCTAAACAGGTAGGTTATTTTCCAAGGGGAAAAGGAGGGACCCTTACTAAGGACCCCTAGGTATATACCCTTAATATAGCTATTATATACCCATTATATAGCCCATTATAGGGTAGGGGTCCCATTCAGGGTCCGTCCTTTTCCCCTTTGAAAACAGGTAGGTTATTTGGAGTCAGGTAGGGTTTGTGGCATCTTCTCCTCCTTCAGACCGCTCTGCGACACCGTCACGCGCTCCAGCTCAAAAAGGTCCTGGTGGGGAGGAATTTTCCATTTCTACTTGGAGGTTCATGGGTAGTTATAAGCGGTGTTATAAGTAGGGTAACCAGAATTATGACCCATATTAGGGGACTTGCAACCCCACTTATCACTACCCATGAACCTCCTAGTACGGTGCACTTGAAGTTGAGGGTTCTTCGGGCTGTTCAGGGGTAATGTAGGAACCTGATTAATAAACCTTGGGCTCTATTAAGGCTCCTCATTCTCAATCCTACTATTTTGGGGTTATAGGTCCAGGGTTTCTTAATCAGGTTCCTACATTATAAAGGTGTCCGGTACTCTTGCCCGAAACACAAACAGCACCACAACACAACCTGCCCATCCCTAACCCATAGGTTAAGCACGTATCTCCATTGTTCTCCACAGAGGTGTCTTCTTCAATGCGCAGTTTAGGCTTCAAAGAACTGGGCTCTGCCGAGCACTGTCATGATTTGGTGTCATACAGTGAACCCCAGAACGTTGGAACATAGTTTTAGGAGGATTCGTGCTGGGATTCCCTATACTTTACTGTAAGAGAATGAGGCTAATGATGTTCCAACTTTTTGGCTTCTGCTATAGATGCTGCCGGAGACGCCAATTCTCCCCCAACACCGGAGACTCCCTTGAGCTACAGACAATTGCATCGACAGGACCTTTCTGTTTCTTCCGAACTCGAAGAGCATAAGAAACGGGATAGCCCATGCTATTGTTTAGGTTGCGAGGGTTTCTCACAGGATGGGTCATCCGCAGTACCGAGTGTCGGCCAGTCTGTGCAGCTTCTACGGGCGTGGCACCTGTAAAAATTCTCTGGAGAGTGTAAGACATTACGGGCCCTATATTTTCCAGTAAAAATGCTGTTTTCTGAGAGTTTTCATTACAAAAACTTACAATCGTCATAATTTGCATACTAGTGGTTTTCAAGCTTACTTAACCCTGTTGCTCTTGATGCCTGATATGGGAAGTACTTTTCCAATCAGCATGGGATGCACGTGTGACTACCTTTCATTGTGGAGTCTCATGAAGACTATCCGATAAATCAATGCCACTTCAATCTTGTGGTTGTTCTTTGTGTCTCATAGTATAATCTTGCAGATAAATGAGATACAATGCGTTTGCGAAACCGTGCACTTCTCCACCCTTGAATGATGTACAAGACCGGTCAATCTATATAACTTTTGCATATCAACGTAAAGAATCGCTTGCATATCCTACCGGTTTTTGCAGGCCCCATCATGTGCATGGTAACATATGATTTTGGATATAGACGTCCAGCATATACTGTAGCATGACAAGTTGCGTTTGGCATCATACAGGCAGGTTGCTCAAACAGTTCCCACCGTCTCAAGCTGTATACATGCAGGCAATCAACTGGATCGTGTTACCGGATCCGTTTGCATATGTACATATATACATATATGTGCATAGATGTCTTTGCTACATTCAGTTTCGATACCGTTTTTCGTATGAATGCTAGCTTGTTTAGTGCAACCTCCTTCAAGTGCGTATTTATTGTTTGCGATTGTTATTGCATTGGTTGTCCTTGTTTCGGAGCTCCCAGTCCAATAATTTGTCCAGTATTTGGAGCTGTGTGTGCGGAATTGTGTATTTCAATTGCAGTAGCTTCTCACAGAAGCCAACCCAGAAAACTGAGAACCTACGACCTTCGAAGACAATCATCGCATGGATGTTGCTGTATACATCCTGACAGCTACAATCCTGGCTTATCCAGATTAGTGATCATTGCGGCTGAAGCCCACAAGCCCCCAAAGGATAAGGATATAATTGAGTTAATATATTTTTCAAGGAGATGGTGCTTTGCTATCATTATTGTATATGCAAACATATGGAGATCCACCTGCAATATTAATCATTTTCGCTGTCTTGTTACTCATACCATCTAGTCATAGGCTGACTGCCGTGAAAACACATTATTTGCACATGCACACACAAACATACACCGACACGCGCATACGATTGTCATCAGCTGTAAACAATACCGCTTGTTATATCTATGCTGCAGGCAATGCACCTGTATGCCGCAACCATTCTAATATGGTCTTGTTAAAGCCCATGACGCACTTCATCGTGTGTCTTTTGGATATCTACGTATACTAAATCCTGTTACCCAAGAAAACGTATAAGAACTATACTATGCCTAAAACCAACTTTTTAATATGTGACATGATCAAGAAGTCAAGTATCTCTTGTGGTGGAAGTAAACATAGCAGATTACATTGGCAGCTGCATGCCAGTTTTGGCAAGAGTAATGGAGCCGTCATAATGAGGCACCCAACCGGCAGTTGAACAGGATATTCGTCGCATTCCTTCAATGTAAAAGGCATGTTATGTGTTGAATATGGCCATATCAACCTAGAGCACCAGGAAATCTCTTCAACATATCATTATGATATTGAGCCATCCGTATAGATCATCGCAGCAGGTGTCCTTATAAGATGCCAGCATCGTTCGGGCTTCCCCCTTTACGCCTTCCGGCTGCGCGGGCAAGCGGGACTGCACCACATATTGGTTAAACCCCTCGGTAGACCTTTCTAAAAGCCCGGAGACTTATTCTCACACATAAACCCAATCTCGCATGAAGTTACAACAGTCACAGCTAAGTATGAATAGGTCGCAAGATGCAGGCAGCATCTCATGACACATATCTTCTCTATGAGATTTGACTTAGATGTCCTTGTGCGTCCCGTGAGCTTGCCAAGCTCGTATGGCATCTCCCTAGCACCTCATGCTACATGCTTACGAGTGTGTTACGCCATATCATACTATGATGCGCATGGTTCACGTGAAGAGTGATACTTCACCATGACGTGCTCATGAGATATATTGTTTCCATATCTAGCCAGTTTTGGTATAATGATATTCAGATTCCTGCGAGTAGCCGATCCTGATCACAGGAACATAAACCAATAAGGATTTCCAGTTGTAAACTCCCCGACAGAACCCACCATATTGCTCGAACATCGCACAAGTGGAATATTCAAACTCCCGTTTTCATGCACCTATAAGATAGTCGGATTCGGATCCCTTACATCGCAACCTGTCAAAGAAAGGCGAAGACAGTGTTTGTTGTATGTGTTATCGAGGAGACTGCTCATACATGTATCTGACATCCAACATATATACCGACCCTATGTCCTCACATATGCTACCACATCATATGCGACATCAAACATTGTTGTTATCGCTTGACTACGACAGACCCTTCAACTGGTTGTCCATCTGGCATTGCTCAGGCAGTGGTTGTCTCGCGAGTTCGCATCCGTCGAATGTATGTTAATGTAAGGTCTCCTCGTCATATGATGTCATCAGTCATAAATAGTTTATCATCTTTGTGAGCTGTAATCTCAGATATCGACTTTTCTATACGCAGTAAGTCTCTGAGGTCTTTTCTAGATTCTATAGATGTTTATCTGGTAAGTTTGTAATCTTATTGATCTTAATATTCGGCATAGGGTATCTACTCACTTGTAGTGAGGCTTGCATGGGCTAAGGACACCAGGTTTAAATCATGTGGCTCTTGGTTGGTGTCCGCTCCCGCAGTATGGCGCACCATGGCGCTGGCTGTCGCTTGCCTTGCTGTCCCCGCGGGAGGGGGGGGGGGGGTGGCAGCCACCAAAAAAAAATCTGGCGGGGGGGGGGGGGGGGGGGGGCAAAAAAAAAAAAAAATAAATAAATATATATATATATATATATATTTTTTTTTAGATTTTAGTTTTTATTTTTGTTTTTAGCGCTGCCCCCCCCTCCCCTCTAGATTTATTTGTTTTTTTTTGGCCGCCCCCCCCCCCCGCCTTCCCCTTAGTAGCAATGTTCTCGCCCTTCGGGCCTAAACCAGCCAAGAAGTGAGTCAAACCTCTTGCTCTATAGTCACGTCGACAGTTGAAACAAGCACATGTATGGGTATACGTACAAGTATCCTATTTAAGAATATGCATATGAGGATAACGATATCGTGTGCACGAGTGATGTTGCTTCAAATCTGAAGCAAACCAAAAACATGAAAAACAGTAATGCTGTAAATATGGGGCCCGTAATGTCTTATTTTCTGAAAAATATGTACACCCTAGAAGCCAGCAAAAGCGCGTCAACAAACCCTGAGACGATCCGAACAAAACCTAGAAAGCATTACATATATTCATTCATACATGCATGCCTACATACATACATGTTCTCTATGTGTATGTGTATATATACAGATGTATATACACACATACATATCAGTTATATACCAATACAACAACATCCCCACAAGATCCCTGACCGAGCCCCCCGAAAGCAGCCGAGGTGCGGGGATCAAAGGCTGAGCACAGAGCGTCCTTGCAAAGAAAGCAAAGCCGTGACGACGAAGGAAAGTCTGGAGTTTCGCCCAATACCCCTTAATTCAGGAGTATACCTAGAAGCTGCCCCCACCCTGTAATAGTGGTATAATAGGAATATAGTAGGGCCCTAGTATAATCCTTATAGCGATGCCCTAGCTGAAAGCGGCTGAGGTTTAGGGTTAATGATTTAAAATGAGGGCCTAAATAAGAACCAATACTATTGTGTGCGTTCCTTCTTATAAATATAGTATAATGGGCCCCAAAACACTATTGTAATTTTTACGGCCGCTATATTAGGCGTTAAGGTAAGGTAAAGCCTGAAAGCTTCAGGCACAAGAGGAGCCCTTGAGCTCTTTGACCTCGAGGCCTAAACTCACAGGAACCCTTCGCGGGGTAGGGGGGAGGGGAGGGGGGGCTAGGGGACTATACTTCCTTATTAGGGCCTTACTATGGGCATAAAGGCCCCCTACCCCCCCTCCCGCTAACCCCCTAAAGGTCCTTATGATAAATCCTATATGCTCGTAAACCTGGCAAAACCCAGTGCTCACCGAGGTTCTCCCGTGTCGAAACACCACCTGATCAGCACAGGTCAGTCTTAAAGATCGTCTTAAACAACACCTGACCAGTACAGCAGTCTTAAAGACCGTTTAAACAACTAATTACTTGTGCTCTAAACCCTTATAGAGCCCTTTAGAGGAACCCTTATAGTACCCTTATAGTAACCCTCTAAAGGAACCCTAAGGTAGCTGCTTCATGGGCTTTCAGTCTTCGGTCTCCTCCAACTTTCTGTCAACAGGCATTGTGTCGTTACCCATAGGCCCCATAGTAGTTCCTTCTTGGGGTTCATATATAGAATATTATAAGGTAACCCCAGAAAGGAACTACTTTGGGGCCTCTAGGTAACGAGCTGATGAGGTGTTTTGTTCATGCACGACTTTCCGAAAGGCTCCAAACATTTAGATCTCATCTGCGCATTACGCGCTCTTATCGCCGGCATATCGGTTGCAGGTTTGGCGTCCCGCGGCCCTAAACCTAAACCAAGCTTGACGTTTGCACGTAGCGGCAATGAAGAAGCTTCAGGGGTGTCCGATTGAGTTCAATCCAATTTAGGGGTCTGCACAATGTGTAGAACCCGGCTTCGGGGGTTATGGACTATACAGTCTACAGGGACTATATGGGGATACTCTTCCCAGGTCTCATTGGGGATTGGACAGCGGGGATCATCCAAACGGAGGCCCTAGTCCTTGAGGCTCTGTTCTCATACGTGCCAGACGAGATACCTTCTTCCAGCATTCAGCCTGAATCGCGTAATTCGAAGTTCGAACAGCAGAGGTGCTGTCTCAAGCATCTGGGCAACCGGCGATACCAAACCGCATCCGAGCAAAAACTAGCAGTTGTGTCAACTGATTCCTGTCCGGGCGATGCTTTGACACAGCTGAGACCACAAACAGGCCCCACTGCAACACGGCGCACGGCTGCGATGCGGCACATGGAATAGGGGCCCACTGCTCGACATCAACGAAACGTGGGCCCGGGGGTATGAATGCGCACACTCGGCACGACCTTTTAGAGAGCAACCCAACATATGCATCCCAGAAAGTCAGAATATCAGACCATCATGCCTGCAATGACATAATTACTCAGCTAAAACAAGGTACACAACACATCACAACACCACCTTCACGGGCAGCTGCCAACTCAACCAATGGACTATGCCGGCGATGTTTGACACAGCTGAGACCACAAACAGGCCCCACTGCAACATCGCGCACGGCTGCGATGTGGCGCATGGAATAGGGGCCCACTGCTCGACATCAACGAAACGTGGGCCCGGGGGTATGAATGCGCACGCTCGGCACGATCTTATAGAGTGCAAACCAACATACCCATGGCAGAAAATCAGAACATCAGGCCATCTTGCCTGCAATGACTTACTCAGCCAAGCCAATATGTACAACACCACCTTCAAGGGCAGTTGGCAACTCAACCAAAACACCGCGCACGGACTATGCCGGCGATGTTTGACACAGCTGAGACCACAAAAAGGCCCCACTGCAACACGGAGCACGGCTGCGATGTGGCGCATGGAATAGGGGCCCACTGCTCGACATCAACGAAACGTGGGCCCGGGGGTATGAATGCGCACGCTCGGCACGATCTTATAGAGTGCAAACCAACATACCCATGGCAGAAAATCAGAACATCAGGCCATCTTGCCTGCAATGACTTACTCAGCCCAAGCCCACCTTCATATGTACAACACCACCTTCAAGGGCAGTTGGCAACTCAACCAAAACACCGCGCACGGACTATGCCGGCGATGTTTGACACAGCTGAGACCACAAAAAGGCCCCACTGCAACACGGAGCACGGCTGCGATGTGGCGCATGGAATAGGGGCCCACTGCTCGATATCAACGAAACGTGGGCCCGGGGGTATGAATGCGCACACTCGGCACGACCTTTTAGAGAGCAACCCAACATATGCATCCCAGAAAGTCAGAATATCAGACCATCTTGCGTGCAATAAGTTACTCAGCTAAACCAAGGTATACAAAACCACCTTCAAGGGCAGCTGGCAACTCAACCAAAAACACCTCGCATGGACTATGCCGGCGATGTTTGACACAGCTGAGACCACGAACAGGCCCCACTGCAACACGGAGCACGGCTGCGATGTGGCGCATGGAATAGGGGCCCACTGCTCGACATCAACGAAACGTGGGCCCGGGGGTATGAATGCGCACACTCGGCACGACCTTTTAGAGAGCAACCCAACATATGCATCCCAGAAAGTCAGAATATCAGACCATCTTGCGTGCAATAAGTTACTCAGCTAAACCAAGGTATACAAAACCACCTTCAAGGGCAGCTGGCAACTCAACCAAAAACACCTCGCATGGACTATGCCGGCGATGTTTGACACAGCTGAGACCACAAAAAGGCCCACTGCAACACGGCGCACGGCTGCGATGTGGCGCATGGAATAGGGGCCCACTGCTCGACCTCAACGAAACGTGGGCCCGGGGGTATGAATGCGCACACTCGGCACGATCTTATGGATAGCAACTCAAAATACGCATCCCAGAAAGTCAGAAGATCAGACCATCCTGATCGCGATAAGTTACTCAGCTAAACCCAGGTATACAAAACCACCTTCAAGGGCAGCTGGCAACTCAACCAAAAACACCTCGCATGGACTATGCCGGCGATGTTTGACACAGCTGAGACCACAAAAAGGCCCCACTGCAACACGGCGCACGGCTGCGATGTGGCGCATGGAATAGGGGCCCACTGCTCGACATCAACGAAACGTGGGCCCGGGGGTATGAATGCGCACACTCGGCACGATCTTGTAGACAGCAACTACATCACAACACCACCTTCACGGGCAGCTGGCAACTCAACCAATGGACTATGCCGGCGATGTTTGACACAGCTGAGACCACGAACAGGCCCCACTGCAACACGGCGCACGGCTGCGATGTGGCGCATGGAATAGGGGCCCACTGCTCGACATCAACGAAACGTGGGCCCGGGGGTATGAATGCGCACGCTCGGCACGATCATATAGAGAGCAAACCAACATATGCATCCCAGAAAGTCAGAATATCGGACCATCTTGCCTGCAATGGCTTGCACAGCCAAGGTATGCAGAACCACCTTCAAGAGCAGCTAGCAACACAACCAAAAACACCTCGCATGGACTATGCCGGCAATGTTTGACACAGCTGAGACCACGAACAGGCCCCACTGCAACACGGAGCACGGCTGCGATGTGGCGCATGGAATAGGGGCCCACTGCTCGACATCAACGAAACGTGGGCCCGGGGGTATGAATGCGCACACTCGGCACGACCTTTTAGAGAGCAACCCAACATATGCATCCCAGAAAGTCAGAATGTCAGACCATCTTGCGTGCAATAAGTTACTCAGCTAAACCAAGGTATACAAAACCACGTTCAAGGGCAGCTGGCAACTCAACCAAAAACACCTCGCATGGACTATGCCGGCAATGTTTGACACAGCTGAGACCACGAACAGGCCCCACTGCAACACGGCGCACGGCTGCGATGTGGCGCATGGAATAGGGGCCCACTGCTCGACATCAACGAAACGTGGGCCCGGGGGTATGAATGCGCACACTCGGCACGACCTTTTAGAGAGCAACCCAACATATGCATCCCAGAAAGTCAGAATGTCAGACCATCTTGCGTGCAATAAGTTACTCAGCTAAACCAAGGTATACAAAACCACCTTCAAGGGCAGCTGGCAACTCAACCAAAAACACCTCGCATGGACTATGCCGGCGATGTTTGACACAGCTGAGACCACGAACAGGCCCCACTGCAACACGGCGCACGGCTGCGATGTGGCGCATGGAATAGGGGCCCACTGCTCGACATCAACGAAACGTGGGCCCGGGGGTATGAATGCGCACGCTCGGCACGATCATATAGAGAGCAAACCAACATACCCATGGCAGAAAGTCAGAATATCAGACCATCCTGATCGCGATAAGTTACTCAGCTAAACCCAGGTATACAAAACCACCTTCAAGGGCAGCTGGCAACTCAACCAAAAACACCTCGCATGGACTATGCCGGCGATGTTTGACACAGCTGAGACCACAAACAGGCCCCACTGCAACACGGAGCACGGCTGCGATGTGGCGCATGGAATAGGGGCCCACTGCTCGACATCAACGAAACGTGGGCCCGGGGGTATGAATGCGCACACTCGGCACGACCTTTTAGAGAGCAACCCAACATATGCATTCCAGAAAGTCAGAATGTCAGACCATCTTGCGTGCAATAAGTTACTCAGCTAAACCAAGGTATACAAAACCACCTTCAAGGGCAGCTGGCAACACAACCAAAAACACCTCGCATGGACTATGCCGGCGATGTTTGACACAGCTGAGACCACCAAAAAGGCCCCACTGCAACACGGCGCACGGCTGCGATGTGGCACATGGAATAGGGGCCCACTGCTCGACATCAACGAAATGTGGGCCCGGGGGTATGAATGCGCACGCTCGGCACGATCTTATAGAGACCAAACCAACATTTGCCCCCCAGAATGTCAGCGAATCAAACGATCTTGCTTGCAACGAAAAACTCAGCAAACAAAGCTACGCAAAACCACCTTCACGTGCAGCTGGCGACTCTGACAAAAAAACGGTGTGGTTGAGATCTAGGGTCTAAGGTTGACCCAAGATGCTCGAACCCTAAAGCCCGTAGTCCTGACCCTTAGCCTCTCCCGAGCACTATGGCTCTTGAGCCCCAGATGCGGCAAACAAAACCTCTGGGCGTCCGAGCGGTGCACAAAGTCCCGGATTTCCTGCCAATACCCAGGGGTGGTGTAGGGCTCCTCAAGGGATCTATCCATAAGGGTACTATAAGGGATCTATGGGGGTTTAGGGGTTTAAGGGTTTAGGGGTTCCGGGTTTGGGGTTGAGATATTAATGGCCACAGAGTGCTAGAAATGGCATAGATCGCCAAGCTTCTAGAGAAGTGCGGCCTTATATAAGCCTTCGGATTGGCGCTGCCCACAGTGTCCTCTACGTGCTAACGCCCCAACCCCCAAACCCTCAGACTCAAACCCTAAGCCGTAAACCCACAACCCTTAACCACATGTCATGGCAAAGGCCACTGTCATGTTTGGGTCTTCTCTAGACAGGCTCAAGAAGACGGGACTCCAGGGTTCTTCGATTTAGTGCTCTGAGGGTTTAGATAGGGTGCTATTAGGGTTTACGCTTGACGATTTAGGGCTCGAAGAGTTCTGAAACTGTACTATAAGACTTCTATATACCAGTCCATGGATTCCTGCTTGGGTTTTAAGTACCGCTAAACATGCAACATGTTATCCAGCTATGACAAACAAAGCCCTAAGGGCTTTTTACAGTTTGTCAGAAACTCGCTTTGCGTTTTGGGCTTCAACGGCAAAGGACCAGTTCGCAATCATGCAGAACCGAACCCAAATCCGAAACCTCAACCCATCGACATAGCTGAAGGGGTCCTTACAAGTTCTATATACCTTACCCTGTGCCCTCTACCTTGCCAAACCCTAAACCCTAATCAAACCGTGAAGTGGGAAAAACCCAAGCCCTCGTCTAAAAGCCCTGCCTTCACCAAAGCGAATGCAGGAAAGTCTACATCCGCGGAAAGCAGATCCTGGGATCGGGCTTACAGTACTTGGAGGTTCATGGGTAGTTATAAGTCGGGTTATACGTCGGGTAACCATAATAATTATGGCATATTTTATACAACTCGCATTATGGGGGTTGTAATCCCACTTATAGCTACCCATGAACCTCCAAGTAGGGTTTTGGACTTAAAGGATTCCGGGGTTTAGGGCTGCCCTAACTGTCTGGCTTGCAGTGCAATCGCCGCCTGAGAACCGATTGAACGCTGTTGTCTTTAAAAACAGACGGTGTAGGCTTCTGGGAAGTGCGCACAAGGGCGAAACACAACATCCCAAACTCCCGAAGCTAAACCCTAGTTGCCCAAAATGCTGTCCCCGAGTTGGTGTAATGTAGGGGCCTGAGTGGCTGGTACAGGGGATGTTGGGGGATGTCAAAGAAGTGATGATCATAACTATTAGAACCATAATAAGACTTAGTATGTTTAATATTCCCCTTTGTTATATGAACCATAATAAGACTTAGTATGTTTAATATTCCCCTTTGTTATATGAACCATAATAAGACTTAGTATGTTTAATATTCTCTTGGGTTATATGAGCAAAAAACGAGAAAAACATTCCTGAGGAGATTTGGGGTCCAGGTAAACTCTAAACCGTTGTGGAGTGGACTCGTGGGCGGGCAGACATCGATACCCTAAACCCTAAACCCTAAACCCTAAACCCTAAACCCTAAACCCTAAACCCTATACCCTAAACCCTAAACCCTAAACCCTAAACCCTAAACCCTAAACCCTAAACCCTAAACCCTAAACCCTAAACCCTACGTCAAAGCCCGAAGCCCCGAAGTCCTGTTTGCCCTAAACGGGTTGAGGTGCGGGGGTTCTAGGGTTTAAAGGGTTTCGGGCTTAGGGGTTTAGGGTTTAAAGGGTTTCGGGCTTAGGGGTTTAGGGTTTAGGGTTTAAAGGGTTTAGGGATTAGGTTTAAGGTTTGGGGGCTAAAGGGTTTAGGGGTTCAGGGGTTTAGGGTTTAGGGGCTAAGGGGTTTAGGGTTTAAGGGGTTTACGGTTTAGGGGGTTTAGGGTTTAGGAGTTTAGGGTTTAGGGGCTAAGGGGTTTAGGGTTTAAAGGGTTTCGGGCTTAGGGGTTTAGGGTTTAGGGTTTAAAGGGTTTAGGGATTAGGTTTAAGGTTTGGGGGCTAAAGGGTTTAGGGTTTAAGGGGTTTAGGGTTTAGGGGCTAAGGGGTTTAGGGTTTAAGGGGTTTACGGTTTAGGGGGTTTAGGGTTTAGGAGTTTAGGGTTTAGGGGCTAAGGGGTTTGGGGTTTAAGGTCCTCAGTGCACTACTGTGACCCTTGGGAACCTAAGGCAAAACACAGGGGATCCTAGTAGACCGAGCACCAATCATCTTTCGGCCATGTTCCAACTTGTTGGGCTTCGCTGTATGTGCAAACTATCCAACGAGTTGGACGTCTTCCAAACCCAAGGGTCCAAGTACCTAATAATCAGATACTCTCCAAAAGCCTAACCTACATCCCTAAAACTGAGTACCCAATTATTTAGGGGCAACGGAAAACATCTCCCCGTTGATGCCTCCAAGTCCGACTCGCGCGCAGGGCGGACCAAAGGCGCCTATAAACGCAGCAAGGCGACGGCAAACTCACAACCCAAAGCCTAAACGGTTCAGAGTTTAGGTATAGGAGCCCGCACCTTAAACCCTACACCCATCCTGACACCTCGACCCTAAACCCTACTTAAAGGATCGTGGGACTTAGTAACTAGGGTTATAATTCGGGTAACTATACTTATAACCCCAATTAAGGTACTTATAACCTTACTTACTAAGTCCCATGAAACTCCAAGTACAAACTCTAAATCCCCAAACTCATGGCGCGATTTCGGGCTTCAAGGCCTCATCGAAACTCGACTCTGGGCTACGGGCGCGGGGGTTCATGGGATTTGCGCTGTCTAGGTCTAGGTTTAGGGGGTGAGATATACGGCCTGCGATTCTGTAGAGCAGGTATTGCAGGGGAAACATAGTCGTGGGTGCACCTTTGAGGTTGTAAACTGAGGGTTCACGGGCTAGCTTTTCAGTCAGCGTAGGTTTTGTTTTTGTATGTCAGGGCTGATGCTAAACTCTAGAACCAAGCTTCAACATGTAGCCTGACACGTTTGTCTTGTCTTGCATCTGTGTGTGTCGTTCCCCCTATCGAACCTCGAGCCCATGTAACAGAACCCTTATAGCACTTTATTGAGACCTTACTGCCAATGCTTATCTTAAACCATTGACTATACTGGAACCCCAAACCTTTAATACAGGGACCTTAATAATTAGAATGGAGTTTTGGGGCACTTTATACCATAGCCATAAGAAGGAACCACCAAAATAGCATAGGTAGTTACTTATTACTATAGATCCCTTATAGACTCCTTATAGGACCCCTTTAAAGGGAACCCTAGGCAATTATGAAGGCCCCTTTTTGGTCACCAGAGCAAGCTCGAGCCTGCAGCCGCGCATAGCGGCCGCGGACGAAGACTCCATCATTGAAGCTGCCGACCCTCAGAGCTGGCCATGCTTGGGTAGTTATAAAGGGAACTCCAGAAAGTTGGAATATGGAATAATGGTAGGATCCCCTATAATTTACCTTAAAGGGGTTACGATAATGATATTCCAACTTTCTGGCTTCTACTGTAAGGATTTCTTTCAAGGGTCCCTTAAAGGGATCTAAAGGGATTCTACAAGGGTATAGGGTATTGTAGTACCCTTATATATAGATTCCTAGCTGGCCATGCTTGGAGGTTCATACTGCTGATGGACAAAATCCTGCATGACCCTAAGGACTCTAAACTATGGGAACTAAGGTATATTCCTTGTCATGGGTAATGCAGGATTTTGCCCATCAACAGTATTAAGGGTTCCTTAAAAGGGATCTATATAGGGATTGAGGGTTTAGGGATTAAGGCTTTAGGGTAGCAGTATTACAGTAGCCTCATAGATCCCTTATAGTAACCCTTACAGACAGGAACCCTACAGTAATTTCTAGGGCCCCTATATCAGACTTCCCGTACTTGGAGGTTCATGGGTAGCTGCAAGTTGGGTTTATAAGCAGGGTAAGCGTAAGTTTTGTATAACTCGTATTTGGGGACTTATGACCCCACTTATAACTACCCATGAACCTGCAAGTAGAAGGAGTTTATGCGTGTTTAAGGTTCTTAAGGTTTCGGTTTAGGGTTCTTAGTGTTTTGAGGGTTTAGGGCCAAAGTTTGGGGTTTGAGGTTCCTAAGGCTTCAAGGGGGTTTAGGGTTCTCAAGTTTTATGGGTTCAGGGTTCTAACTAGTGTTTTGTTTAAGGGTTGTTGGGCGCTGTTAGGATTTGAGGTGATAGTTGGCCATAGAAGCCTAAACCCTAAACCCTAACCCCTGAACCCCTAAACCCTGAACCCCTAAACCCTAAACCCTGCTCTGCAAAAAAGGTTATAAAACAGAGCTTTTTCTAGTGGAGCTGTTCGACCCGACCTGCAACGCCTAAGGGTTCTTGTCGGGCTCTGTATAGCCACGGTTTAAGGCTTAGGGTTTAGGCTTTTAGGGTCCTTTTTGCTTGATGGCCTTTTGGTGTCTCAAACCCTTTAGGACTTTAGGGTTTTAGGCTTAAGTGTAATTAGGGGCTCAGGGATCCTCTCCCTGAATCTTTCGATTCACTGCCACCTTCCGACGACAAAGTTGCCACTCGGATGCGAGTGGGCGTCTCATCGTACTTAAGGCTTGGCACGAACAAGATCGGCCTTGCACTTCGACTCTGCTGTAAGGCCGTGAGCATAAGGCTCCACATCAAAACCAGCACCGCAGTGTTGCCGATGGCAAGGCTAGCAAGCTTCTCTGCACCACAGTCCGATTCGCGGCCTTGCTTCATCAGTTTTAAGGTTTAAGGTTTAGGGGTTCAGGGCTTAGGGCTGAGTGAAATAAGCAAAATAAATCTCATCATCCTGACTGCCAGGCTCATTGAAATCAAAATCCGGAGGCGTCGGGCGGTTGGTATTCACGGCTACTCGAGGCTGACCTAAAACCTATGGCCCTAAGGATTAGAGTTCAGGGTTCAATTCCAAACACTACATCTGAAAGGAACTACAGGTTAACCTTTGGGATGAAATGGGGATTATAGTACCAAGGGGATTTGTGCAGAGTTTGGGCTTGACTTCGTCTTTATGTCGGCTTACAAGTAGGTTTGGTACAGCTACAGAAAGCCAGCTATGATTATACAAGTATCTAGAACCTTAAGTGGCGAACATGTATATACATATGTTACTATGCTCCCTGAGCCGTCAAATTTGATGCTGCCGTGGAGCAGCGCGGTCAGCCCATCTGGAAACACGTACCTGAACCAGACAACTTCATCCAAAACGAGGAATTACGAACATGTCTGTGAAGGTAGAGCGTTCAGGGATTTAGGGCCTTCCGGTATATGGAGCTCAGGGCTGGGGAGTTTTTGAAAGTCCAGGGGCCAGATTCATGACTTTAGGTTGCTCAGGTTCTGATGGTTATAGTAAACCCCAAAATTGTTGGAAACCTGATTAAGGCCAAATAGTGCTGGGATTCCTTATACATTACACTTACGGATTGAGGCTATTGGGTTTCCAACTTTGAGGCTTCTACCATAGGGGTTCAGTTCCGGGCTCGAGGAGGAAAGTCCGAAGCAACGACCTCCAGTCGAGGAGGAGTGCTGGAAACAGCGAGAGCAGCACACATGCAAAGGATATTCAATTCGTGGGCTTTGAAGGATAAAGCCCGGCCTATACGACGGATCAAATCAAGGAAAGAACAATATCACACTGACTATTTAAACCAAATAATAAACACTAAAAGCCCTAAACCAAACCCAAACTCCCAGAAGCCGGCTTATCTCCCTGGTGCTTAGTCGGGAATGGATCCCTATAGTAGCCCCTGTAAAATCCCCAATAATATTCCCCCACTCCCTAACCCCTAAACCCTGTAGACCCCCTTAAAGGATCCCTTAAAGAGACACATAACCCACTCCCCCATTCCCTGAGAAGCAGCTTTGGTTCCTTTGGCGGCCTGCCGATCTGGTAGTCTCAGAAACAAATGACCCCCCCAAGCCCCAAACCCTAAAACCACCAAGCCCTGAACCCCTAACCCCTATACCCTTAAATGCCAAGGACCCTGAACCCTAAAACCCCTAAACCCTGAACCTAAACCCCCTAGACCCCCAAACCCCTAATAGACCCCCTAAGCCCAAAGCCGGGGGGCAGGATGTCATCACCACTGTGCTCACCTTCAGCATCCACGGCGCCGACGACGCCTCAGCCGGATACAAGATTGAGGGTCTTATGGTTCATCGAAGGGTTTTATAGGGCTTAGGGTTAATCGGGTTTTAAGGGCAGTTATAATTGGGGTTATAAGTCCCCATATGGGCTATAAATATGGTTACCCTACTTATAACCCCACTTATAACTGCCCTAAAACCCTAATCCCCCAACCGAATCGGACCCCTAAAGGATCCCTAAACCTTATAGGACCCTTAAAAGGAACCCTAAACCCTATAGAACCCACGAAGCTCCAAGTAGGGTTCTGCAGTTCGGGGTTCGTGGTCTTGCAGCTTTGGCTCACTCATAGGGGCCTTAATAATTACAATAAGGGTTCTTTTAAAGGGTTCCTTTTAAGGGAGCTCTATAAGGGTTACTATAAGGGCTACTATAAGGATTTAGTATAGGGGCCTTGATAATGAGAATAAGGTTTCTTTAAACGGTTCTATAAGGGATATACACTAGGGTTCGAAAAAAGGGGGCCTTAACAATTAGAATAGGGTTTGGGGGAATATTATAACATCATTATAGCAAGGAACCCCGCAATAGTATGGGTAATTCAAGCCCCAATAGTACCCGGCATGTTGAGAGATCCAAGTACTCATCTTCTTCCTCATCTCGCGCAGGTGGATGATGCTCCAACATTCCATTCATCTCATCGGTAGCATCCTGCCTGTGGGGCTATCGCGGGTCCGCTTTCGGCCAAGTTGGTGTTGAGCCGTATGTGGTTGGTTTTGGAAGCATGGTTCCGTGCGGGAGGCGTTCTCTCTATCACAGCCTTGACCATCGTGATCTGCAAAGTGGTTGGATCGCAGAGATCGTCTCCTTTCATTGGCCGCACTCCTTCTATTCCTGGAGCATAGGCCATTCCGAAACCATTGGCCAATCTAAGCGCAGCACCCTGCCTAGTGCCGTTAGTCGCTCTGTAATTAACGGCACCGTTCCAGAAAATTGTAGCTTGCGAATCGTCCTCCTTAAGTTTTTCACCTGACGCCATCATGTACTTGAAACAGTTAGAAGCCCCTCTGCTTTGTAATCCTTCGAAAGGTTTCAGACTGAACATGCCAGCAAACCAAGCCAAGACAAGCTCTCAAAGTTAAAGGTATCGCATATAAATATCAAAGATCCGCAACTATCTATATGCCTGGAATCTCAATACGAGCCCGAAGCCCTGTGCGCATCCTGAACGGGTCTTGTTTTATGTTAAACTACGCTTATAGAGAGACTTTAAGTTTTCTGTTAAAGAAACGACGCTTGTGAAACCCAATAAAACCGTAATACAACACTATACTTACGACACCTATAAAGCCTTCATGAAACCGTTCAAAAAAACACCTGCAGCCCTGTAATCCCTGCAGTAGTTCCTACCACATGGTTATGAAGTTATGAAGTACCCTACATCAGGGTTACAGGTAGATATACCCCTAGTTACATTGCTCAATTATAAACCCACTTACTAAAGCCCTGACCCTCTAAGTAGTCCCTGCAGCATGCCGAGCCACAACCTCCGAAGTCATCAAAGACCTGCGCCATGCCGGCGCGAACGTCCTTTTCTGAACGGCTTCTAGGGCTGGATTTCGCTTGAAGAGCTCTGCAACGATTCCAGAAGGAATATTACGGGATTTCTGCAAGGGATCGAAAAGGATTCGATGAGGGTGGCTCTAGAATGCGCTTAAGGGTTCAATGTTGGTGTTTGTAGGGGGTAAGGTTGAAAGTTTTCAGTATCGGCGAAGATGTGGGATCCCACCCTTAGGGGGGTAGGGGAGAGGGGGGTAGGGGGCTTTAATACCCATAATAAGGACTTAATGCCCTAAGCCCTAAGCGTCCCTATGACACGAGAAAGCCTGGCAGGCAGCAAGCCCATAATGCTAAACATCAAAATACCTGCTATATCCCTGTTAGGGTTTCTTGTCCCTGGTCTAACGTTTCTGCCCAAAACCCAAAAAATAACGTCTGAACCCTAAGCCCTATATAATGTAGGGGCCTTCATAATTAGAATGAGTCCCCCTTTAAAGAGATCTATAGCAGGGCCCTCAGCCCCAACCAAACCTCGCCAAACACACGAGAACTCCTTCTCAAAGGCCCCTCGGAAGACGAGGAGGCCAGCTTCATCCAACTGCCTGAAGTTGGGAAAATTTGCGAACATTTCGGGTCTCTTCTAAAGGGATCTAAAAGGGTTCCTCTAAGGGTCCTTAAAGGGATCTATAGGGTTTAGGGTTTGGGGGTTGGGCGTTTCCGAAAAGTCGGGGTACCTCAGGGTTCCTTTATAACGGGTTACTTTAAGGGTTCATTTAAAGGGCTTGATAGGGGTACCTTATTTGGGGTTCCTTATGATAAGGATCCTACTATTCAGGGTACTATATTAGGGTCCCATATTCTCGGAAACCCCCAGTTGGACGTCATGTTCAATACTACCAGGTTCATAGCAACACTAACATTAGTACACACACACACACGAATACTAATACTGACAAAACTTACGCAATTGTGCTAATACGAGCACTGATAGTAACACGGCATACTGATACTCATACTATATTTCTAACATTGGCACTACTATAACTATTAACATGTTGATAACTGAAATTCACTACGAATGCAAAGACAGTACACTCTAGACCATAGAACATCATAGAACCGTCTTGGGGGAGCTCTGGGACTAGAAGGCACCGTACATCCGGATGCTTTGCCTTTATAGTGGAACTTCACTGCTCCGGTGTAGGGTTTAAAGGCTTGAGCTGTGCAAGTTCCGGGGCTTGACATTTACAGGCTGGAGCACTGGAGCTACAGTAGCAAGCCAGGGGTTCAGGGCATTGGGCTTGAGAGCTGCAGAATTACACTGGATAACAAGATGCAGCAGAAGGTTCTTCACTTTCAAGAGCTCTGGTTGAGGTCTTCTGGTGTGCTCAAATTTTCGGCTCTGCGACGGCTGCCAATAAAGTGATGATGCTACTGCTTCGGGGCGTCGGATTCGGGAGACCGCTCTATCTGATAGAGTGCGACACGGTCTACTTGAAGCACTCGCACCGGAAGTCCCTAAGGAACGGCGTCCCAACATGGCTGCTGGAGCTCATTTCCCTGTCGGATTCTAGTGTTTTACTGCAGTGCGACTAATGCCACTAGCTACTGATACCTAAACCCACTCCTACTCCTACTCCTCCTCCTCCCCCTCCTCAATGTTCTCGCACTCGTACTCGTATCGTAGTAGTATTAGGAGTAGTCGTCGTCGTAGTGGAAGTAATAACGTGGTAGTAGCAAGGCTCATACGGCAATAGCAGCACTCTGTTGTCCTGTTACTGCCTTCGGTGGATGATGCTGCTGCTACAACTACTATGACCTGTCATAATTGCTCATCACGGTATGATGCCTGGTTATGAACTGTGGTGGGGTTTCGGTCAGTAATGACTGTGCACATTGAGTCTAATCATCATCGGCCCAACACCCACTTAATCATCTACTTTTTCAAAGAGTAACCTACATAACTTCCATCCGAAACCTAAGTACCTACGTATTGGGTCCTTTGGAACCCCTAAACCATTGCGAAAGAATGGCACGGCGCGCCCATGCAGCTGCCCCGCCACGTAGGAACCGACCTGGTCTCTGCCATTCTAGTATATGGGTGGTTGTCAAAGTTATGGCCCCTTTTGGGGTACCCTAAATAATAGGTGCCGTACTATAAGAGGGACCCAAACAAGGATCATAGTTTTGACAACCACCCATGTAGATAGAGGCCTTCATAATTAGAGTTGGGTTTGGGTGCCCAATACACTATAATGGCTATAATTATAATAAGGAGCCCCCAGAATAGTAGAGGTAAAGAATTTATAAGGCCCCTATACCCACGATTGAGGGCCATAAGGACTCTAGTCAAGGGCCGTTGGTGGGTCCTGGTTAAGGCCCCAACCCCAAACAATCTGAACCCCTAAACCCTTATAGAGCCCTTTAAAGGAACCCTTATAGTACCCTCTAAAGGAGTCCTAAACCGTTATTAAGGCCCCCATATACACTGTAGTGAAAATAAGGAACCCCCAGACCAGTATAGGTAATCATAAACGCCCCCATTTTACAGAACCCTTCTATAGATCTTCGAAGGAACCCTTAAATGAACCCTGCTCGAATTATTAAGGCCCCTTTTCCTACATCCTTAACTATGGCCCCGATATCCCTTATTGAACCCTTAAAGGAACCCTTAAAGGAACCCTGAAAGGAACCCTCAAAGGAACCCTTAAAGGAACCCTTAAAGGAACCCTGAAAGGAACCTCAAAGGAACCCTTAAAGGAACCCTTAAAGGAACCCTTGAAAGGAACCCTTGAAGGAACCCTCAAAGGAACCCTTAAAGGAACCCTTAAAGGAACCCTTAAAAGGCAATGCCTTTCTGTGAAATTTCTTTGGCTCTCGCGGCTTCGCTGTCGAGGCTCTGAGGCGGCTTAGACCTCCCGAAGGGTGCCTGCCCTCCCGGATCCCCCAAAAAGAGCCCCTTAAGGTATTCTTAAGAGTTTAGGGGTCAAGGGTTTTAGGGCCAATGGTTTTAAGGTTTAGGGTTTTAGGGCTTTAGGGTTTAGGGTTTTAGGGCCCTAAACCCTGAAAATGTAACCCCTAAACCCCAAGTTCCTATCCTAAACCCTAAACTCCTGAACCCTTAACCGTGAGCTCCTAAACCCTAAATCCTAAACCCCTAAACCCTAAACTCCTAAACCCTAAACTCCTAAACTCCTACACCCTAAACCCTAAACTCTTAAACCCTAAATCCTAAACCCTAAACTCCAAAACCCTAAACTCCTAAACCCTTAACCGTGAGCTCCTAAACCCTAAATCCTAAACCCCTAAACCCTAAACTCCTAAACCCTAAACTCCTAAACTCCTACACCCTAAACCCTAAACTCTTAAACCCTAAATCCTAAACCCTAAACTCCAAAACCCTAAACTCCTAAACCCTTAACCGTGAGCTCCTAAACCCTAAATCCTAAACCCCTAAACCCTAAACTCCTAAACCCTAAACTCCTAAACTCCTACACCCTAAACCCTAAACTCTTAAACCCTAAATCCTAAACCCTAAACTCCAAAACCCTAAACTCCTACACCCTAAAGCCCCGAACCGTAAACTCCTAAACCCTGAACCGAGCTCGCAGCCATTGTGGTCCGGTCGTCTGGATCGTAATACCTCTCAGAGGAAAGAAAGCGAGTTCTCTAGGGCGTTAAAGGGTTTCTATACAGCGCTTATAGGGTTTTCTGTAAAGCTTTGGTAGGAGCGTTTAGATGGTTTCATAAGTCCTTTTCTAGGGTTTTATCAGGATCTCCTTCAGTGCAGGCCCCAGGGTCGTTATTCGGGAACTCGCTGGGAATTCCGCTGTCGGACTCAGCTTCCCGGCGGTTTTTGGTGGCTTACTTGGAGGGTCGGGGGACTTAGTAACTGGTTTTTTTTAGGGACTTATAACTACCATAACCCCAATTAGGGTCCCCTTTAGGGTACTTATAAGTCTACTTACTACCTACTAACTAAGTCCCCCGACCCTCCAAGTAGGGCTTGAAGCCATCGTATCAATCCTGACGCCATGCTACTAGCAGTACTACGGTTGATGATATAAATCCTGCAACTCCGATAATAAGGAATATACCAAAATTTCTTGCACAGGGAAACCTTCGGCACCGATAGCTTCCACCGTCAAGTATCGAGGCCTAACGGTAAAGAGAGATGTTCTGCGAGCTAAAGGTTTTCGGGAACCCCAGAAAGAATAGCAGCCTCCCGATTCAGACCCTTTTCTTGAGGCGCTTGCGATGCTTTCATGGATTTTCGAGATTACAGAGACGGGAATGTCGGGATTCGGGAACTGGGGTGGTTGTAGGGCTTAGGGTTTATCAGTGTTTCTCACGGCTCTAAAGCGGTTTCAGAAAATCATGGTTCGTATGAGGGTGTAGATACTCTTATGGGATCTCTACGGCATTGTGCTAAGACCCTAAACCCTAAACCCTGAACCCTAAACCCTAAACCCTAAACCCTAAACCCTGAACCCTAAACCCTGAACCCTAAACCCTAAACCCTGAAGCCTAAACCCTGAACCCTAAACCCTAAACCCTAAAGGGCAAGGATGTTCAGCTCTCGATGTTCAGCTCTCAGGATGCATGTGTCTGCAGTTAAAGGCTCCGGAAATTGTGACTGTCGTGTATCTGCAGGGTTTACGGGTTAAGACATACGTTAACCCTGAATAACCTACCTTTTTTAGGGATCCTTATTATGATTTCCTTATATACCCAGTATAAGCCCTTTAAAAATCTAGGTTCTTCGGGGTTAAGGTAGTCTCCAGGATGGGTGGAACGTAGAAATCTCAGCTATCAGCCCGGCTCAGGATGAAACAAGTTCTGGTTGGCCTTTGCCGTCTAGGGTTCCCATACCTGTGTGCTTGCACTCTATGGTCTAGCTTGGGACGAAATATCAGATCTGCTTTGTTGTTCAATTATGGCTAAGGGCCAAGGGTGTGAAGCTTCAGCTTTGACTGCATCTCCGATCGAGGTTGGGACGTGCGGTATGGTCTGTGTGCGGCGTGCCCGTAAGTTCCCACTCTTGCGGGCCGGGGCACTCGCAGCGTCCGTGCGGCTGTCCGGCAGCGAACCCGCCTCACTGGTGGCCCCGTAGGACTTAGGGAAAATCGCAGACTTATGGTGGCCACCGGCTTAAACCCAAACCTACGACTTATAAACCCTGTAAGCCGCAGACCTTATAAATCCTTAACCCTAAAACGCTAAACCCAAAGCCCTAAACCCCCATGCCTAAACACCTAAACCCTATAAACCATAAACCTCTTATATCCTCTTATGGTTTCGGCTCGCAACGAGTGTTCACACGTCGCCCTATCTTGCGAGGGCCTTCTTGGGCTGCCTGCTACGCGAGGCTCGTGCGTAGCGGCGAGCACCTACAGGTTCAAGGATCGTTTCACGATTAAAGAATATCCCATATATAGCACATAATAATAAGAATAACAATATATATATATATATATATATATGTAACTTCTGATAACCCCATCTTAACCCCAACGAATGGATCCATACTCGCAAAGTTCAAGCACTCCCAACTTTGGCTACCCAAATTTCGAGGTCTGAATGAATGCCAGTTACACAGGAGCCCTTTATAAGTCACGAGACTCAAAACCCTCAATCTGGATTTCTTCTCTCAGCCAGAAACCAGAACAAGATACAACACATGTTCCCGCAGAACCGTTCTGACCTTTCATAACACTTATCTTTACGTCTACATAAATGCAATCTTCCCTCTTCCGCCCCTCCAACACCCAAAGAACACTTCCTCCCTGAGCCCATGCAAGGAGCCTTTGCAAGTGCTGCCGTCTGCAAAACGCAGGAGGCCCTGGCCACTCTGTAGGCCATGCTCGAACTCCTTGTCCCAAAGGGTCCTAACTACCTACATGGGGAATACTTACTCAACTCATAAGCAACTCCTAACATAGACACCCTACATTCAACCATAGAGGTACTTTGGACCCTTTGGGTTTGTCGGTGGCCGAGGGTTTGTACTGCTGGTGTTTTCGGCTTCAAGGTGCAAGGCCAGCGAAATCCTGACCTCGAGGGTCGCAGGAAAAATTATCGGTATGATTGCTATTGGGCCATTGGGCATGGCATGTGAATCCGAGGAGGGCGGGCTTCCACTGGCCACGTAAAGGGGCGGGCTTGTTTGGGTGTGGCTCCTCTCGCTAGAAAGCTATTTGGGTGGAACTGCCTCAGCAACCACAATTTCGCGACTGCAGCCAAAACACAACTGCTACTGCAGCTGCCTACTACTCCTACCACTCCTACTCCTACTTACCTACTACTCCTACTGCTCCCACCACTCCTCTACTACTACTGCTGCTGCTACCACTACTTACTACTGCCACTCCTTCTCCTCCGACTCCTGCTCCTCCTACTACTCCCACTCCCAGGCCCACGCCTGCTCCCAAAGCTGCTCGTCCTCCTCCTACTTACTCGTGCTACGACAAGCACTAGTACTCTAACTTGCTCGTTATAGCTAATCATCAGAACAAAGATACGCCTGAAGGTACTTGGATGATCATGGGACTTAGTAAGTAAGGTTATAAGAACCTTAATCGGGCTTATAAGTATAGTTACCCTAATTATAACCCTATAGTTACTAAGTCCCATGATCCTTTAAGTAGACAACTCCTAGATCGAATCTTCCTCCGCCTTTTTGAGCCAAAAATCCCAACGACTCCAGTGGTTTCCTGAGACGGGCGTCCCCTTCGTAGACGGCGCCCTTCATTTTCAGAATGCCGCGGCCGTGTGGGTTCCCGGCCTGTTTTTGCGAGCTGGGGATTTGGCGAAGTAAGGCTCCAGACTGCCAGGGTTCTAGAGCAAGGGATCACGGTTTAGGGTCTCCAAGGGCTCTGGAGGAAAAGATCACGATTTATGGTTTAAGGGTTTTGGAGTAAAGGATGGCTTGGCCCTGCCTCATCCGTATCACCGGTGTAATCCAAGCTGGAAGACGCAGGCCTGCAAGCTCGACTTGGAGGATCAGTGCACCTAGTAAGGTTACTATAAGGGAACTAAGGCTATCACAACTGATGACATGGCCCCAACGAATATACCTCATATTCATTGGAGTCATGGGTACAGTTATAACTCCAGCCCTGTTATAGTCATAACATGTCATAACGTTGCTTCCAAGTCCGCTGCTCTGCCAAGTAATGCAGAGGTTTTCCTGGTGGCTTTGACGCACAGGGACTGGAGTAGACCCTGGGTCGTAGACTGTTCTATGGCCCACCTCTTTGGGGTATATTTCCGGTCACATGTCTTGGGGTATACCAACCGCAATTCAATTGCCTCCATGCTCTGGCACGCTCAGCGAGCGTCCCTTCGTCGTAATCTGGGAAGTCCACCGTCTTCGTAGCAGCAAAAGCTCCAATCAGTGCAGCAAACAGCTGGCGCTCTCAGAAACACACGATCCCCAGTACATGCTATTCCAAACCCAGACCCCCGAGAGGATCTAGAAAGTAGATCCCCCAATTTGAGGAGTAATTTGGGGCCCTATACGACTAAGGGTACTTTATAGGAACCCCCATTAGGGGATCTACTTTTTGGATCCTCGCGAAAATCTGGGAACAGCTCATATCCCTAGACTCGGAAAAGCAAACGATAAACATACCCTAAGGCCCCTCTAAAACAACACCCCAACACACCCTGAGCTTAACCTCTACCCCCCTTAGAACCATGAAAATAAATTGGTTCTGATCTTCTCTTGGGTTTTATATGAACATTCCTAAGGAGACCATCGTAACCTAAACTCAACCTAGACCCTCGGCACGAAGAGCAGCTTTGAAACTTGGAGGCCGAGAGGTCTTGCGAAGCACTAAACTAAGGTTTAGGGTTCTAGGGGTTTGGGGTTTAGGGTTTTAGCGTTTAGGAATTAAGGTTTAGGGTTAAGGGTTCCTGCATGCCCAAAACTCAAAACCCTAAACCCCAAAACTGAAATGCACAACCCTAAAAAACGAAATCCTGGATCTCAGCCCTACTCTGCATCCCCAAATCCTACAACATTGCAGTCAGGTTGTTCGACCCTCACATGTAAGGTATAACGCCACATAATGCTAGACAGTTGGAGACACAAGGAAGCCAAAAAGACCTTGACCCCTGAACCCTTAAACTCTAAACTCGGAACTCTTAGGCCGTAACTGTTAACACCTAAACTCTAAACTCAGCAACCCCAGTCCCTAAACCCGAAGACCTTAAACCCCAAAAGCCCTTGAAGCAACTCCTATAGAACCCTTTAGAATGAGCCTTAAAAACCCCAATCCCCTTGTTGTAACCGCTATGGAAGTCTTCACACGGAGTTCAGTACAACCCTCAAAGCCCGCCCCCAGAACCGTGTGATTTTGGGTAGTTCTCCAAACCAGGGACCCAAAAAAGGACCCTACTTTAGGGTAGTACCCTGAACCCAACCCCTAAACACCCCAAACCCCCGAAACCCTAAAACCCTTAACCCTAATCCCCTAACCCTAATCCCTAAACATCTAACCCTAAACTCTATAAACCCCAAACACCCGAAACCCTAAAACTTGGTCGAATACATTCGAATACCTCCTCAGCCGGCTCGCGGGCTTCCTGAAAGGCTTCAAATGTTGAAAAGTTATGGCTTCACGGATTTATCGGGGTTGTGGAAGGGTATATGGCTTTAGGGGCTTTAGGGGTTTCATTTTGGGGGGGCTTAAGGATTTGAGTTTAGGGGCTTAGGGGTTTTATGGAGTTTCTTAGTTTGATTTCAGTTTCAAACAGCAGGGCTTCATGTGCATAAAACCCATCCCTGTGCCTAAACCTTAACTGCAACAACACTCCTTGATGGATCAGGAAAGACCCCGAGCCCCAAGCCCTTGAACCCTCTCGCTGCTTCCCCTCAGGTACCTTTGCTGGAACCCTTAGTACCGCAAAAGAAACCCGAAGAAAAAGCTGACAAAGCAAAGCCCCAAATCAACAACCCCTAAATACCCTAAACCCTGAATCCCAAACCCCTATAGCCCTAAACACCCTAAACCCGAAACACCCCAACGAAACCAGAGTCAATTTCAGCCGAGGAAACCCAAACCTCTAATCAATCCCTAAACCCCTGAACCCTAAACTATACTGAACTTAGAACCCTAGAAAAAATTACAATTTTAGCTGTTTCTCAGGGGTTATAACAACCAAAAATTTAAAAACATCTAAGTGCCCCTAAGTAAACCCCGAAAGCCCCAAACCAGAGCCCCTTTCAGCCGAGGAGCTTCCCCGCGGGTGCGGAGCGCTCCCTGGCAGCCGGCCGCTTCTGCGGAGCCATGCCGGCGGAGTTCTCGAGAAGGACCCTCGTTTAGGGTTTGGGGTTCAGGGTGTCTCTAAGAGTCCCTTCAAGCTTTCTACAACGGTTGTAAGGTTCGGGGAAAGTTTTCAGGGATTCAGGGTTTATAGAGTTTCAAGGTTTAGGGTCTTAAGGTTTGGGGTTTCGGATTTCAGGGTTTGGGGTTTAGGGGGCTGAGTTTTGAGGGCTGAAGACTGCGTGTTATATGGCTTTCATGGGGTTTACGGGGTCCTGTCTGGTTTTATAGCATTTCATAGGAGGTTATGTTTACTGTATATTAGTATAGGGAAGTGGGAATTTCAAGCGGGAGGACGGCTGGTGGCTTGGATAGTTCTTAGAAGCGTAAAGGACTGTAGTCGAGAGAATTTGGGAGTTCAGATTCAGGGCTTGGAAGAATGACTATGACTAGGTTGGCCCTTTAAAGCCTCTGAAAAATATTCGTAAATAGGGTGCTATTAAGCCCAATAAGGGAGAATATAGAATCTCCCAAAGGCCTACCTAGATGAAAGATAACTCAAGCGAATAAATGGCTCGGCAGGGGTGCGGCTGCACGCTGTAGCTTCGGGTTAAGGGTTTGAACTTGCATGTCCGGTTTAGGGTTTGGGGCTTGTAGGTCCGGTAGAGTGCAAGGTGCAGCTTCTGATATCTTGGCTGCGGGATGCATTGCTCGCAGGAAAACAGCAACAATGGCGGTGATTGCACGGCGTCTGGTAGGACGCATGCAACAAATCCCAAAAGCCAGGGCAGCACACACCGTTCCCTCCGCCACTACCACCACTGACTATGCCACGAAGACGCTCTAGCACTCACACTACAAAACACCACGACGAGTTTGTTGCTTTTGTTAATTACCATCATCACTATACTTCCTGCTCCTCCGTACTACAGTGGGGACGACGACAGCTACCAACAATGCCTGAGATGGCTAGGCTCTAGAGAACTTGGCTTCGCGCAGCTTAGGGTGTCGGATTTGGGGTTTGCAGTTTAGGGTGCAGGGTTGCTCCCTCATACTTTTCTGGCATGGCCACGCAGCAACTCGCTCTTTCGCGATGGCGCCGAGCTTGGGCTGCGACTATTTCGGGCCAACTTCTTTCGGTTTAAGGGCCCTTGATAATTAGAATAGGGTTTTGGGGTATGTTACATTATAATCATAACCCTCACAATAGTATTCCTTCCTGACGGTAATTGTTCAGGCGTCTATAGTGTAGAACCCTACTGTAGATCCCTTATATTATAGACCCCTTTCCGTAATTGGGGTTACAAGTATAGTTTCCCTCAATATAACCCTAGTCACTAAGTCCCACGATTCTTTAAGTACGACTCATGCGTCTGTGTCCGGGATGCTCTTCAGCAAGGGAAGCTCCGACTCCTCTCGGCGCGAGTTTTGGGTCGTCCGGCTTTAGGTTTGTAGTTTGTAGGGTGTAGGGGGTTTAGGGTTTAGGGGGTTTGGGTTTGGGGGTCCAGGATTTAAGGGTCTAGCGTTTGGGGGATTTAGGGGTTTAGGTTTGAGATTCGGGGTTTAAAGTGTATGGAGTGTATGCTGGCTCCTCGTGGGAATTTCGAGAAACTAGGGGAACACGCAGTATAGGATTCTTTTGCTGGCTTTGCGCTGTTGCCGTCTACATAAACCAGTACTGTCTGGGCCCCCTGAATGGCGGACAAAATTTTAACCCGAGGCTGCAAGGTCATGAGCAGGCCTGCCTTTTTCCCGATCTCCACGGCATCGTGTCGCTGAACAACTAGTGAGCTGCTGTGTTTTAGGTCTTGCAGCGACTATGGGGATGGGTCCTACTTAAAAGATCATGGGACTTAGTTAACTAGGGTAACTATACTTATAGGGCCTGTTAAGGTATTTCTAACCTTACTTATTACTAAGTCCCATGATCCGCCAAGTAGGCTTTGGACATATGGCGACTGAGCCTGCGTTGAGGGTGAGACGCTGTAGGTGTCTCATTTCAGATGCACGCCCCGAGCTCTGCATGGGCTTGGAGCAGAGAGGTTGGCCGTCCCCAGGAATTTAGCAAAAGTTGCCTCCCAAGCCGATATATCCCCGAAAGCGCAATGAACGAAAACAGACACAGGAAACTCCAGCCTAAAGCCTGCTAAAAATCGCAAATTCTGAAGGCTTCAGACCAAAGCGCAGACCTCCATTCGCACAAGAGCCCTGGCGGCAAAAAACGAGACACGCTGCAGAGCAGATGGAAGCATCACAAAGATGTTGGTCCATTCCACCTGAGGCACGACGTAGGGGAATGAGGGATCTAGGGTCGGGCTTAATTCCAAGAAGGTCCATATAAAGAAACACACACTTAAAATGTCAGGGTACGCAGCAACTAGGGTAATAATCAGTCAGGAAATTTCTTAAAGCTACTGATGAATTCAATCTAAGCACTTCTAGCCGTGCTTACAAAGTCCTCTTCCCTAAACCCTTAAACCCTGAACCCCTAAACCCCTGATCCTTCGAGTAACGTGAAGATCAGGCCCAGGCCATCAGGGCTTGCCTATATTACCTAGAGGCGCATTCTCCTTATCTAGGGCCCTTTAATGGCGCTCTTATGGTCTTAAGGTCCTGAATAGTGGGATTGGGGAATAAGGGTAGTTGGGGAAGCCGCGATGGTTATAAGGCGGACCTTAGGATCAGGGTTTAAAGGATCAGGGTCAAGTGGGAACTCGAAAGCCCGAACCATCGAAACCCTGAAGGCTAGATTCCATAATCTAGGGGCCGGAAGAATTGGTAATAGTTCTATCCCCTCATAGCCCGACGGTACTATAATGAGACAAATCCCAAAGCCCAGTTCTAACTGTGTAGGCCCGTGTAGGCTCCTACAAACGGTATTTCCGTGTACACCTCAGTCATCAAGTCCGACGTCGTACTTCTATGGAGCTGTTGCATCTGATGTGCTCTAGAGACCCGTGTAAGTTACTTTGAGGTTCACGGGTTTTTCCAAAAGGGGTTATAAGTAGGGTAATCGTAACTATAACTCGCTTTAGGGACTTATGACCCCACTTATACTTATAACTTATAACTACCCATGAACCTCCAAGTAGACCATAGAACACCCGTGTTGAGCTAGGTACCCTGCCTGGCTATCTATTCAGCACACCCTCTGAATGAAAACTTAGTTGCAAGACGAAGCCGTCCAGAGAATTGTGTCTAGGCATACTACAAGTAGCTTACTTGGAGGATCATAGGACAATCGGGGTTATAAGTATAGCTCCCTGATTATGCGTTCATCCTGGTCCGACTCCGATCCAGAATCCCAGCTCCAGAATCCCAGCTCCCAGCTTGCACCTGACACAGCATCGCAGAGCTAGGATCAGGGTGCTGCTGCAGCCATCCCACGGGCTCATTCAAGTTAGTTTGATGCGCCATGTCCTCGGATATCCCGATGACTTGTTTCCAAGATCTGAAGATTCTCTTTTATGCCCGCTGCTCCTTTTTGGAGGTGGCACGGGCTTTCTTTGCCTTGCTAAGTGGCCTTTTCCCACCACCCATGTCGAGGCCGCAAAGACCAAAGACAAGCGAGGACTCTTTTTGCACCGCTGCAGTTCTGAAGGCAGAGCCTGAACCATTGAGGGAGAGAATGACATGAAGGGTTTAGGGGTTTAGGGTTTAGGGGTTTAGGGTTTGGGGGTTTAGGGTTTTGGGGGTTTAGGGGTTTAGGGTTTGGGGGTTTAGGGGTTTAGGGGTTCAGGAGGTCTGATCCTGATGTCAACGACACAGAGGTGCAACTATCATGGCCCCACCCTTGTCTTCTGAGCAAGGATGCTGAAGGGTTTAGGGTTTAGGGTTTAGGGTTTAGGATTTAGGGTTTAGGGTTTAGGGATTAGGGTTTAGGATTTAGGGTTTAGGGATTAGGGTTTAGGGTTTAGGGTTTAGGGGTCGGAGGTGCGCTGCAAGACCCTGTAATTGTTGAAATGTGCTTGCACAGTACCTATGGTAGAACGTAGGCTTGCTAGATTAGGAATTCCCAGTATGAGTTGGGGAGGTATCCCCGACAACCTAGGACCTCGGCGCTACGCACCAAAATGTGAGGCCCTACAACCTAGAACTTGTGGCTCTTCGTTCCCAGGGAGCCCAATACCCTTGATTGGGGAATATACCCTCAATCAGAGTATGAAGCCCCCCATAATTGAAGGCATATTGCGTGATTACGGAGTATTGAGCTCTCGAGTTCGCGTGCTTCTGTGGAATATGCATGAGACCAAGCTCCTGACGTGCCCCAAGTGCCGTCTTCCCTCTTCGTGTAGGCCCAAGTCTCGTCGTACCTGAAAGCTGCGAGCCCCTAGTCGGAGCACTACCTTAAAGGATCATGGGACTTAGTAACTAAGGTTAAAATATGTTAAAATTTGGGTAACTACACCAGAAACCCCAATTACGGTACTGATAACCTTACTTACTAAGTCCCATGATCCTCCAAGTACCTTGAAGTACCGTAACCTACTTCCTTGTAGGGTCTCGATAAGTTCTATATTAGGGTTTCTACTGAGCACCTAGAAGATGGTAGGTCATGGGAGGTTTTGGTAGGTTGAAACACCATACTACACTTAAGTCTACTCTACTGTACTCTATTGTACTGTATATACTGTAATGTTGTATCACTCTAAGCAACAAGAATCTCGGCCAAGAGAGTGGAGGGGGAGAGAGAGAGAGAGAGGGAGAGAGAGGGAGAGACAGCTATCCCCCAAGACTGCATTGCGCTTGTGCTGAGCCGGTTTGAACGAAAGTAGGTACCATTGTGATGCATGACCTCGCCTTCTATTGAATATATACTTTTGAACTACAGTACCTTTTGCCGTTGAGAGATTATTTTCAGCACTGCATAAGGAAGACATGGCTATACTGTTGCATGCGAGTTAGCCTGCTCCGCACATGGGCTGCAACGAAAAGGGCCTTTGACGGCCCGTGCTTGAGACCGCAAGTGCGCTTAGCGAGGGCACTTGATTTTCTCCACCGCATCGGCAATATCCGGCCACTCCAGACAGGTCCGTTCCTGCACCATGTTGCGGAACCTAAACCTTAAACCCTACAACCCAGAACTTAAAACGATATGATGAGGCAAAACGGTTGGACCTTCAGAATACATCCTGCAAAACGTTCACCATCTAAAGCATTCTATAATATTCTTGCCTTGGGAGCCTTACTTATACTTCATGGAGGGTAGGTTTAGGGTTTTTAGGGTTCACCTTTCGGAGCCCAGCAATTTGGGAAACATGCTTATCCTCAAACACTCTCGGTACTCGGGGCCTCAGCCCAGATAGTATATACTTTGGGCCCAATGTACCTATATAGGGAGTAGTTTAAGGCCAAAGTATATACTATTTGGGTACATGGACCACTAGGGTCTTAGAACAGCACGGGTACCTCTTCCGCTTCAGCCGTACCTGAACTCTCGATAGTAGCTCTTTTTGGGGCTTACCCTACTGATCCTTGGCTAAGCCCATAAATGGAACTACAATGGCGACATAGGTAAAACCTTAACTCAGCAAGGATCCTTGAAAGCATGGGGCTGTCTGAAGCCCGCACCTTGTGGATGAGCTGTAGGTTCCCAGTTTAGGAGTTGGGTTCGCGAATGGGTGCATGCCAAACATTTCTGACTCTCTATATGCCAAATGAACTGGATGCTGGCTGCTGTATCTTAAACCCTAAACCCTAAACCCTAAACCCTATCTCTTCCTGTTTAGCTGCGGGCACCCCTGCACCGTGGTCTTTCGGACTGTAACTAAGCCCTGAAACCTGACAGGGGCCTTACTATAGAGGAATGGGGTTCCTTTAAAGGGGTCTATAGAAGGGGTACTATAAGGGATCTATAAGGGTTCTATAAGAAACCCCACAAAGTTGGAAACCGGATTAAGGCCAAATAGTGCTGGGATTCCCTAGACATTATACTCTTAAGGATGGAAACTATTTGGCTTCCAACTTTCGGGCTGCTACTGTATTGCACCCGCACATCTTCGCACATCTTTTGCAGCTCTGGCATGGAGTGATGACAGTGTTCTAAAGGCGTTCCAGCATTGGGCTTCGTGCTTGCCTGACCGGTGATTGCTTACATCTGATATGCTTACGGTTTACACGGGAGTTTAGGATGTCCGGCTCAATTTGGATTTAAGAGGTTCAGGTCTGGAATCTTGGAACTAAGATTTTGTAACAAGGTTGAGTGAAGCACGAAGCCATGTTTTTGGGGCTGTGTTCGGCTGTATATGCCTTACGCTGCCATCACAGGCGAAACACACAAAATGAGTAGCTATTGCACAGCTTCTCTTCCGCAGATTCATGGTGAAAGCGCTGCGAACTTGAGTCGAGCGTATCGTCCCCGCCATTCACGCAAAGGTCTTACTGGACATGCTGGTACCTGCACCGAGGGAATGCTATTCTTGCTCTTCATCTTCATACGTTGCATTGATTCTGCTAATCGTGGAGGTAGGTTCAGCAGTAGCCAGCAGGCGCTAGTACTAGCCGCTTAAGTATAACACAGCAGACGTAGCATCCACGGCCGTTCGAGTACCACTGGAACGTCACGACACGCCAGATCTTGAGGGCGTGTCTTGCACGTAAAAACCACCAGCCGGCAGCAACGACAAGCATCTTAGGTACTGCCCCCATACTGTAAGGGTCTAGAATAAGGCTACCATTAAGGTCCTAACATATCGATATTATGAATATTATTCAACTATTACTGAATGGGGGCCATACCCAACAAGCATCACAACATATCACAACATCCATCAAACAAACGACGGACACCAAGCAACGTCGACACAGAGCGACCAGACCCGCAACAACAGTAACGCAACAATATGCATAGGAACAGAAACAAGAACCCAAAGGGTCCAAAGTATCCATATAGTAAGATGTAGGGTATTTATATTAGGAATTCGGAATGACTGGTATGATGTGAAGAAGTATTCCCCCCAGAAAGTACCTAAAACTCTTACGGGAAGCAGAAGCAGTCGAACACATAACAAAAACACTGTGAACGCCACCCTCCCGCCCCTCTCCTGCCCCCAAATCGGAACCCTCAAGACCCCCCAATCGGCTCTATCCCCCCTGCCCCCCAGACACCAAAAAGCTCACCAGCATCTTTAACCCCGGTAACAACCACATTAGTACAACCCCTTAAAGGCAAATGAAAGCCTTCAGATCAAATTGTTCTAACTATTGAAGCCCCTATAACTCACTTGAACCGAAGAAACACCAAAAAAGACCCCATATCTCTACCAGCACCATACAACCAAAAATATCCACAGTCTAACGAACAAGGCGCCTGATGGAAAGCCTTAGAAACACATCTAGAAGCAGCCCTGAAAGGAACACTAAACTATCCGAAACCTCAGCACCCCCTAAACCCCTAAACCCTAGATCCGTTTAAATTAAAGGACCCCCTATAGATCCCTTTAAAGGTTTCAGGAAGCCGACTCTCGTTATTGCGATCGCCAGTTTACTTAAACCCTATAAACCCCCGGCACCGCCCTCTGAGACCCCTAGAAACATACTTTTCAAAAGATTCAGGCCCCTAGACCCTAAACCCAAAACTCTCAACCCCTGAACCCCGAACCCTAACCCCTAACCCGAAACCTGAGCCCTTAATGTGCCTGACCCCAAACCTTAACCTCCTAACCCCAAACCCCAAGACCCTTCACCCCATAACCCCCGACCCCAAACCTTCAGCTCCGAAACTTCTCTAGAACTTCTATAAATCCCTTAAAGGAGCCCTCAAAGTAACCTTGAAAAGAAACCTAAACCATCCGAAGCCCCAAAGTAACCCCAAAGTGACCCCTAAACCCTTATAGATCCCTTTCAAGGAGCCCTTAAACCCTAAACCCTAAACCCTAAACCCTAAACCCTAAACCAGGAGCCCTAAACCACCCGAAACCCTCAGCTCCTAACCCCTAAACCCCTAAATCCTATAGATCCCTTTAAAGGACCCCTTATAGATACCTTTAAAGGAGCCCTGAACCATCCGAAACCCTAGACCCTAATCCCTAAACTCCTCCTAGAAGGGTTTCCCCTTTAAAGGAGCCCTTACAGAATCCCTTCAAGGAGCCTTAGACCATCCGAAACCCTAAGCCCCACAGATGCCTTTCAAGGAGCCCTAGAACATCCGAAACCCTAAACCCTATAGTAGATCCCTTTGAGGGAACCCATACCAAACCCCACCTTACTCGCAAATCCCCGGGAGCCTCCAGGCCCAAGGGGCCACATCTCCTCGCCTCACTGCCGGATGCCGGTGGACCATCCTTGGGAAAAGCGAGGGCTTAGGAGGCCCTTTTGGGGCTTAGGGTTTAGGGAGTGGGGCTTAGGGATTAGGGATTAGGGTTTAGGGATGAGGCTTTAGGGTTTACAGTTCCCTTGTTTTCCGTGTATTATCTTTTGTATGTCTTACAGAGTCTTTCAGTTAGCCATGTTGCTTTTTTCTCCATGTGTTACAGTGTTCCTTTTCGATCTTTTGAAGTTTAGTTGATTTCCCACGCTTTTCGTTTTCTCACTGGTTGTTATTCTGTTGCTTGTCGCTTTGTTTCTCCTTCTATTATCCTTTTTCGCTTGGTATGTATCCTTTGTGAATTCTTGTTTTCTGTTCCTAATGGCTTCTTGTATTCTCTCACTGCTTGTTTTCCTTTTTTCGGCCTTGGTGTTGCTTGTGTCTTCCTCGCTGTCACTCTGTTTCTTCTATTTCTGGTCCCTCTTTCATCTTGGCGAAATAAGTGTGTGTAGGGCTCCATATCATTCGATCGGGGCCGCCGGGTATATTGTAGCGTACTCAGGTACGCATCTATATAGGATGTATGCATAATTATGCATATATACGCATACAAATAGAGAGAGAGAGAGAGAGAGAGAGAGAGAGAGAGAGAGGGGCTGTAAGGGAAGATTATTGCCAATCATCCCGACCCTTGTCGTGGGTAAATGGATAAAAACCCTCCAAACTGATCAGGGGCAAACTCAGAGATGTTGAATCGTTAAGCGTAAACCAGAAAAGCTGATTCCTTAAGCATTATTGGGCACGTGGGTTTCAGGAAAGAGCAAAACCAACCAAGCCACCGCGTTGCCCGGTGCCGCCGCGCAAAGCACCGGCACGGGCGTTCCTTGTCGGGCTGCTTAGGGATTTCGGGGTTCCTTCCTAAAGGGTCCTATAAGCATCTATATAGTCCAAATGCCTAGATAGTAGAATGTAGGGTTTCTACAGCCATAGTAGAAGGTAGGGTTTCAAAAGTAGGAATTCTAGTAGAATGTAGGGTTTCTATGTTAGGAATTACTATAATGGCCTGGGTAAGTATTCCCAATATAGGTACAGAGGAAACTTCTGGCTTCACACGGTTTTGTAAGGGTTACTAAAAGCGCTTGCTTAGAGGTTCCTGGGTAGTTATAAGTGGGGTTATAAGTAAGGGAGCCATAACTATAACCCATATTAGGGGACTTATATCCCACTTATAACTACCAGTGGGGTTATGGATTTAGCGCATCTTGGTGTAGGGGATAGTTTGAAGAGCCTAAACTTCGAGCGGCACACTTAAGAAGTCCTTTACCTTTCACTGCGCATGCGGCATGTAAATGGGGGGGGGACAAACGAAATGGAGCCAGCATTCCTAGATTTCCTGGACGGAAAGAAGAAATTGTCGAAATGCCGGCAATCCTGAACGCCAGTGAGCCCTACAATTCCCAAATGCATAAACCCTGGACTCTGAGCCCGATACTCCCTAACCTCTTACAAATACCCAAGACGATGGCGATAAATAGAAACTGTATGTGTTCTCTGCACACGTCCGAACCCAGCCCAGCTGCGGTCCAAACCCTCGGCATCAATATGAAAAGAGCAAAACTCGGTCGACACATCTCGCTCAAAAGGAGGCACATGTTTCCAGTTCAGTTTTATTACTCTGCTTCGATCCCTAAACCCAAAACAAACGAGCCAAGTGTCTCCCACCCAGCCCGGCGCATGGGCTGGGAACCAAACGAGGCTCCTCCAGAGCGGGAAAATGCTTAGGCGTTTGGGGCCGTTTAGGGTGTTTTAGCGTGAGTCTAGATACAAGTAGGGTGTGGGGTTGCTGTTCGTTTAGGAGTTAGGGTTTCGGTGTCTTTTTGCACGCGCTTGGTTTCTCGGAGAACTAAGTTACCATTAAACAAACTAAAAGCCTGTATAAGGCAGAATATCACTCACACTGCCCCGGATTACACAATTAAGTTCCTGCAGAGACACAACCTTAGCGGATGCTTGTTTGAAATAAGAGCACCCTGTTCCAAGCAACAAAAAGTTGAAGAAGCTACGACTGGGGTCTTCAGCATACTATGAACACCCGAAAATCCTTAACCCCTAAAGCCTAAACCCTCAAACTCTACTTGCTAAGACCCTACCCGACTTGTAAGCGATGGTAGCACAGGGTCCTTAATAATTGGAACAGGGTTTGGGGTACAGTAAACCCCATAAAGTTGGAAACCGGATTAAGGTGATTAAGGCCAAATAGTGCTGGGATGCCGTATACATTACTCTAAAGGATTGAGGCTATTGGGTTTCCAACTTTTGGGCTTCGACTAGATATTATACTGTAGTTATAACAAGGAACCACCCAAGTAGTGTTTGTAATTATCTAGGCCCCTATATTCGCAACTTGGGTTTACCTGAAGCCCCAAATCCTGCAAAACCGTGACCCCTCAAGCATAGGTCATAACTAAGACCCTACCCGAATTGCCCTCAACCCCAAGCTCCAAGACCCTAAACCCCAAGACTCCACCTACTAAGATCCTACCCTAGACCTTCAACCCTAAACCCTAATCCCCTAACCCTAATCCCTAAACCCTAATCCCCAACCTAAACCCTAAACGCTAAACCTCAAACCCCTAATCCCCAAAACCCTTAAACCCTAAACCTTAATCCCTAATCCCTAATCCCCAAAACCCTGAAACCCTAAACCTTAATCCCTAAACCCTAATCCGCAAGCGCTGGTATCAGGCCTTTGCCCCGGCCCTTTCCTTTGCCACCCTTCTGGTCTGCCTGGTGGGATTCCGCTTGTCAGGCCTGTTGCTTTTTTGGTCTGGGGTTTAGGGTTTCCCGTAACCCTGAATAACCTGTTCCTTATTATGATTTCCTTTACAAGTCCTTAAACAGGAAGGTTATTCGGGGTTGAGGTAGGGTTTAAGACCAACAATACCTAAGGCTCCAAAAACCTACAGTTTATGGTGGTACACCCTCTTCTTAACAGCTCTCAATGAAGGGGTCACAATAACCGATATTTTCTAGGGTTTGGGGCAACAGGCAAGGCTCCACGTTTGTATGGTAAGGCTTTGTCTCAGGAAATCACCCATGTCTCGGGAAATCATCAAAAACTCACAAACCAGGCCTGGACCGGGCGTTTCGGCGGGGCTTATGCAGGGGCGGGCGTGAAGAGAAAGCAACAACAGGATGAGAAATGATGGGTTGCCAAGCAAGCGACGATTTTATCATGGTTTTTTTCGACTGCTGATGCCATAGACGAAAAAAACAGTGATAAACTACTCGGTTGATGGTTGATGAAATCCTACCTGTAGCTCGCTAAGAACCTTCCAATCTTAACCCTGGTCTGTGAAACCATGAAATCCTCAACCCTAAACCCTAAACCCTAAACCCTGAACCTAAACCCTGTGTTCTTCCAGCCGATTCCACCTTCATGTCGAAGCCTTTGCCCATTCTTCCTTTTCCGCCTGGATGTTGTGGAGGCGGATGTGAACTACAATGCACTATAGCGTATTTGCGTTGCTAAACTCACTGGCCCAAAGCCCCAGGAAACAAAAGTTGAAACTTTCAGAAACGACTACCTTATAAGAGCCCCAAAAGTTGAAAACTTGAGTTTACAGCCAATAAGTAAAAAACATAGAGAAGCATGTTGCAGTGGATTGCAGTGTCTAGGGATAACCGGTTCAGGGTCCAGGGGTTTAGCGGTCGCTTCTAGATTGAAAGGTTCATAGGCCCAAAACCTGGTCGCCGGCTTCGAAGCGAACAAACTACACTTGCAAAGGGGTGACTGAGGTGCAGCACTCTTTAGGGTTCAGGGCTTACCAGTTAGGGTTTGGGGAACCCCAAACCATAAAACATGTCAGAGACCGAAATTTATCGGGAGCACAAACACCGGGCTAGATCTTCCTGCTTAGTGCCGTGTGCAACTGAAGGACTCGAAGCATGGCAATGTAGGAACCTGATTAAGAAGCCTTGGGGCTTTAGTCGGGTTCCTTACATGAATCCTAATATATTGAGGGCTATAGGCCCAGGGTTTTTTTCGTTCACCAGGTTCCTACATTACCCTAGGGCTCCTTAGTAGTTCCTTTTTGGGGCTCATATATAGAATCCTATAAGGTAATCCCAAAAAGGAACTACTAAGGAGCCCCAGGGTAAAAGCATAAACATACATGCTAGACCCCAATGCCCTTCCAGACGCAGCAAAATCTCCTAGCGCCGTCCTTTGCAGGAGCCGAAAGCTGTAGCACTGGAAAGACAAGATTTCGCGCCTAAGTGCGGACCCCAACTGCTATAGAGAGAACGACACAAAGATCTTCCGAACCCAAGTATCGATCTGCCGACCCTAAACTTAAAAAATCCACGGAATAACCTGAAAACCCATGGGCACATCAGAACAACCTACAACGAACAAGCACAGTAAGCTCTCCCAACGCGCCCGTAGAACAAAGGACCGTAAACCCTAATTGCCACTAGGCCAATAACTAAGGACCCTTGGTGCTTTAGTTTACACTGAACAACGAACATACAAACAGTAAGGCTCTTCTGAAAGCGTTTTACAGGCCTTACACGCCCCTTGCCACCCCAAGCAAAACGGAAACACACACGCACACACACACACACACACACACACACACAGAGACAAAGCAACAAGTACCCGTAAACCCTAAACCCCGAATTACTAAACCCTCAACCCAAAAAACCAAACCCGAGACCCCTAAACCCTAAATAACTAAACCCTCGACCCTAAACCCAAATGATTCCCTTCAAAGGAAACCTTATAGATTCCTTGAAGGATTCCTTTTAACAAACCCACAATAAACCGTTGAAGCGCCTTTGCCCGACTCGGCGTTCTGGCCGAGATTGGCTCTGCCCGCATCCTGCGCAAGAGGAAGGAATGACACGGGGTTTAGGGCTCCTTTAGGGGTTCTAGAGGTTTTAGGGGTAGATATGAGTGGGGTGACAAGTCCTCATACCTGGGAAGTTCCCTAAGTTGGGGCTCCTTTTCGGGTGTTGTTTTGTGTGCGGATGCCGTACTGTTCTGGGGACCTGAAACGTGACCCCAATTTAGAGAACTACCTACACGAGTCTTCGGGTCTCTGAGAAGGCTTTAGGTTGACTTGGAGGATCATGGGTAGTGATAAGTGGGGTTATGAGTCTCCTGATATGGTTTAGTATAACCCGAGTTCCTAAGTCCCATGATCCTTTAAGTAATTTGGAGGTTTAGGTGTTTTATTTTGGGGGTACTATCAGAGTACTATAAGACTATATTATATGGGCACCATGAGGGCTATCCTGCGGAGGAGGAGGGAGACACTTGACTCTCCACAGTTTAGGGCTTACAGGGATCTAGAAGAGCTCCTTTACGGCTTATAAGTTATAAGGGTACTATAAGTTGAGGGCGCTAGGGCTTGAGGGATCAAGGATTTGGGTTTGGGGTTTTTCGAACTGGGGTTGCAACTTGAGGTGTTGTTTCACATGCGGTCTTGGTGGGTTTTCCGAGGTTTCTCGCAGGTTTTGGCTGGATGCGCATTTAGAGTTGAGGGCCGGAGAGTGCAAAGCTAATGGTGTTTTATGGCTTGGGTTTAGGAAATTTTGGGTTGGGAAAACCTTACCGGGGTTGAACCCTAAACCCATGGAACCTAGAAGCCTATAGCAAAACTCCTTATGCCATACACCACACAAAAAGCAATGAGCCCTGGAAGACAAAGCTAGGTGCATGCATAAAGCAATGAGGGGATTTCCGCCAACCCTGAAAAACCCTAAATCCTAAATCCTAGAACCCTAAATCTCCTGGGCCCCAAATCCTGGACCCTAGAACCTTAAACCCTGAACCCTAAATCACAGACCCTGAACCCTCGACACTAAACCCAAGACCTGTAAACTCTTAATGCTAAACCCTGAACCCAGAAACCCTAAGAACAGGAGTCCTGGACAGTGAAGTGGGGGTTTCCGAGAATGGGGGACCCTAATATAGTATCCTATATAGTAGGATCCTTATTATAAGGACGCCATTAAAATAAGGTATGTACCCCTAATTTTCGGAAACTCCCAAGCATAGACTAGCTGGACCACTGCCACTAACTACACGAACCTCTAAGCCTGAAGCCCTCGGAGCCCTCAAAGGAACCCTCAACCCAAAACCATAACCCCAAACTCTAAACCCTAAGCCCCAAACCCTGAACCCCCAAATAACGAGGAGCCATCCTCTGAAACCAGAACCCTCATGGCACGCTTGCTTTTACTCAGAAAGTAGGCCCTCCTTGTAGGCTCATGGGTCGTTATAAGTGGGGTTATAAGTCCCCTAATATGGGTTATAAGTATGGTTACCCTTATTCGAACCCACTTATAACTGCCCATGAACCTCCAGGTAGGGGTCCATGTACTCACGTAGTATATACTTTGGGCTTGGTGTTGTCCCTGTTAGGGGGGGCCTAAATCTATTCTGTATGGGTCTATGGGTTCTTTAGGGCCTAAGTCTGTTCTGTATGGGTCTATGGGCACTCGGGGCAACCCTTCACCCTAAACCCCTAAGCCCTCTAACCTCCCCCCCCCCCCCAAATCGAAGGATGATACCCGTATAAGAATTACCCTTATAGCAACCCTTAACCCTAGGCCCCCCGAAAACGGAGGAGGATACCCCTACAGTACTTTTAGAGTAACCATACTATAGTAGCCCCAGACCCCTAGGAACCCGCAGAACCCTAAGAACCCTGAACCCTAAGAACCCTACACCCCTAAACCCTAAACCCCTGAACCCCTCAGCGCCCAAACCCCCAAACCCCTAAACTCCTACACCCTCAACCCTGTCTCTTAAGCCTGCCCCTAAGCCCTAAACCCCCCGAAGCCCCCCCAAAAACTGTGGAGAGGAGAGAGGAGCCCTAAACCCTAAACCCCTAAACTTTCCTAAACCCTAAACCCCTGAACCCCTAAGCCCCTAAACCCCCTAACCCCCCCCAAAAAAAAGCAGTGGGCAGGAGTTCCTTGAAAGCAAAGCCGCCAGTCTTCAAGTCGACGAGGCGCTCGTTGTTCTCCACCGCCTCTCCAGGCTTCTCTAGGGGCTTCGACTTACCATGAGTGTGTTTCAAGCTGTACAGTAAAAGCCAGAAAGTTGGAATATGATTATCCTAAACCCTTTATGGTAAATTATGGGGTATCCTACTCTGAAACCATATTCCAACTTTCTGGAGTTCCCTTTAAGGACTTTGGACCCAGAGCTTTGTATGGGTAAAGGAGTTTAGGGCTTAATTGCGTTTTAAGTTTTTCTTCTCTCTAGGGGTTCTGTCTGAGTTTTGGGTGTAAGGTTCAGCTTAAGTTAGGCTTCGTGTTCGGGCTGAACAAGGCTCAATTGGTTCAATGGGGTTCAATGTGGTTTAACTCTAGGTTATGGCAGGGGATCCACATGTTAAACCCCAAAATCCTCAAACCGATGCAAACCACATAACACTGAACGGGCACTGAATAGAAACCAAAATTGGATCCTCTACAACCAGGGAACAAACACGTATATTGAAACAGACGAATGAAGCCGGAGACACCTGCACAGCGCGCTCTGCGAGAGTAATCGCCAGGCCTGAGCGGAGCTCTTGGGTGCCGGGTTGTACTGTAGTTTAAGGAAACAGACAGAAACCCAAGGGTTTCATCCCAGGTTTAGGGGTTTAGGGTACTTCTGCACATATATATATATATATATATATATGTATATGTATAAACATATATATATATATACACATACATATATGTACATACATAGCTCTTCGCTTCTTAATGTCTCACATATATATATATATATATACACATACACACACACACACTTTTCACGGTCAAAGTGTGCAATGTGAACAGGCAAGATCGGCACGTGAACGGTTTCGAACAAAAAACACAAAGAAGTCTCAGGACGCCTGGCTTCGCCGTGGATTGGCGAGAGGTTCGAATCTAGGAGTTTATGGTTCGGGGTTTATGGGTTTGGGGTTAGGGACTTCAAGACTGCAAGACCTCTTCTGGGCTTTTAAGTAACCAGGGAGAAAAAAGTATAAACTTTTATTTCATAAGGGTTCCTTTTAAGAAAAAAAGTATTAAAGTATGGTACTCCAAAGCCCAGTCTTGGACGGTTCAGAAGCGTTTAGTGTATGACAGGAAAGCGCAAACCACTGGAATTTGGTTTCAATTTGCTGGAACCCTCCTTACTCAAGCGCGTTAGGGACATACGGATCATGAACTTCCAACTTTCTTGCTTATACTGCAAGGGGTTGCATGGGCTTTACAAAGGTTCTACAAAATGCCATGCGATTTCTAGCTCCTCACTTGGAGGATCCTAGAAGCCTTAACCCTCGAGAATAACTTGGGCCCTAAACCACCCTCAAACCTCAACAATGGATTCTGGCTCTTGAAGTACGCCTGGGTATAGGGAATATATGGTTTTTGGTTGGGCCCCAGCAAATCCTGACCTGGACAACTGAACCCTGAACCCCAAAGCCCTTTGAACGCTTTGAATGGCGAAGTCTGCCTCTGCGAACGGAAGCAGACTCAGAACCAAGCCTCATGGAAGGGGTAACGTAGTCCAGGATCTTGAAACGCCTGTAGCTGTCCCGTTTGGGAGAACCCTGGACAAATATGCCTCGATTCGCTCATGGCGATCAGCTGGCATAGCAACTCCTATACACAACAAACGAATTTGGAGCGCTATTGACTCCGGCCGACACTCTCTCGTAACCCACCGGCCCCCAGATTCCCGGAGTAATCCTCTCAAGAATTGACCAAACCAACGGGTTCGTGCGGTCAATTCAGCTCTCACCAGTCTGCCGTGACTAACAGTAGCCGGATCGATCCACGTGCGTGTGCTAGCATGGTACACCGGAGGTGGACTTCCTGTGTGAAAGCAATAATCCAGCAACAACTGCAGCACTGATATCCACTGTAGTGACCCTCCACCATCACGGGACTGCAGGCCCCGAAACCATTCGGCTGCAGTTCGGACCGCAGTATCTCCAAACCGATGTGTAATACGGCCTCGCGGGTCCACATCACACGCTGGAATGAAGGAAGCCTCACCCTCACCTACCGCAGCCACCACCAATATTGGACGGACACCGGGCCGGCCCTCGGACCGCGTAGCGACCATGCCAATCCTGGCATGAAGCAGCAGAATCCCTTCAGTAATGCGTGATGCCTCAGCATACCCATCCGCACACCGATTCCAGAGGTTCCAAAACTCTTCACCGCGCTCCTGATTAGCGCAACCAGCCAGGTAATCAGCCTCATTGTTATGGACGACGGCCCACTCATCTACAAAAGTACCCTGCAAGTCCGAATCCAAATGTGCAGAGACCTTCAACACGGAAATCCGATCACCCAGCAACGGCAAGAGTTGCGACATCCGTCTCCAGAGGTCAGCATGCTTTCCCGTGGACGCGGGAACCCACTCGCCAGCGAGCAAGCTTCGCGCCCTTCGCACCACACTCGAGCAGTCAGACCAGACACGAACAGGCACTCCAACCGTGGAAGCGAAAGTGAAGGCAGCTAACATGGCAGTCAACTCCGCCCGAAAAGCGGTTTGGAGCAAGCCCGGTACAAGCCCGGAACACAAGGGCAAGCCCGGCGAGTCGAGGGAACCCATAGCAACCACAACACCCCAAGAGGCCAAGCGAAGGGAGGGAAGGCACGAGCAAAGGCAGGAACCATCTGTGAACAGATCGTAGATGGGCATAGAAGGCAGAGGCTCAAAGTGCGACGTAGTGTCAGGGAGCTGGCAAAGTGCGTGCCTGAGCAAGCTAACATCCTTTACGCAAGGTGCCCAACAATGCAAACGGGTGGCATCACACTGCGCTTCAAGCACCGAGAGCGGGCAAGGCAAAGGAAGAGCACGAGCGTCTTGGAAATGTGGGCATTCGAAAACTCTGTGGAGCACACTGTCAGGATGGCCGCAAAATGCACAAGCGTCCGACTCCCCCTCGGAGAAGTGGCACAAAGCGTCTTGCGTAAAGAAAGATCCATTCAGGGACTTTCGTGCCAGTGCCTGGTGTTCAGAGTCCAACCGACCGAAAATCAAACGCGTCAGGTGAGCATCGCAACCTGCGAGGCCCGCAAAGCCTTTTCGATGCGACACACTCTGCTGAACGGCAGCTTGCCACTGAAGGACCAAACGTGCTTCAACTTCTTGACAACAAAGCTTCCACGGATCAAGATTGCCAAGAGAGTCTTGGAAACAGCGCAACTCAGGAGACCACGCCATGCCAATAGCATTGGCCCGTGACAACAAAACTCCCGCCGGCCCTGGCTGACGCACCGAGTTTGTAGAGGCCAAATCCAACAAAGGTGCAAGATCTTCAAAAGAGCCGTGAGCAATTGCGTCCCGAAACGAGCTCCGCAACGCATAATACTCGGGATCAGCCAGCGGAAACTCAACCAAGCTCAAGTGAAGACGAGAACTTGCACCCGGAGCCTTGGCTCCCAAACCAATCATGGCACCATTCCGCAAGGAACGAAAGGAAGCAGCTGACAAAGTAACGATGCTGACAGCGTGCAGAGCCATAGGCCACGCAGCAACCTGAAGAGCCCGAACTTTCTGGACATACGGCGCAAGCGAGCATTTCAAGCGAAGCCACTTCGGAACAAGGTCCTTGCAACGCGCGGTCTGTGTGTAGTTGGTATGGCGTCTTGATACCTGCAAATGGCCACCAAGATCGCGGAAATCCAAAGCGACACTACACCGATTCGAACGCAACACTTTCCGATCAGCGGCCTCAGTGGACCAGAAAACCGTTTTGCCCGAGTCCACCTCAAGGTCCCATGCACGGGCGAAATCCTCTTGAGCCGCGGCAGCACGCAGAATACTCATGGGACACGAAGAGGTAGTTTCCCAATTGTCAACGAACGTCAAAGCGACACAATCCGGAACGGATGCAGCCATATGCTCATGATAAGCAAAATTGACCAGGGTCATAGCCACGCAGCTTAACGCGTCTCCTTCCGGGAAACCGGTCGAGCTCATAACCCCTGGCCCAACAGACCCTCGAATCCTGAAGCGGCGCTGAAGGCCAACCAATGCAGCGGACCAAGCACGAACCAAACCACGTGGGATGCCACACAGCATGGCGAATGCAAACGTAGGCGCCCGAGGCAGCAAGTTGAATGCCTTGACGAGGTCCGCGCTGAATCCTGAAAGGGGGAGGCCTTCACGAAAGGACCGCTCAACCGCAAGCTGGATGGAATACCACGCGTTTGAAGCCGAACGTCCCGGGACATTCCCGAGAAGGCCCGGCGGGACAAACTGGGACAGGTGTCGCAAACACTGACGGGCTCGGATACTCCCCCAAACACGGTACACCATGGATAAGACGGAAATGGGTCTGAATTGCGTGACCAATGAAGCCGACGGAACCTTTTCCAGAGCAGTGACAACCCCCTGGAGCATTTGGCGAGGCCAAACCCCATGTTGTTCCGCATGTTCGCACAACCGAATAAGCTCAATAGTAAGTTCAGGCGGCATCAACAAGAGATCTTGCCTGGAGACTCCATCAAGGCCAGTCGCGCTGCGCGTGCTTTTAGCCCTGACGGCCGCTTGCCACACAGACAAGGTGATGGGCTCAAGAGCCATGGAAGGAAAATCACCGCGCTCCCGAAAGGAAGAGATGAGTTCACGCCACCTTTCAGGAGAAACATTGTCGTGTCGCTGCCACCGTCGAGCCCACTCCTTGCCAAACTTGGCAAACAGATCGGGCAGCGTTCCAACCAACACAGATTGAACAACCTTATCACCAATGGCACACGGCGGGGACTCATGACACCAGATCTTGTCAGGTTCAACATGGACAGGATCAATGCACACACCGTTCACACAGATTGGAAAGTCAGGGCTCCAAGGAACCTCCTTGTCAAGCACAACCGCATTGTCACCGGCATCAACCTCTTCAACATTCGCCTCAAGCGGCTCAATCAAAGACTCAACCGGCTTGGCAGGGGCGGCTCGAAGATCACGGAAGATGAGGCTAGGGTCGGAAGCACGACGGGCCGCAGCCTCGCCGCGGCGTGCAGAAAGCAATTGCCTCTCCCATGCACGAACATTCGCCTCGAAAGAAGCGAAGACTTGAGTCACAACATCCAGTGAGGGAATACACGGCGGGATATCGACCGGGTCGGTGGGAAGCTGGATTCCACGAGTAGGCCACCAAATCACGAAAGGAACTCCGAAACCAGGAGCACGAAGGATGGAATCCCACAGACCTGCACGATACTCCAACGCAGAAGGCGACGAGCTGGCCGAATGGAGGGCCTGGCGAAGAGCCTGAAGGCGACGAAGCTGCCGAAACCACTGCGCATAACGAAGGTTTGGCCCGAAAAACTCAGGGGACACTTCAGAAACGCGGGAGCTAGGAACCGGTGCAATCTTCAACTTGCTGCACTTTACTTCGAAAGTGCGGGCACGCCCTTTTTCACGAGAACACAGAGGTGGCAAGCTGCGGTCAGCAAGGGCACGCGAGAGCCCATCTTCAAATCGCTCGCAAACCGCAGCATAACGCTCAGATGCAGGGCTATCCGAGCCAGCAGGGCCACCCACAGCGCACACATGCAAGGGCTGGAGATGAAGAGACTGACGATGAACAGGCATGCGCCATTGAAAGCGCGGGACAAAGGAGACCGATGTGCGGAATTTCGCCGAAAGCACAGCATGATCAGCGAAAAACGTCTCATCAACCATGGTCTGGACAAACATGGCGGCCAACTCAGCCGAAACAAAAAGGAAGTCCTTGCGGGTTTTGCCCTTACATGTAGGGCGAGGTTGGCAACCGGTTGCCCAGCTCATGAGGTCTTGCACTTCACAAAAACCACGCTCACGCCAGATATCAACGAAATCGATTCTGTCCAGCTCCAAATTGAAATCACCGGCCACGAACCGAGGCCCGGAAGCACCCAAAACCACCCTCTCAGTGAGGGCCTGAAGCAGACATGACGTACGAGAGGAGTCGGTGGCATACCCATAGACCACCCCGCCCAACAGCCACATGGACCCCACGAAGAAGTTGGCAACCTGAATGCGAGAGGTCTCGTACAGCAAAGCAGGCCACGAGTGTGGAGCCAAACGAGCCGGAAACGACGTGACAAAGCCCACGCCCTCGTAGACACCAGACACCAGGCTGCGCGGCCGAGGGGCCACAGGACAACCATGAACAAACGAAAAGGGACCGGCCAGGCGCAAGCCCATCCTGAATGAATCCAACCCTGGCTTGGTCAAATGCGTTTCACTGACAGCGTAGATTGCGGGCGAATCAAGCTGAGAAACGACCCCATGTTTGCCATTAAGCCCGGTGGGGTTAATGGCACCCAACGTGAAGAAAGACTCGTCCATCACCCCTGGACCAGGATGCGCAGCTTCCCCAACTCGCACCGAAAGAAACGCAATCAAAACGGACCAGTGGCGAACGCCCCTGCATACAGCACGTACCAACAAGCCCAAAACAAGGGCAACTGAAGCGAGGCACCCAAAGACCCCAAGTTCTAGTCACTCATGCCTAGAACGCTTGGGCGCAGCTAACAACTCTTCAATGCGGGACATCTGCTCCTGAAACATGCTGCGAAGCACCGACTCCTGGCCATCGACTTTGTCTGAAAGGGCTGTGACCTGAGTTTCAACTCCAGAAAGCCGACCCTCAACCACAGCGCGATGTTCCGTCAAACGAGCCTCAACCTTGGAAAGGACACTCTGTTCAAGCTCCTCACGCAGCTGCTCAGAAGGAGCCGGTACAGACGACAAGGAACGATCCTGCTGAATTTTGGCCAATACTTTAGCTTCAACTTGTGCAGACACAGCTTGAACAGAAGCGGGTTGTGAAGGCTTTTGCTTCTGAAGCGCTGCAGCCCAAGGATCATGCACCTGCAAGGGGTCAACCGAAGGGGGCGTAGGCGGACAGAGATCACGCAAAGCACTGCGAGCAGCAAGCACTGCATGCTTCACCGCCGGGACGGCTGCTCGCCCAGGTTCTTCACTGATAAGCACTTCACCAAATTGCGTGTGCAAGACAAGCTCAGGAGGGCGCGAACCGGCCTGAACGCGCCACCAAAGACCACCAGGCTGGCCGGCAAGGGGCTGGGTAACGCGAGCAACCCATCCGAAGGAGGACAATGCTTTTTCAACGGCTTGGCGCTGTGTCCCGAAAGGCCAAGGACCGACAACGAACTCACACAATGAGCTACGATCGACAAAAGGGGTGCCTTTGAGGACTTTGTGTAAGGCCTCTTCATCAGCTTTATTGCATCGCACTCCCAGTCGCGATCCAACACGAGCAAGTCCAATGATTTCGCCATGGCTTTGTTTTAGGAGCAAAGCCTCACTGTAGGAAGCTTTCGGAAGCCAGATAACACGAAACTCAGCAGAAGCCCCCTTGGAATCTGCAGCGCGCGGCTCAATGAAAACCCCATGCAACCCGGAGCATGCAAGCAGAGGCTTGAGAAGCCCAGCCGGTATCCTCACAAAGATGTTGAAGATTACTGCTGACTTCGCCGGCGCTTGCTTGTACGCAACGGAATGCCAAGACCTGGCCCAGCACTCAAGAATAGCTTCCGGCTCACCCGGCGCGGAGGCACCATGCCAAGCAGCACAAGTACAACCTGCAACAGAGCAAGTGCGAAGGCAGGGAACCACCTGTATGATCTCCCGAAGTGGGCGAATTGTGAATGTGTCCCAATCACCCTCAAACTGGTCACGAAACACAGCGATACGAAGGACTTCCGATGGAACAACCTCGACGTTTGTGACCTTAGGGGCATGCTTGGAAACCCAACGATCGCCAATCTGGAGCAAAGTCCCGGAAAGAAGCAATGGAAGTGCTCGTTTCGTTGACGTGGCTCGGAAACGCAACACTTCAGACTTTACAGTCACTTCGCCAAGGTCAAGTTCACCGACAACCACAAGGGCCAATGCCGCACGACTGACAGGCCTTGAAAGCTTGAAGTACGGTGCAGCTTGTTCCGGCCGGACCAATACTACTCCAGCTGAAGTAGGGCCAACGTCACCAATGGGGATCTGCGTAAGAGGCGTGTCACCATCAACGAAAACTCCTGAAGGAATGGTAACCTGGTCAAGGTCAAGCATCACCGGAGACGCACGAGCCGGAACTGAAGGAACTTTGGACTTAGTCATCTGGCGGTTACCCGAAGCATGTCCACCGGCCAGAGCCTTTGCCGCAACTACGGCCTGAAGCTCACTAGGGAGAAGGAAGTGGAAAGGAGGAGAATGCAGGTTTCCCAAAGCTTTGAGCTCCTTCCAAGGGTTAGCACCTAGCATGGCCTTCTGAACCTGTCCCGAGCCAAGTGTGGCAATTGCCTGAGCCGCACGTTGATTCGCGCCTTCATGTGGAACACCTCGCTCTTTAAGCAAAGAGGCCAAACTGCCTACAAGAAAGGAGTCTAAAGCACTGTGGCGCGATGCATCCGGCAAGGACTTACCTCCGTCAGTGACGACCATGGCAAAAAAACAGAACCCTCACCCAAGCGTCAGCTAGCACCGCTTTGCCACTGGTAGGCCCTTGGGCCGAAAGCTGAACCCCAAAGCCCTGAACCTCGAAACCCTAAACCCAGAAAACACTCTAACACACCCTGAACCCTAAAAACCCTGAAAATCCTAAAACCCTGAAAACCCAGAAACTCAAAGCCCTAAGCACTAACCCTCAAACCAAAGCCCTCAAATCGAAGCCCTGACAATGGGGTCGTGCAAAGCAGCGTTGCAGCGGAGTTGGCTCCACGTGCTGCACGAGCACATACTTTGACGACTCCTGGGCCCGGAGCTTAGGGTTCTTAGGGGTTTTGGGTTAGGGCCTTGGGGCATCTAGAGTTTGAGGGTTTAGAGGTTCAGGGCTTCGGGTTTTAAGGGTCTGCCGTTCAGGGTTTTAGGGTTGCAGGGTTTTGAGCTTCGGCATCTTGAATTAAAGCCTGTGAGGGTTAAAGTTTAGGGTGTAGGGTTTGGAAGCCTTGTCGTCTAGGGCTTCGTTCAGGTTGGCTTGAAATGGACGAAACTCACATCTGCAGCCGCACAGACTAAGTTTCACTGAAGTACCGTAAAATTCCGAAACGAAAACATCGCACGCTGAATGATCCCAAACTGCATGTAGATTTGTCAGCCCCGATGCCCAAGGTCGTGCCTGTCCCACAGCTCTCAAAGTCTCGCAAGCCCGACCGACCCCCGCAATCCCCTTCAGCAAGCCAGAAAGAGGGGCTTGAATCATTGCCTTTATTATTCCGCACGGCTTCGGCTTAAAACTACTGCAATACCCCTCAGCGCCCCGGTATGGCACACAAAAAAAGGAAAAAACAAAACGAAAGGTGAACCATTTCCTAAACCCTATACCCGAAACCCCGAAGCCTTAAACATCAACACCCAAGGCACATCCCAGAATGCGGTGATCTCTTCCTGCAGAGAATGCTGGAGCGGGGGGGGGGGGTCGCGGGTTGTTGCGATGCCTAGGTCATGTGGCTGGTAGAGTTTGGGGCTTGAAGTTCAGGGTGAATTCGCGTAGGACTTGGGCCTTTCGGTTTGAGGCTTGTATGGATAAGCTTCATGCGAGCCAGGATGTCCACGATATGTCAGCCAACTATGAAAGTTGGAGCTGGACACAGCCTGTTGGAACAGCAGCATCCCACACCACATTCGAGTTTACCTCATGACTTTACTTACTTTGTAGCCAACCGAATGCCGCCCTCAAAACCCTAAGCCACCGAACCCTGAGCACCTAAACACCAAACCCCCGAAACGCGCCCCAAGGCCCTAGAGGTCTAGCCCCGAAATTTCATAACCCTAAAGATGGCCCTAAACCACTCCAAGCCCCAAAGCCCTCCACCACTTGGAGGATCATGGGACTTAGTAAGGCTATAAGTAATTACCTTAATTGGGCTTACAAGTATAGTTACTTTAATGATAACCATAGTTAATATGTCCCATGATCCTTTAAGTAGACCCTATAACTCCCCTGTTAGCATAGAACCCCTATAGATCCCTTTTTAAGGTAAGGAGGCCTTTAAGGAACCCTAGTTACTAAGTCCCCCCATGATCCTTTAAGCATGCGCTCCCAAGCCTTGATCATCATCTTGGAGATGGTCGAGTGCACTTGTCTTGCGTCCAAATCTGGGGGCGAAGGGAGCTTATGGGTTGAGGGCTGATGTAGATCTGCGCGATATGATATGGTGCTTTAGGGTGTCGTAAGGGTTGAAAAGTTCAGGAGTCGAGACAGGAGGGTTGTATGAGGTTTAGGGTTTAGCATCAGGTGCAGGCTTTTCCTATGGGATTGCGAGGTTTAGGGCTGCGGGCTTTGAAGGATTTGATAGGCTTGAGGCTGCAAGCTTCAGGATTTTATCCCCACCATCGCGGAAAGTCTGCCATATCCCGACTCTCGGCGATCCTGGTATTCTAGACCCTCAACCCTGAACCCAAAATCCTTGCAAACCGCTGAGCACCCAACGCCAGAAAACGGTCCACCCTCAAATCATCAAACCCTAGATTGCAGCCGCCGGGTGACTGAACATCTCCACCAGCTGGTCCAGGTGGAAGGCATCGTAGATAGATGCGTAAGAGAACAAGTAGGTGCGCAAGGCCTGGTGATCCAGAGTCCATTCCGTAAAACTTGGCTTACCGGCACATTCATATTGGGCTATTGAGTAAAACCCAAGAGAGTATTTAGCTAGCAGTGCTACTGCGACCCCTGCCATTACTACTTGGAGGCTCATTGCTACGTAGTTCTAAGTGAGGTTATAAGGCCCCTCATATGGATTATACTTATGGTTGCCCGGCTTACAACCGGATTTGTAACTACCCATGAACCTCCAAGTACTGCTGCTATGAGGGAGGGTGCAAGATTCCACCCTTCCTGCAGGAAGCTCAGACGAGGCAGCTGTAGTTTCGCTTCAAGTTGCCATCCCAAGAGTTTTAGGGTTTAAGGTTTAGGGCTGTTTCAGAGCTCGCGGCACTAAAGGGGATGTGATCGTCTTGAATGTCTATAGTAGATGGCATGAGCTCATGGACTACGCCGAAGCCCACCCTGCAACAAAAGAACTGAAGAATTTACAACGGCCAGCGCCCTAAACCCAAGACCCTTTACCACCGAAAAACCCCAAAACTCTAAACCCTTGAACCCTCAAACGGCCTCTACCTTCATCTTCTCCGTGATCATGGCCTTCACCTCGGAAGCTTCGTCAAGTGACTTAGAGCTTTCTCTGGGCTTCTGCGACAAACACAACTCCTGAAGCAACAAATCAGCTTCGGGCATGTAGAGTCTTGGGTTTCGGGTCTGGGATTGGGGGTTTAGAGTTTAGGGAAACAACAGACCAGCTTCTGCGGAACTGCACGCATGAAGTAAGTACCCACGAAGACATCCTGAAGCGGCTTCTGCGGCTCTTTCAGAGGGCCTCTACGAAGGTACAGGGCCACCGAATCTGCTGGAAGCACAAGACACCCTCAACTCCGAGCCCGAAACCCGAAATCCACACTTCGTGGAGCCTAAAGCTGTCGCTTGTATAGTAAACCCCAAAAAGTTGGAAACCGGGTTAAGGCCAAATAGTGCTGAGATTCCTGGTATATTACTCTTAAGGGTAGCGGCTATTGGGTTTCCAACTTTTGGGCTTCTACTGTAGAGCTTTGGACCCTGGACTCGAAACCCCAAATCGCAAACCCACCTAGACCCCCGAACCCGCCGCCTTCTCGCCATTGTCCGGGTGGTTGGTGTCGATGTGGTGCCAAAGCCTTGAGCTCAGACTTTCTGAGCTGCGGTTTTGGCGGCTCAGCTTTTTTAGAGGATCACCGGCCTGAACGCTTCCATGCGGTTCTAATCTTGAGGGCTCTCGGTCCAGAACACATCAAAGCACACACCGACACCCGCAAACCTGATACCCTGAAGCACGTTCCAGAAACTACCTAGACCACAAACATAGTAAGTAGGTTTTTTCGGCTACCTTAGCCGCTTACTTTAGTAGTAGAAGGGCCTAACCATTACCCAAAATCATGTACTAGATTCCAGGGTCCAGGTAGGCCCGGACTCTCAGAACCATGAAGCCCGAAAGCCGAAACAGAAAGCAGAACTCCAAAACCCAAAACCCTAAACCTGAACGCTAAACCGCGAAAACTCAGACTTCAAACCCAGAGCTGAGCTCTAGAAGCTGATCCCCAAACCCATCCTCATAGACACGGGGTTTACATGAAGCCCCAAATCCCACAAAACCATGACTCCTGGAGCATATGCTATGAGTCTTAAGACCAGAGGCTTTTGGATCCTCTGGCAGGGTTCAGGGTTTCGGGACGCAGCACCGAACACCCCGAGCTAAGCCCGAAACTAAATCCCAAATCCTTGGAGGCCTCAAAAGGTGGGATGAAGGTAGGTAGGATCAAGGATCCCTTATATAAGGACTCTTAGTTGAGGATTACCCCACCTCTATTCATCCCACCCTTGGAGCCCTTTGAAAATTCTGGGGCCCGAACTGCAGCCCATCAAGTTGCGCGCAGGCCTGCCATTGGGGTTTTGGGGGTTTTCGGTTTAGGCTTTTGGGGCTTTTAGAGTTTAGGGTTTAAGGTCGCTTAAGAGCGGGAGGTGAATAATTGGAGCGGCATTTGTCTTGGGGGTATACACCAGAACTAAATGTGGACCATGAGAAGAGAGACTATCAACTGCTTAAACCCCCCTGCGCTACTCAAAGGAAGTCTGTCAGAAACCCAGCGACCGAGGGTCGAGTACTTGGAGGATCATGAGACTTAGTAAGTATGGTCATAAGTACCTTAATCGGGGTTATAAGTATAGTTAAACCCCATTTTTCCCCTAGCTACTAAGTCCCATGATCTTTCAATTGAGTTCGCTCCCAGACCTTTGCAGTCCGCGGCTTGTGCTCACGGGCTTCTAAGTGCAAAGGGTTTAGGGTTCCTTTAAGGCTACTATAGGGTTCCATAATAGGGTTCCCTTCAAGGGCTCCTTTGAGGGGTCCAGGGTTTATTGTTTATTTGGAGGTTCATGGGTAGTTACAAGTATGGTTCGAAGTCCCCTAGTATGGGGTATTGTTAAAGTTACCCTGCTTTTTTTCCACTTATAACTACCCAGGAACCTCCAAGTAGGGGCTTCAAGGCACGAACACTTCAAGGCTCCACCCACAAGCGACGGAGACCGCCGCACAAATCAGACTATGCAGATTCTGGCTAAACCTGAAGTTCAAGTCTCTCGCGAGGGCCGAAAACATCTTGGAAGCACCTTACACGAATCATATTTTGTAGGCATAGGCACTTGAGCCCTACTCAAACCTAAACCCTCAACCCTGAAACCTTAAACTCCGCGCTGAGGGCTCGACAACCGCCTCCGCAGAGCCCGAAACGGCCCGAACTTCGCGCAGCCCTCTCGTAGCCAGATCCATGACCGCTGTCATGGCGCCTTCATCGTCGCCGAGTCCAACAAGCGCTGTGCAATACAATGAGCTCAATGTTAGCCAAGCCGGCAGCTAAGAACTCTGGCCAACATCGTTGGTTTTCCTCCATGTCCCTGGGTGCCGGTCAAAGTGGCCTGACCATTGGTATTGAAACCTTCTTCGAAGGTTCATGTTGGAATACTTCTTAACGATGTTGAAGCAATCTGCGAATCTTCCATGTGGTTCCTTGGAGAGTTTCGCCGAACAGTGAGTGTGGGCTTGCCGAGACCCGACCACGAACCCAAACATCTACGTATCGAACAAACTGGATAATCACGAACTCCTAAGGTTCCCGATTGAAACAATGGTGTGATATACCGCCGAAGCCTCGTCTGACACTCCAGGCCGCTTTTCTCATCCTCCAACCCTTGCAACCGTGTAAGCCCCTATATAACCCCATCATAGACTACGACGGAGCCCCTTTGAGAACTTATAACCCTGCGCAAAAAAGCAGCGAAGAGCCTTGGCCCAGTCTCCACGCTGGAGGTCCTTCGCGGCCGCGACCACGGAGTCCTCCACAGCTGCTTCGGTTTAGGGTTTCGGGTTTAGGGTTTAGGGTTTCCAAACCCGGACCTTCTGAGAACTCGACCAGGGTGTGCGATAGAGTATTAATTGTGGGGTTCTGTATGGTGGCTGGACAGTGCTTGGCAAAGGGGCGGTATTTAACAACTAAACTAGGTCTTCGTGGGATGTCATGCTGTAATCAGACAGGGACGATATTCCTAAGCCTCCACGTGCCTGATCATCCTAAACTCTCCCAATCAGTAACGCACAAGACTTCTATCCTGAGCCCAAGTACCAAATTATTAAATCCTTTGGACCTCAGCATCTAATTCAAAGGATGCTTGTCTTACCGTTTCACAGTGCCCTAACCCTAAACCCTAAACCCGAGACGGAGTGCCTTGGCAGTCTCCGGTGGTCCGGTGTACTGCTGCTTGTCGTAGGTCTCCAGTGCGCGCCTCGCCACAGACGAATTCGTAGAGAGCACAATACCACTTAACTAAGGAATATGGCTTCAGTTCTAGAGGGCTTCATATTATGATTTAAGCTATTCTTCCTTAATTAAGGGGTATTGGGCTCTCTGGGTTCGTAGGAGGGGAACCACTTGTGGGCTGAGGGTATTTATGGCTTGTAGTGTTGAGGGCCGTTAGGATTTCTAGGGATTTGGGTATAAGCCTTTAGGGTTGTGAGGTTGATCTCCAATGGTTGAAGGCTCTCTGCAGCACATGGGTTAACACAAGGATTCTGTGAGGGGGGGTGACGTACGATAGATAGAAGCCTGAATACTGACTAATACTATTCCTGATCTTACAAAATAAAAAACTTCAAAACCAGCCTTATTACCAATTATTTAGCAAAGCCCTTGTATTGTTTGCTTTTTGGGGGGGTTCTGGATGCCGGTCTCTGGTTGAGGATTTACTTCAAGCTACAACCATAACCGCAGGATCCTGATATGAACCCTAGCATCGAAGTTTTTAGGGCCCTACCCACGAAACAGCGGGGTTTTGGTAGGTTTAGCGGAAGTTTAGGGATTTAAGAAGCGACTGGGGGTCCAGGATGTCAGGATGAGGGAGACATGTTCGTACGAGGAGAGCCTGGGTTCCTGCAGGGCCCTGGGGTTTGGGGGTTTAGGGTTAAGGTCTCAGGTTTAGCAAAAAAAAAACACCATAAACCTTTCTTGTCGTAAGGGCTCGCGTCTCTGACTTTTTGTAAGTCCTTGAAAGGTTTTCGCTGGTTGAGGTTGGATTCAGGGTGTAGGGACGTTCGAGCTTTGACTGGAGGAGGCGCTAGGGCGCAAGAGCTCTTCGCATCTGAAAGTTTCAGGGTGTGCTTTGTAACGGCTTATGATCTTAAGCCCTTATCGGATTGGAGGCTATCGAGTCGCGAGCTTTTGGACTTGAGGGCGGAGTGGCTATACGGTTCCTGTAGAGCTTGCTGCAGAATACCGAATAATTACGCAGAATAGCGTCTTGGGGGTATGTTGCAGATGTAAAACTAAAGGTGAATCGTCAACCTGCACCCAACACCTCGAAGAACGAACACGAAGTTCGATCAACAAACGGCTCTAGCCGAATATGGCGCACAAACCCTGCGCAACTCCCTGAAAACCAATCTGCTGCGATGCCCATGGGTCCCAAACAACAAAACCCTAAACTAGACTACCTAAGTACGGGGCATTGGACCCATGCGCAAACCTTAAAGCCGTTCGACAACACATGAACACCAATGTAAACCCTATAGAACACCTGAACGCCCTACAGAAACCCTTGGCTGAACCTGACACAACCTGAAAAACAACCTTGCTTCACACCCATGTTGCAATCCGTTAGAGGCTGCCTCAGGACCTTGGAAATGACCCGCTTGTTGCTTGGGTCGATAGCCTGCACTTCGGAATGACGGCTTGTCAGATCAGAGAAATTTTCAGGCGTTCGGTGTGGAGGTGTTCCGTCTATATAGGATGATGGGGTGGCGATGGGAAAGCTTCGTGGTTTTGCGGTCCGGAGGTCCCCAGATCTGTAATTACGCAGTGTCGGGAGGAACCGCTGGGTTGGAGTCTGCAACAAACAATCAACTTCTTGGTTCGACTGCTTCAGGTTCAGGGCAGTTTTTACGACTTAGTAACCAGGGTTATTATCAAGGTAACTATATTGTACTTACTTATCACCCCAATTCAGGTCATTATAACCTGACTTACTAAGTCCCATGATCCTCCACGTAGGGTCTGGGGGGGGGGGGGGTTGTGGGAGCTGTGGTGAAGAGAGTGCCTCTTCTTAGGGGCTCTGTAGGATTCTCGCCTCGATTCGGAGGTATCTTCAAGCAGATGGGGTTCTTGGAGGATTGCTGGCAAGGTCGGGTAAGATGGGGTATCAGGCATATCGGGTAGTAGATGCTTCGTATAAAAAATAGAAGGGCGGCCCATGTAAAGAATATGTGCAGAATTAGTTAGTTGTGTGCTGTGCTCATTACACAGAGCATTCGTTGACCAGTCTGGAAGATCTAAAACAAAACCTACATAACCAGTAGTAATGTTTCGATGTTTCGCTAGCGAGACTCTGGACTCGCAAAGGCGGGGTCGTATCCATGGTTTTCAGGGAAACTCCGACGATGATACTCCTCCCAGTGGAGACATCTTTCGCAACCTAAACCCTATAAACCCGAAGACGTGAACCCTTTAAACCTTAAAGGCCGCAGTGGGCCCTGAACCCGAAACATCAGCCCGCACCCCAAAGTCAAGTTCCCCTTATCCGAGGCAGCCTTGTCAAACCCTCTGCGAAGCCAGTCCAAACTATTCATGAGCCCACTTAAAGCCAGAAACCCTGCCAACTTCTATCCGATTCTATCCAAACAGCCCACCTCAGAAGTCAAAACTCTTGACTGCTGGATCCGAGCCCGAACATAGCAACAAACCAATCCCGCCCTAAACCCTAAACCGATTCCGGGGCCTGCATCGCCATGTTCGGCACCTGAGGCAACACCATGCACCCTCGTTCAATCCTTGCCGCCTTACGCCCCACATCTGCAAAGTAAAGCCCGTGAGCCCCTGGTGTGATTTTAAACAATCAAGATCAAACAAAATAATTTTGAACAATTAAGATCAGACTGATGGAAACACCAAGCACACTGTACTAATTATATTGTTAACGTTTGACCCATGACAGGCATAACACAACCGACGCTCCGCACAGGTGCCACTTCTGTAGCAGAACAACGCGCCTGAACCATGCAATATTCTGATGGCTTGCGCCTTATACACTGCTCACATATACCGAAAAACTTCATAGAAACCTTGTCTGTTCGATTTGCTGTAAGCTCAGTATACAAATGGGGCTTCGAGATATTCATGGCTTAATATTGGCTGCAGTGCGTCCGCACTTCGATTTGCCAATTTTTATGGAAATACGGAGCCATTATGATTCAAGCCTTTCGGGTGACATGGCGGGCATTCAACTGGCCAATATGCTTCAATTCTAAACGGGTTGGTTTCAGAGGTTATAGGCTGTGTGGGATCCTTGCTCACTACATGCATAATGGCATGGTCTGTTTTTTTGGCAAGCCACTTCCAGCAGCATCGCGCAAATGTGCTGAGCACTCTCCAGGACCTGGAAGCAGCGAGGGGTACGGGTTCAGGGGTCGCAAGTCTATCTGGTTTTAGGGTTGGTTTACGACTAAGCAATGCGCTGCGAAACACTTCAGACTTCGCTGAGACTTATGCGACAGATTGACAATGCGCGATTTCTCAATCCGGCAAAGTCCAGTTTCGCGGTTGATCCTACTGCACTGCTCTGTCTTCCTCCGTAGAAGTTCTGAACCTTCTTACTCTTCGGCTAGACATCCTATGATCCCCTTGTCAAATAAGGCTTTCAGTGATAAATGTACCGGAAAAGCTCAAACCCTGAAACCCTAAACCCCAATAAACAATAAAGTAAACCCAGCACCACAGGTTTTCAGAGTTCAGTGGGCCCTTGAAATACCCCAAAACAAGACAATCCTAGGATGCACCGTAAACCCTCAGTCCTAAAACCCCAAACCCAGGGCCTAAGGGCCCTCAAAGCCACCCCAAAAAAGACAACCCCAGGATGCCTCCAAGTTGATGTGCATGTGGTAAGGCAGCTGGCGCTGTCTCTCGGCTTTCTCCTGGTAATTTCCGGCACAGCTCCCGACTGGGCTTTCGAGGGCTACGGTGGGATCCAAGAGTACCTTCTTCAGCAGGTAACACCGACATCTTGTGATTTCGGAGCCAAGATTTGTAATTCAAGGGTAGGAGCTGAAATGGCATGTAAGAGGTTGGGCTTAGGGGCTTAATGGCGCATGAAACGACTCAGGTTTGTTGCTCAGAGCGTTTTGGGTGGTTTGGAGGCCTCCACCCTTCTCTTGTTTGAGGGCATCGGACAAATCCATTTGGGCACATCTTCGAATCTCATGATGGCAAAGGAGGCTTATGCGCTCAAGGCCCATGGCCCACACCTCGAATGCAGAGCTGCCGTCTTAAGCTCAATCCAATTTAGCATTTCTCAGCAGGGGCCTCGAGTTTGCTACCTGAATAATATCGATGGCCCCACTTGTTACAAATCCCCGACCGTGTAGGCCCATTTCTCTGCCGGAGCCCAAAGACCAACAGTCCTAACCTCCTATCTCTGTTCGTGTCCCAGCCTGCTCCGCAGAACGCTCCATGTTCTTGGCGTAGGACAAGCCCTGATTTGACACATGAAGTGGGGCTTGTCTTACTGAGGGATGTGGGGCACAGATCTTACGCAGAGTTTGAGCTCAGCAACAGAGCCGATGTACCGGCGGGATCGTACCAGGAGCAAGGCTGAAAGCAACCCTACACGAACCCCAAAACTGATCTGTGCAAAAGCTGCCATCAAGATCCGAAGCAACTTCACATATCGATCTTCCATGTCCAGGGAACTGCGGCTGTAGGCTTAAAGCTATGAGCTTCGGGGTTTAGAGCTTTAGGGCTTAGGGTTTACAGGTTTAAGGACCCGTGACAGGTGTGGGAGCAATACTAAAGAACATACACACAACAACAATGATGGATCAGCACGGGCTAAAGGATATACTGTATATATATATATATATATATGTATATGTATATGTATATGTATATGTATATGTATATGTATATGTATGTGTATATATATACATATATACCAGCGTGTATATATATATATGTATATATGTATGTATGTATATCTGTATGTATGTATTTCTGTTATAGCCCTCAAATTCGGCTAACATGCCCGTGCCCAAACAAAGCTATTTCAAGATTTATGGCTCGCATGCCAGGCCTGTGCAAGCAGCTCGCGGCCCTTGTTGTACTGGCACACCTCGGCTTGCTTTTGGGGGGAGTACACAATAAACAAAGCTCTCAAGCCTAAACCTTAACTACACCCCTGAACCCCAAGTCCTAAACTACACGGCCCCCTGAAACCCAAACTGAGCACCATGATCCGAAATCCTAAACTAGAGCACTATAGACCCTTAGCCAATCGCCACACGCAAACTCACGATCGAAGACGGAAAACGTTTATGGGCTTTACATCAGCTGAACCATGCATGCCTACAAAAAGCAAACCATCCACACTTGCCCATTTAATAACTTTTTATACAGAAGCAGACATATATATATATATATGCTTCCCCCCCTCCAAAGATCCGCTCTTTTTGGCGTTATTCGGAAAGAACCCCCTCAAATAGGACTCAAATAATCCGAAAGAGCCCTTCCATTCCACAGCATTGCCTGAAAAGCCCTCGGTTCCCACATCACCTACAATACCATGTATATGCAATATGTGTGAACCCTCATGTATGTCTCTCTATGTGTATGGCGTATGGTACACGGGTGATGGACCCCACGCATAAACTTACAGAGGGAGGAATTTACGAATGCAACCAAGCACGACTACACTTCTGAAACGAAAAAGACAACGACAATGTGGTGTCTTGACATCGGGTGATCGGGGATGGAGAGAAACGATGGCACAATGATCGTGACGGAGATGACGATGCCGCGAAGACGATGATTATGATGGTGTTGAGGACGAAGATGGTGATGTCGGTCATGGGGATGACGGTGAGTTTTAAGGGCGCGTACCACAGACCCATGTCAGTCATTGTGGCATGTGGATGAAGTCCGGTGGTTCTCTGAGACTCCATGCGTGAGGGAAATGGCATTCTATAAGGCCTATAAAGGGAATAGTATAGCGTATTTCTTTTAAGTATTCCATAGGAAACTCCATAAGGCGTTGTGGGTACTGCATAAGGCGTTGTAGAAAGGATGGTACAAGGCATAAGCATAAAATTGTATTATAGAAAATATTCTGTAACGTATTGTATAGGCTATAGGCTATAGGGTATTCAACAAGGTTCATAAAAGGTATATAGTGCTTGGATAGTCTAGGGTTATCTATATGAAATTCTTTAAGATGTAAAGAAGGAGTATCGTGTAAGGTATTCAGTAGGCTATTGTTTTTGACTTCTTCATTGGGCACATAGCAGGTATAGTGCAGAGCATTCTGCTCCTGATTTTCCCCTCATTAATCCGTTATCTATAAAGTATTCTACAAGGCATTCTACGGTGCATCCTACGGGTATGTTATAGAATATTCCATAGGGTTTTCTTTAGGACTTCCTATGCGGTACTCAAAGGGTATGATAGACACTGGGTATTCTGTAAGCTAGTCTGTAGGGGATTGCAGATGATGTTCTATAAGGCCTATGAAGGGCATAGTATGTAACATATGTTTGGGGCGGTCTATGGGGTACTCCATAACCCATTGTATAAGGAATTGTACAAGGCATCAACATAAAGGTAAAAGTCATCTTATAGAACGTATTCTATATCGTAATGTATAGGGTCACCTGTACGAAAGTCTTTGAGGTTTGTGGTATTCTCTAGAATATTCTTCTCGATTCCTGGATCACTCCTAGATATCCCTTACCAAATAGGCTGCTTCTTTTTGAGGGGTTCTCAGATCTTGGGCTCGTCCTGATTGTCCTCCTATATATCCTTTTTTTGAAAGGTTATCTATAGGTATTCTTACTTCCCAAATACGTATGGGAGGGTCAAAAGTTTAAACTTTCGCAATAAGACTACCTTATAAGGGGCCAACAGTTGAACCACTAAGTGTTCTATGGGTTCAGGGTATATATACTATAATTATACAAGAACCTTGTCATATATAGGGCCATAGGGGCATTCTATAGGGTCTTCTATAGAGTATTTCAGATGATCTTCCATGAAGCGCACGATATACAGAGGGTATTATGTGTTCCAGAAAGTATTTTGTAGGGTACTCTATCTCTATTCTGTAAGGTACTCTAGGTATTCTATAGATATACGGGATATGACTGAAAGTATATATGATAAGGTATTCTAGAGGCTCTAGGGTATTCAATAAGGCAGGAGGGTAGTCTATATCAGTGTACTTTATATGAAAGTTTTTCAGATACTTGTACATAGAGGAGGTCTTCCAAAGGATATCCTATAAGATACTCTATATAGTGTCTTGTATAGTGTGTCCTATAGGGTATATGTAGCATGAGGCTTGCGGGGTGTATCATACATAGGTGGTCTTGTATAAGGTAGTCGACAGGATATTCCAGATGGGTTTCTATAAGGTTATGAGAGTGGAATTTTGCAAAGTATTCTAAAATGTATTCTAAAGGGTAATATACCGGTCAAATACAAGGTATTGCACACGTAGGCTTAAGTATCAGGCGCTGCGGATCGGCTCACAGCGCAATCATACACACTGGCATGCAGCAAACGACGCAGGATGGAAACTGGATTGAAGGATTGAATTTCAATCCGAAGCCGGATCCAAGATCCGAGATTCTCCCGGGAGTCTTTGGACAGAATCCTGGATTCGGATTGAAACTGGATTGAAGGATTGAATTTCAATCCGGGCCCGGATCCAAGATCCAAGATCCAAGATTCCGCCCAGAGAGTCCTGGGGGAATCTTGGATCTTGGATCTTGGATCCGAGCCCGGATTGAAATTCAATCCTTGAATCCAGTTTCAATCCAGTCCACAGAACTGCCAAAATTTAACGGACCTTGTGTCTGTGTGCGTGCGCGTGTCTGCTAAATGTTGGGGTATTCACGTGGGAAGAGAGACATACAAACGACATGAAGAACAAACAGAGCCAAAAAGTGTGGATCTTTGGGGGGGGGGGTGATATATATATATATATATATATATATATATATACATAAAGATACATACATGCATGCGTCGTTTATGCATACAAAGGAGAAAAGCACACGCACATGCCCAGTGAGTAATAAAAGTGTCCCCACGTGCCCATGTGGAAACTTCTAGCTGCGGAGGGAGGTGCATCCATCAGGCAGTTGTGCGCCTCCGTGATCTTTCCGAGCCGGAAGGCAGACAAGCCAATCCTTAGAGCTCGGGTTCTTGTGAAGAAATTTATGTACCGTTACAGGGAAACAACAGTGTTTACTATAGATCCCCATTATGGCATTATTGTGGTGTTTGAAATCATACTTGTAATTTACCATAATAGGGATCTACAGTAAACAATACGGTTTCCTTATTAAGATAACTTAAATCAAGTTACTTAGCTAAGAACCCAGTTCAGCTCGGGCTCGATGTTCAAAGCTCAAGTTCCGATATATCCTACAGTGCGTATTCTTCACTATCTCCCCAAAGCCCTCATCCCGACATTTGGTGTGCGAAGCCGTAGCCTCAAAACTCCAAACGAAACCCGACAACCTCAACTTCAAAGCCGCGGAGCCTCAAAACAGCTCCATCTTTCTTGCTCGCGTAGTATGATGTGCCGCCGCGCAGTGTTTCAAATTATCTGGACCCCGATGTTATCGCATCCAAAAGAGCGCGCCAAATGCCTGGTTACGAACCCAAATAATTACAAGTGTGTGTGCAAGCACATGTCTGCACTGAGCCAAAGTGCTAAACCCTAAATCTATCTGGACACTCAAACCTGTAGACCCTACAACCCTACACCACTGTAAGACTGTAAGAACCTTGAAACGCTTGATAAACCCCTGGTAGGGACCCCAAGGAACCCTATAAACGCACCCTTCAAAGGAGACCCTGTCGAAATGGAATATAGTGTATACCCTTTAAAGGGGACCCTAGGAACCCTATTCTAGTACCCTGTAGAGAACCCTATCAACTATGGGACGCTTTAGGGGAATGGAACCCTTAAAGGAATCCTTCAAAGAACCCTTAATGCAACATAAAAATGCTCCTTTCCGGCGCTTTTGTTCTCGACGGGTCTCTGAGCAATCACGCGATTGTAGAGAATCTGCGTGTGGACGTCGGACTCGGCGGCCTCGCAGCCGGAGATCCCTAAGGGTTCATGTACTCATATTACAAAGCATATAGGGACTACTTTAAGGCCATATTATATACGAAAGCAGTACATGAGCCCTTAAAGGATTGCCACTGCACAAGTTTCTGAGCATGTACAGGATCTCCTAGTGACTGAAATTTCAAACGCAGGTTTTGACTGCAAAGCCCCTATAACCCTCGACAAACACCTGATTTTTCGAGGAGCCCGGAACCCAAAACAGGAAGGAACCTTTAAAGGAACCCCTGCGAGGAGATTCGAAAAGAAACCCACAAAAGACCCTCAAAGGACCTGAAACACAATTTGTCAAGGAACCCCTCAAATGATTTTGTTCAAGGAGCTGCTGAAAGGAACCATGTTGTTGAAGGAACCCTATAAGCCCTATAAGCCCTACAAGCCTCATAAACCCTTACTCCTGAAAAAGAACCCCCCATGCAAAGCTGGGCCTGCTCCTGGAAGTTTCCAAGGTGGAGAAGATCCCGGGCTGGCCTTGCCACAGAATGCTGAATGAACTCTCAGGGGACTTGGCTCATAGCTAATTATAACCCCAATTAAGGTACCTGTAACATTACTTACTGAGTCGCCAAGGAAAGCTGAAAGGGGCCTACCAGGACCCGCCAAGGGCCGTCTAATAGAGCCCTGATGGTCCTTCGTAGGGGGTATTTGGGGTATAAAGGGAGGGTAGTTGAGGGGTAGGGTGGAGGGTTTAAGTTCAGGCTTAGGGCTTTGGGGCTTTGTTCATGTTCAGGGCTCAGTTTGAGCTCGGGATTCAGGGATTAGGGTTTATTTTGGGATTTACATAGGGTGTAGTCTTGGGTTAGGTTTCGGGTTTAGGGAAGCTGAAGGAGACTGGCTTCAGAGCGGTCCTACATGTCCAAAGGACCTTTAGAGCGTGCTAAAAAGACTTTGCTTAAACCAGCATACCCAACACTAGGTTTGGGCTAGGGCTGGAAGCATTGACCCTAAACCGTTTCAGAGTTTCGCAGTCACAGCCACTGTAAAGCCCGAAATGGCTATGCATCGTGGACATTCGCGGAACATGAGGTGCTGTAGGGCCTTTAACCCTTCATCACTTTGAATGCATGTTCGTTCGAAAGCGGAAACCATAAACCCCGCCCCAAACGCTAAACCCTCATCTTAAACTGCAAAGCTGCAAATGCGGGTGCTTGAACCTCTCCCCTATGAGCATCGAGCTGCAGTAGTATTCGGTGTGTTCTGATACTGGGTCAAGAACATTTCTTTACGAAGTCTTTGACTAGACCCAAGAGTAACTAGGAACAAAAAAAAGGGGCCCTTTTTGGTGTAAAGGGGCTTATAACGGAACCTGAACCCGTAAACAGGGACTAAGGGCCTACTCCAGGTCCTAGCTGACCTTGGCTAGAGGTCCTGCTCTTGTACAAGGGGCGCAGACTTTCGGACTTCGGAAGTTCGTGTTTAGGTTATCAGGCCTCTCTTCTGTTTGTTTGTGGGTGTGGCTATTTACCTGTATCAAAACCAGTAAACTTGAGTAGAAAACTGGTAACCCACAGACATAACCAGAACAATAAGAATCATCATAAGCAAACATAGGGATGGAGGGAGGGAGAGAGAGAGAGAGACGGACGTGCGCACACACACACACACACAAAGACACATCCAGTTGCATTTGATTGCTTACCAGGTACCATCTCCATTTCAATCTTGTTGTCATCTTCTTCAGGGTTCAGAGGATCGTGCTTTTGCAACCTAATGCGTGGAGTGTAAAGCTTTCTGCAACTGTGTGGCTGGAAGCAGTCGTGCAGAGCCAAGTGGTATGCCTGCCAGGAGCCGATGACAGCCGGCTTACACCAAACTACCAAAGGAGCATCGCAATCATGGGGGTTTGGGGTATACTACAGCACGATGAGAATGGTAACTACTCAGGCTTCTACATGGCATCCGGAAGCCAGAACTCCAAGCCTCAACGGCAACAAACCCGAAAAACTCCGCGGCAACACGTCAGCCATTAAGCGCTTCGCCTGAACCGCGTTTGACCTTTCACGCAAAGAGGACAGGCCCGATTGAGACCTGTCCAGCAACCCTGAAGCTTGAGGTACTAGGCCATGAAGCTCAAAAGTAAGAAGCTTCGTGATGAATCAAATGCATAGGGTAGATGAGGACCTCCCGAACACCACGGACTCTATAACTCCAACATAGATCCTAAACAGCTAGAGACTGTCTAATGCCAGGTCACTCACATTTGAGCCCTTGCTAGTGAACTAGATTGCAATTGAAGTTACCAGAATTGGGAATAATTTCGCTTTTCCATGAGAGTAATTGGAAGATCCAATTAAACCAAACTCGCCAGCAAGAACCCTGAAATTTGACGCAGCCCCTGCCTGGCAGAGGCAGGCACGGCGGCGAAGGCGCTGATCGCCGGTGGCCCAAACCTCGTGGAGACCGAAACTACGAGCTCGGCTATAGGTCCAGTGCACGAGCTTGGGTTTAGTGTTGGCACTAGCGCCTTACCTTTTTAGGGTTTTTGGTGTAGGGCACTAGGATTTTGGGGGTTTGGGGTTTGGAGGCGGAGACTACGAGCCATGGCTATAGCTCTCGAAACTCAAAGCTTCCAACGCAAAAGCCAATGCTTGAAGTCCGGTCCTACGCCCAGGACGTAGTGGCAGAGCTTGCCCATTACTAACATTATTCCTCGAAAGCTCTGATCAATATATCCTACACGGTACCCCAAAACCGATTGTTAACGCCTCATATGATTAATTATAGATGATCATAGAACCCATAAAGTAGTCCTGAAAGAACACTTGCGAACCCCTGAAAAAAAGCTTGCGAACCCTTTGAAAAGGGACTCTATTCTTCTTATTATCACTGCGCCCCTATATTACATCCGTACAGTAGCCCCTCACACCAGCCCCTTATTGAAACCCTTAAAATACTTCCCCCAAGCCCTAGTCTAAATGCAGTATTATCACGCCCTAGGCCCCGTACGTAGTGGCAGAGCTTGCCCATGTACGCCTTGGAGTCTTCCGGCCAGATCCAATCTTCCTGCGGAGGGGGGCTCTAGGGTTCTTATTTGGGCTAAGTTAGGGCTTTTGGGTTTGGGGTTTTGGGGCTTGCAGGTTTAAGGGCTTTAGGGTTTAGTTCTTTTAGGGTTTTGTTGGGTTTAGGGTTTGGGGCTTTGCAGTTTAGGGTGTTTTCGGGATTGGAAGTTTGGGTCCACCGTTGAGAGTCTAGGGTTCTGAAGCTTAGCACAAAATATATAAATTTCTGCAGATATCCTCACATGAAAGCCACGAGGATGGCAAGAGTCGGTAAAATACGAGAGCTGCATACAAAACGTGCTTGGACAAATGGATTGCATGTACAGGATCCTAAGGATCCTACTGAAAAAGACACGAGAAATGCCAAACAAGATGTACAAGCCTGTTCACATGTGCAATAAGGAGATTTTGCTTTGGGATAGACCGCCTCATGAGACTCCCCGAAATCTAATTCGTAGGATGATCGAGATGTTGCCTTGAAGCCCAAGGAAGCCAAAAAGCTAAGATGGCCCAAAACAACATCTTAATCGATCAAACGAAGCATGCAGAAGAGGACGCCGTGGATGCTCGTTTCTTAAGCCACAAGTGGCCAATATGCATGTTCCAAGTCAGTGCAATATCAACATGTTGGCTCAAACACGTCGCAATGTCCAGGGGTCGGGTATTGCAGAACCAAGACTACCATTGTTTGTCTAGTCGTTACGACAAGTAGTATAATAATAAATAATCACAACAACAGCTAGCAGCTACATGATAAGTGCATACCTATATACATAGTATATATACACACACGCATGATGCTACACAGGGGTACAGCAATGGGGACACCTTCTTCTCGTCTGGCATGGTGTGCGGAACCGCTTCGTAGACACGAGCATTCCTGAGCAAACATGAAGCACATCAGGCAATGTAGTGCTGAATAGTTGAATATATCTCCCCCTTATAGTCATCAAAGAGTCTGAGTGCTGGTGTGATGTACCCTTGTAGCCACCATCCAGTTGTGCTGTCATGTACCCGAAATACCTCAAAAACCTGGTCTACCTGCTTTATCCACAAAGACGCCACAACCGTCACCGCACATCACAAGATGCTGCGCTTGCAACTCTAGCACGCACTGGACTGACGTAGCCTAAAACTGAATCCCCAAACTCCAAACCACTGAAATATGTACCAAACCCCAAAACTGCAAATCCAAACATCCAAGACCTGAAAGCCCCAAAACTCTAGCATCCTAAACCTTGAAGCCCCAAGAACCTAACACCCTGAACCTCGAAGCCCCAAAAACCTAACACCCTCAACCTTCAAGCTCCAAAACCCCGCACCCTAAACTCCCTGACATCTTCCGAAGCCCCAGTAACCCTCGGCTTTAAAGGACGCCAAGGGACAATGAGTCAGGCTTGTAGTACAGCTGCTCCTGCGAGATGAAGGGGTGAGGGCTTCAGGTCTTGCATGAATCTAGGGTTAACGTACCTGCCGCTCTATAGTATATAGTATGAGTTTATCAGGGCTACTCAACTATATCGGCGTTCCATAGTACAACCTTATCAGGGACGATTAAGGCAAGAGCACTTGCGGCCAATTTGATCGAAACCCTGCCCCCTCCGATCTTCGAACATTACCTTCGGACCCGCCCCCTAAAGCCTAAGCCCCAAACCTAATGTAGTAGGTGCCTTAATACTTATAATTCGACTAGGGTTTGGGGATCCGCTATACTATATACTTATAATAAGGAACCCTAAAGAAAAGATATTGGTGATTGTTCATGCTTCTAAACCCACCAGATGCCCCCTAAACCCTAAACCCAAACCCCTAAAACCCAAAACCCTAAACCCTAAAACACTAAAGCCCTAAGCCCTAAGACCCTAACCCAGCAGATGCCACCCCCATAAGGTGTCCATGAGGCGTGACGCCAGCTCACCCAGCTGCTGGACCTGGCCCACGTGCTCGTAGAAGCCTGGGTTGCGAATTGACCCATAATAAGGGCTCAGGGTTTTTTTATGGTGTCACTATGCTGGTTTGGGTTGGTGGGTTAATCAAGCGTATCGTGCTGGAAGTACAGGGGCGTAGGGTTTAGGGGTGAGGGTTCAGTCATACTACTTACAGACATGGTATCAATGAGCACGAGCCCTGAAAGACTAGTGTTGGCAATGTTGAGGGCCATACACCCTAAACTTCCTAAAACCTCAATCCGAAGCTAAACCCGAACCTCTAAACCCTAGGCCAAGAAGCGCAGGGTGCGGTTCAGGAGAACCAGGCACTTCGAGGAGTTTGCCAAAATCTCGTGGTACTCCGAGCCGTAGACATCGCCTTGGAGTTCAGGGTGACAGGGGCCCTTAACTAACAAGACATAAAATTGCAGGACCCTTCTAGTAAGGACTTGAAAGTAAACTGCTAGTCTTTGCATCCTTGTGATTCGTGATAAGATCCAGGAGCTAAGAACTTCCAGAAGGAATTTGAGAGCCAAACATCCCAAAGACACATGTAACCCATGCGGTTTTAGGGGGCGGACTTAGTTCTAAAATTAGAACCCTAAACTCTAAACCCGAAATCTCCCAAGAAACCCGAAATCTCCCAAGAAACCCGAAATCTCCCAAGAAACCCGAGATCTCCCAAGAAACCCGAGAATCTCCCAAGAAACCCGAAATCTCCCAAGAAACCCGAAATCTCCCAAGAAACCCGAAATCTCCCAAGAAACCCGAGATCTCCCAAGAAACCCGAAATCTCCCAAGAAACCCGAAATCTCCCAAGAAACCCGAAATCTCCCAAGCTTCCCAAGTCTCGCTTGAGCTCAGGTGTGCAGTTTAGGGTTTAGGGTTTAGGGTTTAGGGTTTTTGGGAATTAGAGGCTTGAGGCTTAGGCTTTGCTTTCTCTTGATTGCAACGATTTAGGGCTGATACGGTTTAGTGTTTAGGGTTTCATGACAAACTTAGTAGAGCGCAGGTCATGCCAATGCGTGCTGGCACTCAATGTTCCGTAGCAAATGCCACCGAGAAGCTGTTGAACTGCAGTGCCTTGTAGAGCTCATCGTCAAGCTTCTCAACATAAGCCAGGTACAGCTCCTGCAAATACGAGCACATGAGGGAGCCATCATGAAGATCTTTGATTTGTGGTTGAAGAATTGCGGCCTACGCTCCAGGATCTAAAGAACAGATCTCGGAGTTGCAGGTAAGGGCTCATAAAACGCTCTTTCCCAAACCATCGAAGCAGGAACCTTCCAATGTAGAGTCGACTCCTGGCGGCAGTGCTCTACTACTGCTAATACTGCTGCGGCTGCTGCTACTACTGCTACTACTGCTAATACTGCTGCGGCTACTGCTACTGCTACTGCTACTGCTACTGCTACTGCTACTGCTACTGCTACTGCTACTGCTACTGCTACTGCTACTGCTACTGCTACTGCTGCTACTGCTACTGCTACTGCTACTACTACTACTACTAGTACTAGTACTAGTACTAGTACTAGTACTAGTACTAGTGCTAGTACTAGTACTAGTACTAGTACTACTACTACTACTACTACTACTACTACTACTACTACTACTACTACTACTATTATTCCTCCTACTCCTAATCCTACTCGTACACCTACTGCTACCACCACTCTGCTACTGCCAATTGCTGCTGCGGCTAGTGCTATTGCTTATGCTACCACTATACTTATACCAGCGACAGCAGCAACAACGACAACTGCTGCTCCATGTACTTCCACCGTACTACCACCACCCCACGTCCCAGCCAACTCAACGACGGTCCTGCAGTCTCGTGTGCGACTTCGGATCCTCGACATCCTTGAATGCTGCATGTAGGATTGTAAGAAATACATCGGGTCGATTATTAACTACTCCCCATGTGCACGCCCGCGCAAGACGACTTTACACAAGGTGGAGACGACTCAAGCCTACCACTAGTACATAGTTACTAGTTCGCCATTCCATCAGGCACCGCATGTTCTGAAAAAAACCCAGCGGCCCCATCGGCGGCAGCAGCCTTCTCGTCAGTACCACCTGTTGGGCTAGGCTTGTCTTGCTTTTTCTTGTTGCGATTGCATGAGACTCGCTGCAGAAGCGTTCGAAGTGGATCGGGGGCCGTCTGAATGTCGGGTTGAGGGTTATTTCCAAGATTCCATCCAAGCCGGAGCTGACCTGTTGGCTCGGAAACCGTTTCTGAATGTCACAGACTAGGAGAACAGAGTCAGAAGTCAATGCGCGAATTATGTGGTTTGGGAGCCATGAATCGTATGCTATGGCTGTTCTGACTCATCTGGTGCTTGAGGACTCTGTTGAGGTTGTGTTAGGTTCGAGGGTTGGAGATTAGGACTTTGGAATTGTCCACCAACGGGCCTCTAGAGATTGAACCAAGGCTCAATGAAAATGTAAGTCATCATACCCAGCCTCCCAATGCAGATACCCGCCTAAGAAACCCCCAATTTATTCTGTAATTCATACGGACGTTAGCACGGATCCAATTCTCTCCTGGACCAAGATCCACGAAACTGCTACATCAAACCTAACAAAACCTCATGAAAATCGTGCCAGGCTCCCATAAAACCTATGGTATAGCCATGTGGGAAAACATGCGAACACATTAATGCTGGAACACTATTCAAAAACTTAATACAAAGCTTGCAGCCACCTCGAACAAAAACTACTTGAACTCTTAAGAGCGAACCCCAACAAGCCCTATAACCCTAAACGCTAAACCTCTAGAGCCCCGCAAGCCCTAAACACGAGACTCCAAAATCGATCCCCTGAGCCCTGAGCCCTCAAACCTTAAGCCCCAAACCCCAAAAGTCCAAAATCAAGCTCGCAGGCCCTAAACCCTCTCAAAACTCTGAACCCCAAATCAAAAGTCTAAAGACGCCCCAAAATTCAAAAACCAAAAATCAAGAAAACCAAAGAAGCCCAAAACTCAAACTTCGTGAACATTTTCGAGGCACCGCTCTTCATGAGGTTGTGCGACTCAAAGAGCAAAGGCAACATCTTGTTCACCTACCCAACGGGCGTTTCAAGTAGACTTAGGGGTTCAAGATTGTATTGGGGGTTGTAGAAGCTGTAGGGTATTCTACGGGTTCTATAGAAGAGATACTTTCAGGGTTCAAGTTTTAGGGCTGTAGAGTGAAGCTTGTTCACTGAGGAAGTGTACTCTGAGAGACCAAGCCCAGCGCTGTGAAGCTTAGAAGTTAGGAAACGGCCAAACAGTTCTGATTTCGACGGCTGACTGGTGTTTGAGCACAGAGGTGTTACCTGTTCTCGAACGGCGATCAAAACATCAAAACAGAATACACTATACAGTGTGCAGCACTTCAACCTACTGCAAAACAGTATCTCGTCTCAAGCTTTCTTCACTTATCGGAAGAGGAACGCCTCAAGCCGACACTACACGCCAATTCAAAGGCAAGACATGTGGTCCAGCTGCCCGGCCTTTGTCAGAGCCTCGTTCCACATCTCGATCTTCCTGAAGCAGAACTTCTTACTTTTTGCTTCAGGTGTTGGGTTTAGGTTTTTGGCATTCGAGTCGTAGTGGGTGCATGATGGCATCTTCAGGAAACCTTTGGGTTTCAAGATCAGTGTAAATGATTTTAAGGTGATTGCTCACAGTTTTTGCAAAACCCTCAAAATCAATGTGCAGGCGAGCGTCATGGCAGCGAAGGCGCTGCCCGTGTTGTCGAAGTCCGCCGAGACCATGGAGGCGTAGATGTACAGCTGCTCCTCGGCTATCTTCCGTTGTTTAGGGTTTAGGGTTTGGGCTTAGGGTTGTGCATCGAGTAGTACGTTGGGACGCAAAGAATTAAGCGAATGAGGGACATCTTAGGGCAGCGTGCGAGAGAATATTGCGAATTATTCAGGCTCCTCTGTGAAGCGGTTTACGTTCCTGGCCAAATTGTGTCTTCCGGTTTGGCTTGTGGTCGAGGGCTCGTTCTGCTTTGGTCTGGTCTCTGCAAGCTGGGCACCACCCCGCTCAGGTAAATTGCATGCAAGTGCCGCTTAGGGTTCAGGGTTGCTCAAGTTGCGCGCTTGCAAGCCGTTTCAACCCTGTTCGTAAATTACTACGCCGGTCATTGCAATGCAAGGGTCGAGAGGGCCGTGCTTGGCTGCATGCACCAACAACTTCTGCAGCTTCTCCATGTAGGCCTGCACAGGGAAACCTCAACCCGAAAGCTTGAACCGTGTCTATCATGACGATGGTGATAAGCACTGCAGCAATGACTACAACAAATGAAAAGCATGTGACGATCAACTTCTCGCCACCCCGTGCTTCGCTGATCAAACCCTTTACCCGAAACCCTTAACCCTGAACCCCAAACCGGCCCTAACCCGCACACACAACTGTGTGATCTGCCTTAGCCGATTAAGTTGCCCCGCTCGGTCCTCTGAAGCCCGGAACTCACAAGATCCTGTTACCTCAACCTCAACCCTTGAAAACCAAATCCCTGAAGTCTACTCATCCTTAACCGCAAACCCAAACCCCCTGAGCTGCAAACCCCAAACCTCTGAATCTTAAGACTCCTGAAGCAAGCCTCACTACTCGACCCTTTTGGAACTCTTTTCACACCTCTTCCAAAAAACCCTAGCTGTTAACGCCGTACAACAAGATTTAGGAAACCCAGGTTCACAAACACTGCAAAGCCCTGCCACAACCCTATCACACCCTACGAAACATCCAGAATGACCGGATAAACACCTATGCCCGCCTATGCCCTATGAAACCCTTCTCCCTTCTAAGAACCTATAGCAATCTGTTAAACAAACTCATGTGGGTGGTTGTCAAGATTATGGTCCCTTCTTGGGTCCCTATTACAATACGGCACCTACTATTTAGGGTACCCAAAAAGGGATCATAATTTTGACAACCTCCCATGTAGATCCCTGAAGCCGGCCGCCTTGCGATCGAACGCCTTGCGGCCGCGCTGTTGGGTGATCTCGGTGACCTTGTTGGTAAGCTCCTGATCGTCTTAGATTAAGGCTTATAGGGTTTATAGGGCTTTAAAATTTGTTCTTAGGATTTGTTAATTAGGGTTTAGGGCTCAAGATTCATGAGCTGCTGGTCGGATTAGGTTAGGGCTATAGGGGCTCAAGGGGTTCAGGGCTTCGGGCTTGGGGTTCGCGAGTTGCTGAAGGGCTTCGCAGTTAGAGGCGCTTCTAACGTGTCTAGTCTATAGGGCATGCTACAGGGTTTGCAAAATGTACTGAAGGCGAACCATCAGGCCTTCTTAAATTATTACTAGTCTGGGTTATGGTGGCCCATCTGCGGAAAGGGAATTTCATTTCGCATCCGTCTCGACAAGTCTGTTGCAAGCGTTAGTAGTTGTTCGACCTTGAATAGATCACTCCTCGACCACTTAAACAGTGAAGACGACAACGTGACTGAGGCCACACACCCTCAAGTATAAACCCTCGAACTCCGGTCCTTGGAAGTGTACTCCTCTGGCTCGTCCTTGCCTGCAATGCGCAAACGAGCGAACAAGCATGACATTTCAACTGAACTAGGACTGAGATGACTGAAACTCTCCCTGCTTGTAAAGATCTCGCATTCTGACTCTCTCAATCACTCAATCACGAGAATCTCGAACCCTAAACCCTTAAGCTTTCCTTCAGTGAATTCTGCTCTACAAGCTGAAGAAGGCAACAAATTACAAAATGCATCAGTTGACTTGCTATGCAACCCTAACTTTACCAACACCGCCTAAATTTAAAGCCCTTGCAAAAACCTACCAAACCCCATGAGAAGCCCATCTAAATACACCCCACAACACTCCGATAGAAGCCCTCATCAAATTCCATTTCAACAAAACCTTCAAAACACAACCGTACCAGCGAATACTTGGACTCTGAAGTGTTCTGAACGACCCCGCGTGGTCCCTCCACGGCCTTTGCGCTCGCGGCCAGTGGCTGTGCCGCGGCCGTCCTGTCGAAACCATGTTGTGTTTTTGGCTTGTGTGTGCGTGTGTGTTTTACGCTGTTCCGCTTTATTCAACCGTCTAGGAACGAAGGGTTCGTGGTTTCGGCAATTAAGGTTGTAGGTTTGCGAACTAAGGTTACCAGGTTTCGGATTTAGGGCTTGCTTGGGGTTTTTCAATTCGGATTTCAAGCTTTGACCGCAACAACCCCAAGCTCCGGAATTCTAACCCCACCCATCCCCCTCCCCCACCCCGCGCAAGGATTTAGGATTGAGACGTTTAGGGATTTGGGGCTGTAGGGGTTGAGGGTTTAGGGTTCCTAAACCGTAAATCCCGAAACCCCTAAACCCGAAGCTCCAAACCCTGAACCCCTAAACCCTAAGCCCTAAATCCCTAAACCCTGAGCTCTGGAATTCGAAGACGCGCAGGCAGGTCCTCGCCCTTCTCTTTCTTTCTGTCTCGTTTCTCCTTCTCCTTCGCCTGGCAATGGAGGGTCTCAAGCTTCGGGGCGTTTCGGTGTTTCAAGGCTCTGCAGTTTGATGTTTTGGGTTTTGCGTTTACTGTTCATGAGTGTAATTTAGTCCGAAAAGCAGCATCAGTGTGCTTATGAAGGCTTGTGTGCTTCTGAGGGGTCCTCGTGTATCCTGAACCCCGAAACCTTGACCCGGAGAATGTGAATCTTATGTTCATGTGACATTCATGTGCTTCACGGGTTCTGCAGTTCTCACAGCCTTCAGGGAATATGATTTCGTTTGGGGATCCCGTCTGGATGGCATGGTTCAAGGATTCAGGGATTCTGATCCGAGGTTCAACGTTTGATCAATGCCACTTTGCTTCCGAAAGAAGGCGCTGTTCGGCTTGCCACAGTCACAGGGTTCGAGGTTGTCTCGTCTGATGGGCATTGCCGGACCGCAGCCATGTTCCGTGCCTTGTTCTCTGCCTCCTTGGCTTTAGCCAGCTCGGCCTTCCTCTCACCTCGGGACCCACGGAACATCTGACCAGCGCAACCCAAAACCGTACGAGACCAAACATGCAAAACCAAACCTCTACAACCCTAAAACCCAAAGCCCAAGAGCCCATAAGCCGATGAAGCCTCAACCTTTAACTTCAACCCAACCTAAACACCAACAGGCTCCAACGCTCTTGTCTTTACTAGCTAGGGCCTGCGAAAAAGGCGGGCCTCAGCACCCGGGAGAACCGACAGGATGCGACATACTCAAACAACGGATCGAACCACAACCCCAACCCCAATCCCGGGTTCCAGAGCCCGGGGTTGGGGTTCAACCCCAACCCTAACCCCAGGGTTCCAGGTTCGGGTCAACCCCAACTAGGGCTAGGGTTAACTCTAATTTCGAACTCCCACCCCAAGGGTTCAGGTCGGGGACTCTATATGGTGTGACAGAAAGCATCGATGAACAGATTTCTTTATACCACTAGGCATTCATCACATACGAAAACCGAACATGTACGGCAGGTTGAGCAGCTTCGTCTGCTCTGCTAAGATACCCTCCTCCATCCACTTCCATGCAGGCTCCGCAGCCTAAACCTGAACATCTTGAGCCTTCAACTCTGAAGGTGCCAAACCCAACAGCAGCCCAGACCGGACACCCTCCGCCCCAGGCTTTTTTCAAGACCTGAACAACATAGGAATGAGCTCAGCTATTCCGTCCAAAAAAGCCATGTTTGTTTACTAAACAAACCAAAAGAAGCCAAATGGCCCTTATACGAACATACAAGTCATCCCATAAAATTTGATAGTGTCAACCATGTGGTTCCAAAAAGCCTCTCTCATTTGATATATCAACAGACAAGCCCTGCATAATTGCGTCCTCTACAGCCTCCGATGCTCTGTTGAGCCAAGGTTCGTTCGGCGAGCTTCTCAGGCGTGATGAGCCATCGGAGCATCTTCCTGCATCCGGGCTTTATGATGTAGACGGTTTAGGGTTCAGAGTTGATAAGCAGGGTTTTAACAAATGTTGGAGTGGCGCTTAGGATGCTGGATGAGGTGCACCTAAACCCCAAGTGCAAAGCCCAAACATCCCCCGCACTCTGGAGTTTGTCACACCTCGGAGCCAGCAAACTGAGCAAGGCTTTAGGGGTCCTACACCAGCTGCTGGCATGCCGGAAGCATGTGGAAGTCTAGTGGAAACCCACGTATGAACTTGAAAGCCGAGCATACACATTTGGTTTAAGGCCAAGGGACTACGGTCAAGGGGACAAGGCAAAAACTCAGCATGAGGGAGCCTCTCACGAACCAGATCCTCGTCTCCATCGCCGTCCGATGTGTCGGACTTTCCTCAGGCCACAGGCAAAGCAAATGCAGAAGCCTGAACAATTAGTAATACTATCCCTTGGTGTTCCTTATTATTGTCACTGTTGGAAAATATCATCCCCAGAAATCTATGGTAAAGCTACTGCAATACTTTTGGGAGATCAGTGACCCCAAACCCTAAGCTTGCATCGGACAAGAGAAAAGATCAAGCCCTAGTTTTACTTCAGAGTGCCAGGTTGGTCTGCAGCAGAGGAATGTGCGACCAAATAAGACAGGAGAGTAAAAGTGTAATGAAATAGCTGGATAATAGCTGTACCAAATCCTTCGTCCCCCCCCCTCGTTCAAGATAAAAAACGCCATTGAAGCCTTCTTAGAGAGGTGCCCTCGAGCCGTCAGGGTGGATAGCTTTGCACATATACAATCAGGGTCTCAGTATGATCTGAAAAAGTTTGTATGCAGGTTGTAGGGCCGTAGAGGGTTGTAAAGGATCTTTATGCAGGGATCCTGAGTCTTAGAGTAGGAGGCTGGGGCATATCATAGCACCCATGCAGGGGTATGAAGCCATCGTTTGTGCAGGTTTGGGCATAGATCCAGCAAACTACAGCACCTGACTCCCAAAAAGCCTATTGAGGAGACACAGTAGGTTGGGTGTTGAGGGCAAAGGGTATTTCAGACTGCCCTCAGAGCGACAAGCCCTACAATCTAACCCTTATCCTTAAACCTCAAAGGCAAACCCCAGATCCGAAACCCGAATCAAACCCCAAACACCAGGAACCCTGTACACACCTCCACAGCCACAGTTTCCGGAGCTGTCGAAGCTATCGGAGTCGGAATCCTTGGATGGGAAGGAGGGCTCTATAACTCAGCGAAAAACACAACCATAGCATGAAGGGCTTTCTACTGTTGTTGAGGGGTTGTCTGCCAAAGGGTCCGAAGTACCTACATGGGGAATACTTACCCAAACCAATAATTCAGATATAGAAACCCTGCACTCCACTATATAGGTACTTTGGACCCTTTGGGTGTAGGAGCTCTTTCGGGGTTTGAGTCTTTTGGGACGGCTTTTTTTGGCTTTGCGGCCGCAAGAACAGGGACGGACGGGACCAAAACTCCTGATAAGGGAGCATACGGTTGAGCCTTGCGGGTATAATAGTCTGGAGTCTGTTGTATCAGCATGGTGTTTGAGGGTGCATTATTTTTTAATGATGCAGGCACTCTAGTCTAAGGGGATACTATTCCTAGATCTTGCGAAGCCTATACAGGTTCCAGATGTTCCAGGCATGCTCCTTGGTGACGGGCCTTTGAGACACTGTGAGGTTACGGTGGCACGAAGAAACCGCACCCGCCATATGGATTTCATGACAACCCACACGTGACGCAACCCAGACTGCGAGGACCGTCAGGGGAAGACAGCATGTACTTACTGCCCAAAGCCCATGGGATTCTCGGTTTCGGTGCCTCTCCGCCAAGCTCTGGGTAGGGCCATCCCTACATATCCGTTGGCCGGTCAGAGGGTGAGAACTCTAAGCCCTGAGCCCCGGAACCCAAACCACAAAGCCGAATTCCTCACCCTACCCCCGTGAGGTGTGACCTTCACCTTTCCGTCTCTCTTCCTTCTTGGGTACTGAGGCTGGGAGTTTTTCTGGGAAGCATTTGGTGTCTGTCATTCGACGTCACGGAACCCTAACTTCGGTTCGGGGTTTAATCTGAAAGCCCCCAGCCCTACTGCATAAGCCCCAGAAAACCCCTAACCCCCATAATTTGGGGTTTGCGGTTGTTCAGGCTTGGAAATTCTTAGAGAGGATATTCCGTCTACTGCAGCCGCATTGGCTGAGCTTGCGCTGCCGGTATCCGACGAGTCATCCGAGTCACTGTCCTGGGTGGTCTGCAAGACTCAACCAAGGGATCAGGAGATCTAGCAAGCGTATAGTATGCTTATTCCTGCACCCAAAACCTTTGGGCTTTATACGGAGTGCTGAAAGTCGTTTATACGGGGGATTGTGCGAGACATAGGGTTTGCAAAAGCTTTGAGAGCATGCTTGGGCTCCTCAGGGCGTCTATAGGTTGTTGCCGGGGTTCACAACCCTTTAGAAAGTCTGAGGTTGTCTAAGGGTCTTATTTAAGGAGCTCTATGAGGGGTCTCCCTCAACCTGAAACTCTAAGCCCTGTTTGGTTTGGGCCAGGCCCTCGAAGGTTTAGGGTTGCAGTTTGAGGGTATCGGGGCTTGGGGCTGTAGGCTGCGTAAGACCCCGAACTTAACGCCTTCAGACCTTCGTACGGAATTCCTTCTTCGAGCTAAGAGCTGAGAGTAAAGCCCGAAACATGGAATCCCATTGTCCTAGGACAGTGCCAGAAGCTTACTAGACTGATTACCCCCCTCTGCTGTAAGAAAGTCTCGGCGGGTTTCCAAAAAATCAAACTTTGGGGTTTGGAGATGTCAAGGCTGAGAGCACTATGCATATAGAGGCTTTACACTATTCTAATTATTCTAATTCCCATCGTCTTTTCCAAGGGGCTTGCAGGGATTCTAGGGTTTAGGCTCGATGGAGTTGGGAACTTTAACTGGCAGTGCCTAAAGTGCCGTTCTTGTAGTTAGGGTGTACAGTTTTAAGTTTCAGTCGTCCATCCCGGAGCTGCTTGCAGCTCTCTATAAAAGTGCACATACACATACACACATAGTACACCCTTGAAGGAACTCCTGTAAGCAACACTCTTCCGTTACATGAGCCTTATAAGTATAAAGGTCCTGCAGGATCCTCAGACCATGTGGTTTTAGGTTTTTGGGTGTAGGGGTTTAGGGTTTAGGGGTTTAGGGGTTTAGGGTTTAGGGGTTTAGGATTTAGGGGATTTGGGTGTGGGGGTTTAGGGGTTTAGGGTAAAGGGTCTAGAGGAGGTTTAGGGTTATTGTAGGCTTGCATTTGTTGTCAGGTACTTGGGCTTTGAGTCTTCGGAATCCGGAAAGCCAGCAATCGTACGACACTATAGCAAAAACCGATCCAGGCCCCATGAAACCTTCATCCTGTGACACTTTCTATAAGGCCTGCCTACCAAATATCCAAACGCCAAAAGCCTGAGCAAGCCCCAGGCCCTAAACTTCGCACCCTAAGGCTGCTGAACACCCTTAGCCCCGCACATCCTCCCTAGAAGCCACAAAATCGAATGCAGAGTCCTGAAAACCCTTCCAAATAAAAGCAAAGTTCAAATCCAGGTGGAACCAAGGGTTCCCTAAACCCCAAACTTACCTTTGGTCAGTAGGGAATGGAGGATTGGGGTACCATTATAACTACTATTACTACCATTCTTCCATTCCCTACTAACCAAAAGGTAAGCAAACGCTGGACCCGAAACTCTCTCCTAGCCCTTGGCGAAAGCAACTCGATGCTTCTGTTGTAATGACCAGCTGCCGAGTCGGAGCTCGAGGAGTCGGAGCTGGAAGAGCTGGAGGAGGAGTCCTGGGCTTTGGTGCTTAGGGGCTTAGGGGTTCAGGGTTTAGGGTTTTGGGGTTAAGGGTCTGAAGGGTTTAGGGTTTAGGGTTTAGGGCTTTAGGGCTTTAGGGTTTTAGGTTTTGGGCAGAGGGAATCTTGGGTTTTTGCTAGTGTTTCGAAAGGGTTGCATGGGGATTGCTTTAGGCCGTCCCAGGATTTCATGGGTTTTTTCATAGGATTTCGAAAGGGTTGGATGGGGATTTGTAGGGTTTCATCGGGTTGTACGGGGATTCAGATGGTCTTTAGTTTAGAGAGCTTTTAGGGCGCACTTAAACCCAACATCCTAAACCCTAAAGCCACAAAGCAGCAAAACTCGAACCGCGAAAAAAACATAAACCCTAAAGCACTATGTAAACCCCAAACCTGACTACTCTTCTAGAAACCTTTCAGGAACCTTTGAAAGAAAGCCTTATAGAACCAAAGAAACCCTGAAATAGCAAACAAAAAACACGCCCCTTGGAACCTTAAGGGGGCCCTTGAAGAGACCCTTAGGTTATCGGGCTCTTAAAACAAACCCTAAATCAAACATAGCAACACCCCAAGCCACTTGCAGACGAGGATCCGAGGAGCTGCTCCGCTCGTCTTTTTCGCTGGCCTGCGTCCGGGCCACAAACTTGGGGATGGGTTTGTAGGGCTGAAGGGAGTGAAGGGTCATTGTATGGTAGGGTTTGGGGTATAGCGTTTAGGGTTTAAAGTTTAGCGGTTTAGTCTGACGGTTTAGGGGTGTAAGGATTTCCGGTAATGTAGGTCTTAAGCAGGTCGTGGAGAACTCTGATTTGCTTCATGATTCTGACGACTTTACTTTCAAAGGGGGAGACTGCTTTCATGCCATCAGCCTTGTGATTTGCACTCACAGGGATTCAGGGGGATTCACTGCCACCCGAAGCACCCCACTCCGACGGCGACATAGGGGCACAGCGGCACAGAGACGTCGGTTGTCGGGCAAAGCCGGATGCAGCCCTAAATCACGAAAACCGAACCTCCAACTTAAACTTCAAAACCTACTCGGACCGAAACCTTAAACCCTGTAGATTGCCTGCAAACACTACCATCCCTAACTCCGTGCCAGCCCTGAATACGCTGGGCCTCGCTGGCAGAGTCGCTGGCTTCGGGCTCCTGGCTGCACAGTACAGGCGGCGGGTAATATTCGGGCCTTAGTAGTTGGACAACTGCTCTTCCTTAAGCACTCATGCCTCAATTGCCGGAAGCATGGCATTCTCCCAAACCAAATACTTTCCGACTCCAGCCACGAATTCAAAAACATAGCTCGCAGAAAATACAAACTAAAGGCAATACAAAAACCACAAACTCCCAACATGAGAAGTCACGAATCTGAAATCTAACAGCTCCAAGGCCGTAAACTTGCAAGGTGTATCTAAACTTAACCTCAGACTCCCCAGAACGGACCATTGCACACCCATAACGCCATCCTATACCCCAAGAGCCCCCAAAATCCCAAGAGCCCCAAAAACTGTTGTGGGTCTCCGGAAATCTGCGGGCCCTGGAAAGCATCCTTCAACCCTCAGATCCCTGTTTTCCTAAACCTCAATCTTGGACACCTTTACAGCAGAAACCCTTCAAGAACCTTAGGCCTCGTCCTGGAAGCCATCCCAAAACCCCTAAACGCCCCAATCATCCTAATGACCCTAACCTAACCTACCCATAGGCCCCAAAATAGCTCCTTTTTGGGATTACCTGAAAGGATTCTATATATGAACCCCAAAAAGGAACTACTTTGGGGCCTTTGGGTAGAACCCAAAACCAACCTACGAATCCCAGGGCCTCGTCCGACTGGAAGTCATCCGGATTGTTCTTCAGCTGCTCTAAGTCATCGGCAAAGGGCTTGTTGCCTTTCTTCACCTCCGGGGTTCAAGGCTTTATGCTTTAGGGCTTTAGCGGTTGGGGGGTTGGGGCTTAGGGTTTCGGGGAATCAGGGCTTAGGGTTTTGCCTGGTGTTTCTGGTGTAGGATTTAGGGTTTCCGGGCTTCTTGTTGTGCCGTCGGGCCCCTCTTGCAACTCTGTGTGGGCGACCAGGGACCCAGTGAGGAAGCTTTGCGTACCTTAATTGCCCGAATGGGGCAATAGGCAACTCTGGCTAAGAACCCCCGTAAGTAGGGACCAGGGTTCTGAACATCGGAAATGTGCGTTCACACGGCTGCCCTGAGGAGGGCGCTAACTACCCGGGTCTTATGGGGGTGATGCGAGCTGTCCGGATTTCCTGTGGACATACAGGAGCTCCACAGGAGCATAAATGCTGCATGTTGCTCGACTTTGGGTGTAGTTGCTGTGGCTTTGTATTGCAGTCTATGTAAACTGTAAGGACCGTGTAAGCCTGCAACGCCTGCACTGCTGGCCGTGTGCAGCGCCACTCTAAAGTCGAACAGTGCGTTAATTCTGCAAAAGACGTGATTCAGGCTCCGGAAATGTAGGACTTTGAGATCCGGTGATAGGGGCGGGTATGTAGTTGAGTACTGGGTTTGCAGTTTATGAGCATGTCCTTAAGGGGGGGTGGTCCAAGGGGGTAGGTAACATAGTAATCCCCATTATTCCCCAATACTCCCTAAGCTTCCCTAAGGTTCCCCAAAGCTCCCTAGTACCCTCCCCCCTTGAACCACCCCCCCTTAAGGACCCTACAAGTTTAGTGATGCAGCATTCTGGTTGCAGCATTGCCGATATTGCAACCCGTAGCTGCATCCGCAGCGATTTTTTGCTACCGGCCCTTCTGAAATATCCGAGAGGGTTCGGGGCTTCAACCTGCCCCCTCAATGCTTCAGTGGAACATGTCGTAAGACCGCTCAACCCCCCCAAACTCTGCAACAATCTAGGGAACAACAATATGCCGAGCAAACCCCCCTCACGCAAACTTCACCTGAATCGCAATCTCTGACTACACCCTGAACCCTAACCCCCGCCCCGTGTACCTTGGCGCGCAGGGTGTTGAACGCCTTGTTCTTGTTATCCGGGAGCTTGATGCCCTTCCTTGAGGACCCGAGCAGGCCATACTTAACAAACATGTCCGCAAAGGATCAACCATCATCTGGTAAACTGTGATGCAATATACCAAAATTCACGAGGATGTGCTATCGTGCACTGGTCACCGAACCCTAATGAACCATGCATGCGCACAGCCTCAACCACAAACCGCAAGCCTGAAATTGCTCTCATCCCCAACCCATCGACCCCTGTTTACTGCACCACCCCTACCCCCACCCACGCCCGCTCGAAACAACGAGCTGCTGCTTCTTTTCGGAGATCTCCTCGTGCTGCTTCCTTACACGGCGGGTCTTGTATAGTGTTTGTTTAAACAGCTTCACGTCGTCGCGCCAAGACTCACGTCGTCACGCGCTGCGCCCGAAAATTTACGTGCAGCTACGGCCATCAATGTGTTTGTTGGTTTACGCGGGTTCTTGTCAGGTACTAGACTTAGAGGTTCTGGATCATGGGTTTAGCGCTCAGCCTTCTAGAGGTTCAGGTTTATCAGCCTAGTTTTGAGGTTGAGGCTTGTCTGTTTCAGGGCTTACATGTTGCGGTTTAGGTTTATACGGTGTTGGGTTTAGGCTTTGGGTCTCGGGTTCAGATTTTAGGGTTTGCGGCCAGCGGTTTGGGCTGTAAGCGAAAAACCGCTAAGAACCCAAAGCTCCGAAACTCTAAACGCCGACAACACAAAACCACTCGAAAACGAAGGTTGTACTTATGGTTTGGTCCGATAGTCCTGAATCCACAGCATTCATTAATAACAAAAAAATCTACGCCCCCTGGATTAGGGAAAAGCCCCATCGAAGCTCTATCCCAGAGCCTGAAGCCTGGAACCAGACGGCTGATTGAGGATGTTCCTGGCATTTACGGCCGCTGAAGCCAACACGCTGACTCCAGAACCTCAACCTCCCTCCAAGAAAACCTCAAAGCCCTAAAGCCATAAACCCTAAAACCCTAAACCCTAAACCGTCAGCAAATCCGTAAAGCCATAAGAGCGCAATGCAGCCCAGAGTACTCTACGTAGTCCTCCAGGCTACCGATGGCCTTGATGAAGGCTTTGGGAGGACCGCCGTCCTGCTCCTGAAGTTCTAGCCGAAGTTGATAAGTTATGTAGCAGTCACATATGTTGAACTAATTATTGTTGCATGCTTTCCTGCACCTGATGCATCACGACTTGTGCAACCGCGCAAATGTCTGAGCACACTCTTGGACCTGAAATACCTGTGCAAGCAGCAACCCTGCCGAAAGCAGTCGGCTTCAGCTCTGTGCCACAACCGTTATAATATTTCAACATTCACCAATTTAAAATCACACTGCACCAGCAATGAACAGTTTTCGAATCGGTTCGTGTTTTGTTCTCTACAAAAGTAATGTGCTTACGAATAGCAACCCAGCGAATGCAAGGGCCAGTGCCCCCACCGGAGAAGGCTATCAAATCTGAGAAGAGCCGTGAAGTCAGCGACCGATGGAAAAGACCGCCAGTTAATACGACTATCGAGTGGTGATAATAGCAACAAGATTAATGACATCAGAAGAAATAGCCAACACAGGGTTACCGTTAAAAGTAAGAGTGCTGGTTCTGAGGTGTGCTAAGCCGTCGAGAATTGTCCACTGCCAAAAAACATTCCGGGCTGCGCGCTTGTGTTGCTTCTGAATACATCCGAAAACCCATCCTAGAATGCTGGCAAGCATAAGGGGACTAAAAACCCTAAAGATTACGATTACAGGCTCAGGGTTTAGGGCTTCGCGGCCCTGCACCCCCAATCCCTTGAAAAATGCCACCAAGCCACCATCTGTAATCGGAGCTTTTCCAGCATCCTGATGGAGCTCTTCGCGTTCGAACGTTCGGGGAAAGCGAAGTACTGCTTTCAATCCATGGATGTCCTTCTTGAAACCATAATGTTCAATAACACTACTGAAGCCCCTGTGTCAGAGAGGGGACCTTCATGTGATTTCAAGCACATTGCTTGCTCGAGGGGTACGGGGCTTTTTGGGAAGAATGTCCGCTCGCCCCTCTTTGATTCTGAGGTCTCCTTCTAGTTGGAATGCCCTGACTTACTCCACACCAACCCTACACCCTGAGCATCCTGAGCCCATCGGCGGCAACGCTGCAAGCCCTGCCTCCCCCAAAGCCGGAAACTTTGACCCTATGTAAATTCAAATCTCACAATCTCAACCTGAAGTCCAAAGCCCTAAGCCCTACACTGCCCTACACCCTGAAACGAGAATCGTAAACCAGTTCTACACCCTGTAGCTCCAACATCAAATTGCCATCCACAAAGCCGCCTTAAACATCAAAATAAACAAATGAAGCTGAAATCCCGTCGAACCCCAAAACCACCAGGGACCTCAGGAGGGACTCGTAGTCTGTGATCGTACTGGCATAGTCATCGATCCTGACGGCTGAGGGCCCTAAACTGGGCTCTTGTTAGAGTGGCTTCTTATTTGAGTTCAAACGAGTTTGTGCAGAAGGGTTCTGGTTGTGGGGTATAAGGCTCCGGTGGGTGTCAATGGGTGTGAGCAGGTACATTCTACTGTCACGTAGCGTAAATACGGTGGCCTTAGCGCTCGAAACAGGAGCACAAAAAGGCACCTAAGCCAATGTTACTGAAAGGCATTCTTCCCTAACCTATGTTTTGACAGTTTATGTTCATGTGATTTCATGTGCTTCTTCGGTCCGTACTCGAGGCTGCGATTTTGCAGCTTCCGACTTGACGTCGGAAAGCCAGTCGGGTGTTGGGCTTCGGACATACCGACTTAGGACCTAGGAGTTGGGAATCAAATTTAGTTTTCCAACAGTCCAAGCCCGACAGACAGTAGCTGCCACCTTTTCAATCGAAGCTCCAGCTCCAATTCCATTCGTTATAGTAAGAGCATAATTCGAGCCTGGACGCATGCAGGCAGGAACGTGTGCATGCAAACACAATCAAAAGCAGCTTATGGACCTTCCCAGCCAGTGTTGTGCAATTGTCGTATGAAACCGGCATATCTGACCAGCTCCTCATTCTCGTGGAGTGCACGCAACAACTCGTGCTCAAGCCGCAGCACTTCAAGATTATCCAGCACGGCTTCAGCCATCTGCAGCTTGCCTCCTTTCAACATGGTAATGGCTTGCTTCCCCAGTGAAGCTATCCTTCGTGCCCTTTCCTGGCCTGCGAGATCTAGTTTCTTCCCAAATGCTTGGTTGCCAGTAAGATCGACGAGTTCAGTTCTGACTCGCGTTGCGTTCTCCGGCGCTAGGCTCAAGGCCAGTTCCGCTTGCTTCGCTTTGCGAAGCAGTCCGGCATCCAACATCTGTCGCAAGATGCATTTGCAGCTTTGCAGACCATAAACACGAAGCAGGTGCGCAGCGCTTGTCGTCATCAGTGTAGCGCTGATCCCTGAAGTACTGGCCAGAAACCTGCGAAGGCACATCAACACTTGGGGATGCTTTTGAGCAATCTCCAACTGCAGCGAGGCTCCGTGGTTTCTTTGCTTTATGCAGCCCTCTGCATCGAAGAAGCCGGCACAGTACTCCCAACTGCATGGCCCCGCGACTGCCGAGTCGTGCTCTTTCAGGTTGCGCAGCTCGGCTTTGCTATCCTCTCTCCCGCACTTCGTGTCGGGCCACTGGGCTGCAAGCAAGAGCTGCTGTTGCTTGGTGATGCTATGCGGCAGCAGGAGCGAAGCGGCTCTCCGGGCCGCCTGGCCACACAGCGTCCACTGAAGAGCAGGTTTGCACAGCCCTAGGCCGTTTCTTTGCAGCCCGATGCTTCCCCCGAATGTTGCTCGCAGCAGCATTAGAATATCAGCCCGGTCGAAGGACTGCCCTACCTGCAAGTAGCACCCGGACAAACTAGACTGGCAACCAACAGTACCGTCACCATCAAAGAAACCAGCCAAAAAGCGCAACCTGGAATCCATGGTTGCATCGATGGCCGGCGCAGGTGTCACCCTCGAGGCTCGCAGTGGCAAATCATAATTGTGGCCGTGTGCCTCGAAGTGCCGTAGCTTGGGCCATGGCAGGGTCCTCACAATCGCCCGGAGCAGCTGGTTCTTTTGGCGGACCTCCGCGATCTCGTCAGGATGCGCTGCTGTGAAGGCAGCAATGTTGTCGAGCCCGGTCGTGGGCGATACCTTGAATTCTGGCACATGTACCTCTCCATTTGCAAACGCTTTCGGAGATCCACCCGACCGTTGATGACGCATTGATGGTCTCACCCACGTACGAGCCATGTGCCCTTCTCGCATGCATCTCGCAAGCAAAAATCCCGCAGACTGCATCTGAATTCAAGGGAACTTCGGTATCGGTCATGCATGGGCAATCTCAGGTCTTGACGCCGAGATGGGTCTGCGAACACAAACAATGTTGCACAGCTGACATGCCGAAGCCCTCATGATCACATCAAGCTGGGAAACTTCGACGTTCGTTAGACAGGGGTTCCGGGCCTTTGGGCACTCAGCTCTTGAATCCGCAACCGCGTAGCCTCACTCAAAACCGAACCTCAAAGAGCTCAGAATCTGAATCAGAAGCTGCTGGGAAGCAGCGCAACAGAAGAGCAAAGTGATGATCCTTTGGGGTTAGCTTATGAAACTCTGAACCTAAACACTAAGCCTCAATAGGCTGCGGCTGTGGTCTCCGAGTGATGCTCTTTCTACCGCTGTGGCTTCAGGGCTTATGGCTATAGGAACTCCAGGGATCATGAATACATCTGGTGAAGGGTCTTAGGAGACAGGTTATTCTAGAGGTGAACGCAGAAAAGCAATAACACAAAACAACACATACACACAGACAAAGCCTGCATCCCGGTCTCTGCACGTGCGACCAAGATGCTTCATGTGATTCTTCATCACCTTAATTCCCTCGAGCATCTGCTCATTCTTCTTGTCAGTGTGCGAGCGGACTACACGTCTCTGCGCGACACCTGCGGCAGCATCGGACTCGCGAAGAGGAACACACCCAAGAAGTACAGATTTTTTTCAAGTACAGGTAGTCTTTCTGCAATCAAGCTTAGAGAACATGGGACCTCAACTAAATGAGAGCCTTCTTAGCTGGTAAGGAACATGTACAAAGGGGTATGTCGCTTCCGACCATGAATAGAAGGGCTTTCGGTTTGTGCAGCTGTGCTCGGGTACTGACTTTCGCTACTCTACCAATACTAGTATGCTAGACCGATGATGCTGATTACCAAGTATTTCGGCTCCTTTCTGTCTTTAAGGGGATCCCTGGCGTAAAGGAGAGCTTGCACCAGCTCCTGAACAACGAATCCCACCCAGAAGCCTTAACCTCTAAGCCAAACACCCAATAGTTCAAGCTCCAAACCCCCAAAACTGAAACCCCCCTTGAATCTTCGCCCCCAAAACCTATAAAGCCCCTTTTAGGAAGCCTAGACCCCCCTTGATTTCCCAGGTTTTAACAAGAAAAAGCTACATAAAACCAGGGAAGCACCCGACGGCCTTCGTCTTCACTGGATGATGCTTCGGCCCAGCGAGCCATCTTCCTGGCACTCGAGCAGCTTGAATTTAAAAAATGTAGCAAGAATGAAGGCTTTTTGAGGGTTACCTAGGCTTTTTTAAAGGTTGCTTAGGGTTTTTTAAAGGTTACTTCAAGGTGGCAAAAAATGAAGACTTTTGAAGGTTAGGTAGGGGTTTGGGTTTAGGGTTTGGAGGAAGCAAACATGAAGGCTTTTAAAGGTTGTTTAGGGTTTTGTAGAGTTGCTTCCTGGCACAAACAAGGGCCTTTTGGATATGTAGGGTCTTATAAGGCCTTCATCGTGTTGTGTCAGGGTAAAAGGATCTTCCTGGCACACAGGTTGGATCTAGAGGTAGGAACGATAGGGGTTCTCCAAGGTTGTTTAAGGATTTCGTAAAGTTACGTAGGGATGTGGGGTTGGTTAAGAGCTTCACTCATAGGGTCTTATAATTAATTTTAAACGGCTTTACGAGGCTTTGGGGATAATTAGTAAGAACTCATATGGCTTTGTGAGTCCTCATACTAATCATTATACTCTAACAACACCAACAACAGCTTTCAACGCAACAAGCTCCTGCCTTGGAAGATCTGTGTGTCTGCAGATCTGTTTATCTATCTGTCTGCCTATCTGCCCAAATGTCTGCATATCTACCCTGTTCTCTTCCCATTTCTTGAAATTTGTGCTTCATGGATCTGCACCAGTCTGCAACAGCAGTGGACGACTGGAGTGCCAAATGCTGACCGCTGCACAGCTTGTCCTAGGACTTGAAAAGCGTCGGCAGGCGGAGTGTCTGCTTCTTTGGCAAGATTGTCAAGGGAGCAGCCAACCTCCAGCTCGCAACGCCCGATCCGCGAAGTTCTTCAGCTTGCCTTTTGCCGTGCCGAACCATGCGTGCATTTGCCCGCACAGTAGCACCTTCCGGATCAAGGCCCCGCAGAAACGCTGCGATTGTGGCCTGTGTATTCTCTGAAACATTCGTCAGTGTGCCTCAGGAACAAACAGGAATGGGGTCCCCCAGGAAACCTTTCAGACAACGTAAGGTGACATAGCAGCCATTCATCAGAATCCCCCCCTTCAAAACAAATTTTTGGGCAACCCAAGCCCCTCTATTTCTCTTGATTCAATCTTACAATCCTACATAAACCGAAAGCCAATACACCTAAATACGTCCTACACCCCGAGAATTCCCCCCCCCCCCCTTCTCCTGGGCGCGGCCGCGGCGGCCACGGGCTTCTCCTATGAGCGCCCCCGAACTGGATTTATGACGGGCGCTCTAATGCTGTTTGTTCCAGTTGTTGCTGCTGTTGGTAGCGGAGTGGTGTTGCTGTAGGTGTCGTAGTTGTTGCTTGGTTGCTGTTTGTCATGATTTGCCGGGGGTCCTCAAGGACTGTTGGAACCGATGCAAATCCCTGCAGAAGCCTGATAGAACCCTCAAACTAAAGAACCTTTAGAGCCACATACCTTGTCAAACCTCAAAAGACCCCTGGCAAGCCCCCTAAAGCAAAGCCCATGCCCTGCACCCCATACCCCACATATAACTTTCAACCCTAAACCAACCTCAAGCCCTCAACCCTTAACCCTCACTCACTCACTCACTCACTGGTACGCAGCTCCATAAGGCGCTGAGCGTTGCTAAACTTCGGGAAAGGATGGACCCTTAGCCCTATACATCGTAAAACCCTAAACCCTATAAATCGTAAAGCCCTAAACCCTGTAAATCGTAAAACCCTGCACCCTAATTATACATCGTAAAGACCTAAACCCCTAAAAAGGCCGTTAAGGCCCTAAGTCACCCGCCTCCTCCTCGGAGTCCGAATCCGAGTCCGAGTCCGAGGATGAGGAATCACCGCCCCAAAACCTCGAGCGCTGCTTTGCTTAAAGGATCATGGGAGTAACTAGGGTTCCTCAAAGGGCTCCATAAAGGGATCTTTAAGGGATCTATAGGGTTCAGGGTTTAGGGTCTGCTTAAAGGATCCTGGGACTTAGTAAATGGGGTTTAGGGTTTAAGGTTTTGGGGTTTAGGGTTCAGGGTTTAGAGTTTAGGGTTTTGGGGTTTAGGGGCTTAGAGGATCATGGGACTTAGTAACTAGGGTTCCTTAAAGGGCTCCTTTAAAGGGGATCCATAGGGGTTCTATTATAGGGTCTGCTTGAAGGATCATGGGAGGAACTAGGGGTTACAATTCGGGTAACTATGTTGAGGTACGTATAACCTTGCTTACTAAGTCCCATGATCCTCCAAGTGGTTCCTTTTTGAAGTGCAGTGGCTTAGGGTTACGGGCTTAGGCTTTGTGGCAGTGGCTTCGGGTTTATGGATTGAAAACCTGCCTTAGCACCCCAAGCCCTATCTTGTTAAGGTCCCTTACTATATGCTTTCTTTGGTCGAAGTTCTTAAAATTGTAAGCTTTCTGCAGAAAAGACCCTGAAGCCCTACAAGCCCTTAGCCCAGCCCCAACAAGTCTCAATATGATAAAACACCCCAAACCGAGCATTACAATGTAAGGGCCGTTCATATTCAGAATCTCCCACGTTTCGATGACTGCTTGGGGCCTTGACTTCCGAAACTTGCAGCTTGGATTCTGAGTTTAGGTGTCGTCTTTTTCGTATCGCCTCTTTTCCGCCCGCGGTTACCAGCCTCTGACTTGGGGAGTTTCTTAATGTGTCAAAGCATGTGAGAAACGATTTCGAACTCAGGTGCTTTTCTCGTTCAAGTAGTCTTGGGCTCCTTGGGCCAGTCCCCGCTGTAAGGAGCCGAGCTGCTTGTTTCCCGCCATGATGCCTGTTACTTGCGGAGGTGGAAGCGAACGACGTCCTCAGCAATGGGAATGCATAGTCTGCAGTGCAATGCAGAAACGGGGCTGAGGAATTCATTCTACGGTGTCTGAGAGCCATGTAAAACTAAAACCGACGGAGTGCTCGGATTGACAACGACCAAACCGTCACTGGTAATGCAAACCCCAAAGAGAGAAGATAATCTTCCTTCAAGCTGATGCACCATGGCATGTGCTGATGCTATTGCGATGTCTACGATGGTGCCTTCGAGATTTGCAGGTCAACCTTCTCTACACAATAGGAGGGGAGCATTCAGGCAGGCGGAATTGCTAAACCATCATCCTGCGTGCTCAGCTCACATACTTCAGGCAAGACACCACTGGCTGACTGTACCTTGCTTGCAGCAAGGCTATATACAGACTGGGGGCTTGGCTCTCAGTTCTTGTATGACAGATGACGATGACTCCAAACTGAGCACTCTGTAATTCGACTTGCCTGTGTAGGTATACAGTTGGAGACGACAGTGCCGACGAATTTCCGACCCTAGAAACTCCGTCAATTGCAGGATCCTTGTACGGACCACCCCGACAAAAGGCACCCCGGATTGAACAATTGAATAGCGATGCGCAATCATGCGTCTTTCTCGCTAAAGGTATGCGGTATGACAAATCGATTTGCGCGACCTTCAATCAGCGGGATTGGAAGCAAAGACTCTGCAGGCCGCTGGCGAGGCCGGTCGTGCCGGTGGGATCATAATGTCATAATGTAATGTGAGGCTGACATGGACATGTTGCTGCCCTGTTGTTGAAAAAGAATACACGTTCCGCAGAGAGGATATACTAGCGGATCGACGGGTATAGCAGCTACTACTGCTTGTGTCATGGTTGCCATGCTGCGACGGTAAAATTGCGCTTGGAGCTTGGCAGCTTTTGGCAAAGAGCCTCGCATCGAAAAAATGAAAGGCGCTAAATTTACATCCCACGACATGAATTAGGAAGCCCAGGCAGAAGCACTGCAAACCTCAATTACCTCCGAATCAAG